ATTTTTCAGAATGTAGTATTCAGTCTTAATTGGATCCAATTGTAGCCCTTCCCTTTTACCTGCCCTAATTCGAAAATTAGCCAATCACATAGCTTGTAACTCTGAACTCCTCTAATCAGAGTGAAGGGCAGGGCTGCTTTAGATTAAAGCAGGCAAACTACTTGCCCACGCACAGTTGCTAGGCAGATTATTATAGCCTGCCCTCCTGTGTTTGATTTCTTGCGGCACCTTGTTATTTCTTTTTCTTTTTTAAAAAATTTGTGTAGACGTTGAGGGGCCTTTATTTTCTTCATTTATTTATATGTGTGCTGAGAATCGAACCCAGTGCCTCACGCATGCTAGGCAAGCACTCTACCACTGGGCCACAACCCTAGCTCCCACCTTGTTATTTCTAACAGTAGCACAAAAAGGAGTATAAAAAAGAATGAACATGGTTTCAGTTAGACATTGGTGTGTAATAAAGCAAAACCTAGTGGCTTAAAAACATTATTTCTCTTAATTTTCTGAAATGACTGTGTGATCTTGTTCCAGAGTCACTCTTGGAGCTAAATTTAGTTGAAATCTCATGAGGGTCCGCCATTGTCCTGTACCTGGATTAAGTGATGTCTCATTTTCAAGGGTTCTACACATGGCATTTTTTTCCTGGATAGTCTAAGCTTCCTAACAGTATAGTAGTCAAATTCCCAAATAAGAGCTGTAGCTTCAATATGTTAATATTTATCAGGTCTCTCCTTACATCAAGCTTGCTGATGTCTTTGGTCAAAATATATCATATAGCTAAACCCAGAGTCATTGCTGGGAAGATTACAAAAAGTATAAATATTAGGAAGGATTGTATAGTCGTTAGCCTCCAAGGTGGCCCTGAATGATCCTCATTTCTTTATATCCACTCCTTTGTGTCGTCTTCTTCACTTTTTTTTAATATTTATTTTTCAATTGCAGTTGGACACAATACCTTTATTTTACTTATTTATTTTTATGTGATGCTGAGGATCAAACTCAGGGCCTCACACATGCTAGGCGAGCGCTCTGCTGCTGAGCCACAACCTCAGCCCTTCTTCAACACTTAATAGGGTTGACCTGAGTAATTTAGTAGACTTGGAAATGACAGTGTATATTTCTTGAGGTTAGGCCATAAAAGTTTTTTCGGTAACTCCCATTTCTATAACAGAAGCTAAACCTCCTTAATTATGGAACTTAGGTGTACAGCTTGCCCTTTTCACTTTATCTCTCAACCCCCACTAACCTAACTGCCTCAGAATTCTTGGTAAGATTAATGTCTCTAATGACTTGAATGTCCTACTGATTTAGGTTTGATGGATCTGACTATGTATTAATCAAAGAGGTATTTTCATGAAATTCAAATCTGATTATATTATGTTATTACTTAAAACAGTTCAGTGGCTTTTCTTGCCTTGGAGATAGGATTTTCATGTTCTCTCCTTGAAATTTATGGTAACTTATGAGAATTTAAACTCTGATCCTTAGTTTACTCATCTATAAATGAGTTTTATTTTGTTGGTTGAAGTTAAATAAATGCTGTCTATAGAAAGGATTTTTATAAGACAATTTCAGGTGACTATTAGTATGCTTGTTAGGATAATATTTGATCTCTAGGATTATTTTTGATCTCCACACATCTCCTTTTTAAAATTTATTCTACATTATTCTTTCTTCTAATCAGATAATGATCTGTACTGAAATATTAGTGGATAAGTAAGATGTAAGACTCTTCGTATACTTTAAAAGTGGATTCTTATTAACTAGTAACTGCATTTCTAAACCCAAATAAGAAGCTGTAACAGAAAAATGGCAGAGAGGGGCTTGATAATGATAAACAGAGTAGTTTATATACTTGTCTGTACATGGTTGTCTAGTTTTAGACTTTTACCAGTAAAGCCATCTGGCATTGGAAATTTCACTGTGGAAAGATTTGTTGTTGTTTTTGTTTTTAATTTCAGATTCCCTTTCTTTTCATAGAACAGGAATATTCAGCTGTATTTCATGTGAAAGGGTTTTCTTTTGATTTATTCTTGCTAGAGGTCTGTCAGTTTTCTTAGTTTTGGGCAACAGTTTTGGGCATTCTTGGTTTTTTTTCCTTTTGTACAGTAGTTTTCTAATTCATCTGATGTTGGCTTTTCCCTTGATTTCCTCTCCCCTTCCTCCTTTTTTTCTTTTAATTTAATATGCTATATTTAATCACTTCTTGATATGAAACTATAGGTTATTAACTTTATTCTTTCTTTTATAGTAATATATTTAAGCTTATCAGTTTCCCTTAAGTCTAGCTTTACTGCATCCCATGAGTTTTGACAATTTATATTTTCTTTATCATTCAGTTAAAAATATTTTCTAATTTCCAATATGATCCCTCTTTTGATCAATTGAACTTCCCTAAATATTTAAGGAACCAGTCTTACTACTAAAATTTTTATATCATAGGAAAAATTTGTTTCAACCCAATAGAAACTTAATACTAAAACCTGGCAAGGTTGTCTTAAGAAGCTATAAACCAAAAATTTAAAAAATTTGTGCTTCTCCACACACACACACACACACACACACCAAAAAAAAAAAAAGCAGCAGCAGCAGCACCTACAACCAGCTTGAGTCATAGAGCTCTTACCTAGCACATGTGAAACACTGAGTTTGGTCCTCAGCACCACATAAAAATAAATAAATAAAACTATTTTTTTTTTAAAGCTACAAATCAGTTTCACATACCACTTGAAAAAAATTGAAACAGTGTAATAGCAAATCAAAAAACAATATATAAAACTGTAATGACCACATTGACTTTATTTTAGGAATTCAAACTTGGGCTGGACTTAGACTTTACAAATATAAGCTAGGATTAAAATTAGAAAATCAGCAGGATTTAGTATATTAACAGAATTTGAGGAGAAAATATCATTTCAATAGATGCTCCATATTTGTGACAAAATTCAACACGTATTCATGATTAAAAGTCTTGACAATATAGAAATATTGCAGCATTAATATTTGACAGTGATAACAGTTTAGGTAAAATATGGCTAATAGTGCTTCTTTTCTAAGGTTGAGAAATTAGGGATTTTTCTTTATTTTCAATTATATTTGCATTTTATAGTGATTCTCAAATGTGCATTTGTGGGGCTGGGAATATAGCTCAGTGGTATAGTGCTTGCTTAGTAAACACAAGGCCCTAGGTTTGATCTCCACCTAGTACCTCAAAAAATTCTAAATACAAAAATTAAATAAAATGTGCATTTGTTAATTTTATAGGCACGAATAGCAACAGTGGTTATTTATAATTAAAACTACTAATCAGAAGTACAACTATATGAGAACATTTAAACATGGATTTTTGTTAAGTACAAAACCTATTAAAGCGTCAAATGAAAGAGCAGTTGTAAGGAACCTATATACAAGGCAGCTTTGATTCTAAAACACAAAAGAGCTATGGGGTGGTGCACACCTGTAATCCCAGCATCTGAGGAGGCTGTGGCAAGAGGATCGTGAGTTCAAAGCCAGCCTCAGCAAAAAGCAAGACGCTAAGCAACTCAGTGAGACCCTGTCTTTAAATAAAATATAAAATAGGGCTGGGGATGTGGCTCAGTGGTTTAGTGCCCCTGAGTTCAATCCCCAGTACACTAAAAATAAAATAAATAAAATACAAAAGAAATATATCTGTTGCCAAATATGAAACCAGTTTACTTGTGAATATAGGGCCAAGAACCTTTCACCTGTTTTTGATATAAAATGAATAAGGAACTGGGCACAGTGTACATACCTTTAATCCCAACAACTCAGGAGGCTGAAGCAGGAGGATCTCAAGTTCAAGATCAGCCTCTGCAATCCAATGAGACCCTGTCTCAGTTAAAAAAAGGACTGCGGACGTAGATCAGTGATAAAGCACCCTGGTTTCAATCCCTAGTACTGATCAAATAAACAAAAAAAGAATAAGGAAAACTATATACTTGGGAGGCTGAGAGAGGGAGGATCCCTTCAGCTCAGGAGTTCAGGGCCAACTTGGACAACATAAAGAGACCCTGTCTCAGCACCACATAAAAATAAATAAATAAATAGATAGATAGATCTTTTTTTTTTTTTTTTTTAAACTACAAATCAGGGGTGGGGTTGTGGCTCAGTGGTAGAGTGCTCATCTGGCACGTGTGAGGTCCTGGGCTCAATCCTCAGCACCACATAAAAATAAAGGTATCGTGTCCAACTACAACTAAAAAAAAAAATTACAAATCAATTTCTTTCACTTATACCACTTTAAAAAAATTGAAACAATGTAATAGCAAATCAAAAAACTATATATAACCAGGTTGAAAATTGACTTTATTTTATGAATCCAAACTTGGGCTGAACTTAGACTTTATGAATGTGAAAACAAATAATCAGTTTTAAGTTTTTCAATCTGGTGCTGATATCAATACTACCTATGAGTAATCCAAATGTTGAAACTTTTTAGTCTCTTTGCAACTAGCCATTTTTTATTTATCATCTTTCCCAAAAATTCTTTAGGTTTACAAATTTATTTTGAACCTTCTTGTGATAATTGACAGCTAGTTTGTCTTGTGTTATAATGACTTTTTAAAAATAAGCATCTCCAATATAATGCTAAGTGATGTTAGCCAATCCCAATAAACCAAATGCCGAATGTTTTCTCTGATATAAGGAGGCTAATTAATAGTGGGGTTGTGGCGGGGGCGGGGGGCATGAGAGGATTACAAGAACTCTAGATAGGGTAAAGGGTTGGGCACGGGGGTAGAAATGAAGGTGGAATGAGATGGACATCATTAACGTAAGAACATGTATGAAGACATGAATAGTGTGAATATACTTTGTATATAGCCAGAGATATGAAAAATAGTAATTTATATGTGTAATATGAATTGTAATGCATTCTGTTGTCATAAATAACAAATTAGAATAAAAATTTAAAAAAATGCATCTCCTACTGGTTATTACATACCATCAATTGATTACTTTTCTTTTGTGTATTTTTATAGATGGTAGTCAAGACCTTTATGGATATGGATCAGGACTCAGAAGATGAAAAACAGCAGTATCTCCCACTAGCCTTGCATCTTGCATCTGAATTCTTCCTCAGGAACCCTAATAAAGATGTGCGTCTCCTTGTAGCATGTTGTTTGGCAGACATATTTCGAATCTATGCCCCAGAAGCTCCATATACTTCCCACGATAAACTTAAGGTAAATACAATTTTTGCAAAATAATTTCACTTTTATTTTTATTTTTATTGTAGTTTACTCTTATCAACAAGTTTCACATTATTCTTGTCATTGAAAAATTATATCATAAGTTATAAAACCAATTAGTTGTTCAATTAATATACATTGAGTATCTACAAAAATGACTGTTATTTTTATGAAGCATTGAAACATAAAACCTGTACTTGTGAATTCATATTTAGCCTTCAGGCTAATCTGCCACAAATCCCAGAGGGCTATGTTTATGGAATAAATAGCAGATCAATGATAGTTTTAAAAACAATAGTATACCAGAACTTACACATTCAAATAACTTCTTGCCTACAGTTATTCAGCATGCACAACTGTATGCTTGTTGTCAGGTGTGGTTGTACACTCTTATAATCTCAGTGGCTCAGGAGTTTGAGGCAGGAGGACTACTAGTTTGAGGCCAGTCTGGGCAACTTAATAAGAGCCTGTTTCAAAGTTAAAAATATAAAGGGATGGGGATGTAGGTCAAAAGCACCCCTTTGTTCAAGTACTGGAGGGGGACTATATGATCATCTTGATGGTTCTACCTTCATTGAAAATGTTTTAGAAAGTCTTCTTAAATTGATTTCCTGTGCTGATTTATATCATTCAGATAATTTTATTCTTGGCAAATTTTAATTCCCTGGACTGCTTTGTTCTAAATGCCTCCCTCCCCATCCATGGTTTCTCTTTCCACAGTTTTTAAGCTATGGTCAACCATGATCCAAAAATATTAAATGGAATGTGGATCAGTGAGAACATTTGCCTAGTATGCATGAAGCTGTGGGCTCAATCTCTGGTACATAAAATAAAATAACTGGAAAATTCCAGAAATAAACAGTTCACAAGTTTCATAGTTCACACCATTTTGAGTGGCATAATGAAATATTGTACTATCCTGATTCATCCCTCCTGAGACATGAATCGTGCCTTTCCCAGAGTATTCACACTATATATGTTCAGATCAACTGTGGCAGGTATCTTAGTGCTTGTATTCAAGTAACCCTTATTTTACTTAATAATGGCTTCAAAGTACAAACTTTTATGTTGTTTTGACTGTTTCATTATTAGTTTTTGTTATTCTCTTACTGTGCCTAATTTATAAATTAAACTTTATCATTGGTATGTATATGTAGGAAAAAAAAATAGTTCCATATTATCTGTAGTCTCAGGCATCCACTGGTGATCTTGGAATATATCCCCTCTGGATAAGGGGTGATTACAACAGTACAAAAATCATTTTGTGCCATATTGATACTAAAATTTTAAGTTAAACTGTATAAAGAAAGTTTATTAAGAAATGGAACACTATCACTGGGTGTGGTGGCACACATCTGTATTTCCAGCACCTTGAGAGACTGACACAGGAAGATCACAGGTTCAGAGCCAGCACTAGCAACTTAGCAAGGCTCTAAGCAGCTTATCAAGACCCTGCCTAAAAACAAAAAAGAAAACAGGCTGGGGATGTGACTTAGTAGATAAGCTCCCTTGGATTTGATTCCTGGTACAAAAAAGGAACATTATCATCAACCTTTAGACCAATAATCTATGGCCTCTATTTCTTAAAACTTTGTAGTTGAACATCATATTCAAAACTGATGAAAATTCCTGTTTACATCTAGGAAAGAATAATGGAAAAACTAATTCAGTTCCTTAAAAATGATGATAGTTTTCCATGTTGCAAGGTGAGGATAGTTAATGGAGCGGAAGTGCTATAGTAGAAGGCAATAAAATATAGAATGTATGTTCTCAGAATAAGAAAAGTATTATTTTGTTTGACTTCATCTTTTCCAATCATTTTAAATAATGGACTAGGTCAATCCCAAGATATTTGGCCAGAGAATTCTTTTATTGTAGTTTGTAACAGTTAATATATATACAGACTTTGTATGTTGTCAAAGAATGATAAGAATTTGTGTCTAATATATTTTATTATTTTTTTAACAGGACATATTTTTGTTTATTACCAGACAATTAAAAGGTTTGGAGGATACAAAGAGTCCGCAGTTTAATAGATACTTTTATTTATTGGAGGTAAAATATAACACTTTATTTAATATATATGAAATTATTTCACATAGTTGAAAATTCTTTCTGGTAACTTTATAATGTAAGTCAAGAATTTTTTGTTTTATACAAAGCCCAGTTAATAAAATGCCTTCTACATTTCATAAGGAAAATCTAATCTTTTTATTATTCCTTATAACCTGAAAAGATAATATACTGGAAAAAGGTATTAGATGCTTTGAAACACTACCTCTTGTTTTCACTTTTCTGGTTTTATTCTTTTCTAATCTAAAAATGGATTTTCACTGCTCCTTAAATTTTATTTGTTTATATGTGTCCGCCAACCCCTAAATATTCACTGTTTTTCAATTTGAGAAAATTGATGCCATTAGGTATATGTCTTTTTAAAGATCAGAGTGAATGACTAATAACTTACAAGTTTATGTTGAATCTTATAGGCTTTAATATAGATTAATATTTCAAAAAATTAAATTTTACTAATGAGTTTTTGTGTAATCATTCTGTATATATGTAATAAATTTATTTATTTATTTATTTAAGAATTTAGCTTGGGTTAAATCATATAACATCTGCTTTGAATTGGAAGATTGCAATGAAATTTTTATCCAGCTTTTTAGGACTCTCTTCTCTGTGATAAAGTAAGTTTTTTGAAAAACATATCTACTTATCTTTTCCTTGCTTTTTATTGAAGTGTCATGTACTCTATCTATGTGGATAAGAATTTTTTAGAATTATAAGGAATTGTTTTCTTTAGAAAACTTAATATGAATCATAAAATAAACAATTTTGTTGCCTGAAAACTGTCTTTGCCATTATAGTGCCATTTTAAATTTATGGTGTGAATTTATTGGTTGACTCTTCTGTGCCTCATTCACTCTGTGCTGGGACAGTAGAGAAATATAAAGCAGAGTGTTTGATTTAAAGAATCTTATTTTCAATGGAGGCAACAGCCTATAGTTGTAAAGCAAATGGTATGAGACCTTAAACAATACAGTACTATATTATAAGATTGTATAAATATATGTACCATTAGTGCTGGGAGGCATAATAATTCAGTTCTTAAGCACACCAACTTTGGTGTCTGATTTTGGGTCTGGGGATATAGCTCTGTTGGTAGAGTGCTTGCCTCATGTGCAGAAGGCCCTGGATTCAATCCCCAGCACTGCTACACACACACACACACACACACATACACACACACACACAAGTGTGTCTTATTTTAGAGCTAGGAAAAAAAATCTTAAACATTGCCTAAATCAGCTCTTTTTTTATAGAAATAGGGGAACAACTAATTTAGAGGTAATGTGATAACTTGCCCTTGTACAGATTTTTGGACACAAGAGCCCAAACTCTGATTGCAATCCAGTTTTTATTGTTCGTTTGTTTTTTAAATAGTAAACCAAGCATCATTATAAGATGTGTTCTAAAGCATTGCATTGCATGTAAACATAACATATCTCACATAAGTTATAAATTTTCTAGAGTCCACATTAAGAAAGGTAGAAAGAAGCAGGTGAGATTCATTGTAATAACACATTTTATTTATCACATTGTATCCAAAAGGATTATCCTTTCAATATGTGGTTCTATTCATACTTCAGATATCCAATAGCTACATGTGGCTAATGGCTTGCATACTGGTAACATTTTATTCTGGAGTTTTCTGTAAACTTCTATGACTAGTAAATCACTTTTTCCCTTTACTTTGATAGAATATATAATTAGATAACATCTATAATAAACAGGAGAGGACCAAATCAGCTTGGTCTAGAGATAGAAACTTACTTGGTCTGGAAATGGAAAATTAAGAAAGACTGCATGAGAAAAGACTTCATGGTATTTGACTACCTGCAGACCATTAGAGTAAACAATAGACTTTATCAACTTTACTTTTGAATTAGTTAACTTTTGCTGCATAATAAAACAAAATATAATTCGAGAGTGTAATTTAGCCCATGATTCAGCTTGATAGTGTTTTGTCTGGTCTGATTCTCTACTGTGTTACAGTCCTTTGGCAGATCTTCTGGCAGCTGGCTAAAGTAATAGAATGAATGAGTCACATGTCTTTTATCATCCAGCAGACTAGTCTAGTCTATTCCTCTATTGACTCGGTTTCAGAGGTATCAAGAAAGGGCAAATTTCACTGCAAAAGCACTTTTAAACTTTTGATAGCTTCTATTGCATTGGCCCAGCAAGACACAAAGACTAATCCAGATTCAAGGTTTGGTTAGATAGACTCCCTATCTTGTAGTGGGAGTAGCACCATTGTAAAGGGACATATTTGTAGGAGTGGGGACAGTTTATGGCCATTGTTTAGTTTACATTGTATCAGTTTTTTGCAAGCATTTCTTTTGAAATTGAAATTAAAATTAATCACCACAACCAATTTGTGAAGTTACCTGCCCCTTTTATAACCTTAACTATCTATTTCAGTCTTTCTTTCCACTCTGCAATTATTCCCTCTCAAAATTACTTTATATACACACACTTTTCTTTGACCCTATTAATGTTTTTATTCCCTGAATTTGATGACTTCCTTGTTTATCAAATTAATTGAAATAATTCACAATTAGGTATGAGTAAACAAAAGACTTTTAAAAGAGGAACTTATTTACCAAATCTTGTATTCATCATTCCTTTGCATAAGTCCAGATTCATACCTATTATAATTTTCTTTAGTCTGAAGGACTTTTCTGTAGTTCAGGTCTGATGGTGATGGAATTTGTTCATCTTTTGTATGTCTGAAAAATATCTATTTCACATGCATTTTAGAACATTGTAGAGTTCTAGATTGGTACTCTCCTCTCGCCACTCTTTTAGTCACCCTCTAGAGCTCAGAATAAAATCCAGAGCCTCATGTGTGCTAGGCAGCCACTGTACTCTGAGCTACCTCCCCAGCCCTCTTTTGGTACTTTTTTTGGTGTGTGGGGGGTACCAGGTATTAAACTCAGGGGCACTTGACCACTGAGCCACATCCCCAGCCCTAGTTTGTATTTTATTTAGAGACAGGGTCTCACTGAGTTGGCCATTGCTAAGGCTGGCTTTGCACCTGCAATCTTGCTGTCTCGGCCTCCCAAGCCGCTAGGATTATAGGCTTGTGCTACCACACCCAGCTTCTTTTAGTACTTTTAAAGATGATATTCGTTCTTTTTTTTTGGCTTGCATTGTTTTTAATAAGATATTTGTTATTTTTAACCTTTTTTCTTCTGAAATATGATGTATTTTTTTCTCTAGTTGCATTTAAGATGTTCTCTTTCATTTATTTCAGTTGATTTAATTATGGTGTATCATGAAGTTTTCTTCCTGTTTCTTGAACTTTGGGGGCTCATTGAGCTTCTAGAACCTATGGGTTTATACTCTTCTGATTCCTCTTCCAAACTCCATTGTTAGTTCTGGGGATTATTTCCTCTGCTCTATTAGGTAGGATATTTCCCCAAAGTCAGGGAATTTTCTCATATGTATGTGCTGATCTTTAACCATCAAAAGACTCTTTGAGCTCCCCTCTGGTACTCTGCTCCTCTGCAATCTGTAGCCTACCTAGACTCTGGGAAACCATTAGAATCTGCCAGGACCTCCCTTCTTGCACTACATCCTAAAAATATACCAACAGAAGTTTGGAAAATTGTGGGTCCACTTTATTGGTCTTATCCCTCAGCAATAGTTGCATTATGTCCAATATCTGAAAACTGCTCTTTCATATACTTTATCTAGTTTTTGGTTGTTACAGATAACAAGGTTAAATCCTGTCCCTTTTATTTCATAGAATATATTTTTTTAAAGTCTCTCCATCTCTTTTCCCTCTACTCCTTTCCTACCTTCAAGTATATATGCATCTGGGAGCCAAGTGCTCAGATTGTTTAGTATTGTTTTGTATCAAGCTCTTCAGTACCCCAGCTCCAGACACTATAGAGATAACTACATAATTTATTCTTTAAAATCTTGGTGTTTTATAAATTAAGTAAGGTATTTAAATGTAGGCATGCAAAAGGGTATCTTTCTCAAAGTTGAGGAAACTTGTATCTAATAATATGGCAGTTTTCCTACCAACTTTTTAAAAGTTTTTCATTATTTTTCTTAAAATCCTAGTTCTCAATGGGTTTTTTTCTCTCTCCCTCTGTGTGTGTGTGTGTGTGTTATAAAGAGAGGGAGAAAAAGAAACAAAACTGCATACCATGCACTTCATTAGAAAGTAAAGTAGTCTTTGTTTTTTAAAAATACTTTAGAACAATACATTACAGACACTGTAATAATCAACAGAGGGAGAAAATAAATACAACAGTCAAGATTTCTTTGCTATTATTGACATGGTTTCCTCAAATGAAAATCTTTTTACATCTGAGATGATTGTTCTAAACTGGGAAGTTTGCCTTTTTGTATGCTTCATTTTCTTCTTCTTCTTCTTTTTTTTTTTTTTTAGCAATAGCCACAATAAGAAGGTACAAATGCATATGCTAGACTTGATGAGTTCTATCATCATGGAAGGTGATGGAGTTACTCAAGAATTATTGGACTCCATTCTTATTAACCTCATACCTGCACATAAGGTCTGTATAGTATGAAGATATTGAATATTAATATTTAAAGGTAGTGCTACATATATGAGTAAATGATTGGTTTTTGACCATTTGCAATCTGTGTAATTGTTGTCACTGTCACTCTCTAGCCCTAAATAAAAGAATATTAGTCTTATAGCTATTTTGTTAAAATATATATTGATTAATGTATTGTGTAAGATTTTCATTCAGTTAAATGATACTTGTTTTCTGGAGACTAGAAATGTTTTGTTTTCACCACTCATAATCAGTCTGGGAATTATAAGAGTTGGGGTATTGTCTTTTTAGTTAGTTTTGTTTGATAAAGAAATGTATTTCCTCCTTTGTAACATGGAACATGGGGGTGCAGATTTCTTTTCAGAACCTATATTGTACCTTTTCTTAGGTACTTTCTGAAAGATTTGGGCAGAAGTAGGAGCTATATGGTTAATGTTATGGGGAAAAGGATGATTCAGAGCTGTGTCATTCCTCCCCGTTTCCTTTTTCTATTTCTCTCCATCAGGTCCTCCTAAGAAACTGAAGGACTTGGCTTCCCACAAGCTCCACCACTGGGCTCTACTCAAGCCTACCCCAATGTTGATATTTGCCCTCCTGCTCTTTTCCTCTAATGGTTCTGTAACCTATTATCAGATATTAGATTAACAATGTATCTAATCATACTTATTCACAAAAAGATGTGGTTACTTTTTAAATTATTTTCTTGACTCTCTAAATATTATTTGCATTTTATTAATTTAAATGAATCTATAGTTGGTAAAAATTTTGAGAGTATGGCAAAAACAAGCACATATCAGGTAGAACAAGAGAAAAATTTTTAAGAGGAGATAGCGTATTTGGTGTGTATATTCTTGATAAAGAGTATTGTTATGATTGAGATTTAAACCCTTTTGAGAAATGGAAACATTAACTTAGTTTAAAACTAATTTATCCTTTTGGCAGTGTATAAAAGCCTAGAGCAGAGGTCAGGAAGCTATGGCTTATAGATCAAATCTGAACTATTAATTATTACTTATTTACGTAAGTACAGTAGTCCCTCTTATCCATGGTTTTGCTTTCCACATTTTGTTTACCACTCGTTAACCATGGTCCAAAACATTAAATGGAAAACTCCAGAAATAAGCAATTCATAAGTTCCAAATTGCATGCTATTCTGACTACTGTGAGGAAATCTTGCACCATCCTGCTCTGTCCTGCCCAACACTAATTATTTCTTTGTCCAGCATATCACATCCAATGTAAGTTATCCCATTGTTCAGTGTATCCACACTGTATATGCAACCTGCCTGTTAGTTACTTGTAGCCAATTTGGTTATCAGCTGCATGGATAGCAAATGCTTGTGTTTAACCCTTATTTTATTTCAGAATGACCCCAGAACACAAGAGCAGTGATGCCAGCAGTTTAGATTAAAATTTGTTAAAAAGCCATAAAATGCTTCCTTTAAGTAAAAAATGGTAAAAATCTTGTTATAATAAGGAAAGCAGGAAAAATTATGTGCTGATGTTACTAAAATCTATTCTAAGAAGAATAGGAAAAAATATAGGTTCAGGATAATCCAAAATCTAAAATGCTGCAAAATCTGAAATGTTTTCAGTGCTAATTTGATGCCACAGGTAAAAATTCCACCACTGACCTCATGTGAGGATTTGCAGTAAAAACACAGTTGATTATAAAAATATAAAAATATTGTATAAAATTATCTTCAGGCTATGTGTATAAGTTTTATACGAAACACAAGTGAATTTCATGTTTAACTTGGGTCCTATCCCCAAGATGTCTCATTTTGTATATTCAAATGTTCCAAACCATAAACACTTCTGATCCCAAGTGTATTCAACCTGTTTATATAGGATTCACTACTATAAATGGTTTCAGACATTGACTGTGGTCTTGGAGCTTATCCCCCAAGGATAGGCGAACTATTGGAACACAGCCATGCTTATGTGTTTTTATTTTTGTTCATGACTATTTTTACACTATCGCAGCAGAGTTATATAGTTACTGTAGTGACTGGATGACCCAGAAAACCTAAAATATTCACTGTAGGGTTCTTTACATAAAATATTTGCTGATCAGTGGGAGTGTAGACTTTCCTAGTCTCTTTTTGAAAAGTGCAAGTTGATGGTAAATGAATCTCACCTTGATTCAAATCTTTGTAGTATAAAGATGTTAACAGGTATTATTCAAAAAAGAATTCCTTTTTCAATACATTTTCTTTTTAAAAAAATTAAATGCATCATTACTATAGTCTTTCTCAGACTCTTTAATTTGTCATAGTATATTGGACTGGAAGAAGGAGCATACTATTCACCATTTCAAAAATACAGTTGATTAAGAACCTTTTTTCTATGGAACACTTTCCAGGTCTACTTTTCTTGAGAACACACATTAAGCAATATTGAATTAAGAAATATTGAGCATGGTAGGTTGGTTAGTTGTGTGTGTGTGTGTGTGTGTGTGTGTGTGTTTGTTTCAGGGTACATGGGTATAGTTGTTAAGTCATATCGATTAACAGATAAACAAAATCAAAATGTCTTAGGCCCATTTTCAGTTTAGTGAAACAATATAGGGTTACAGGTGGGCTGTCTAATGCTTGTTAGTTTTGATTTGTTGTTCAATTTGTAACTTCTGCATTTAAGAGCACTTAACAGAGGAAATGGTTTTACCATATGGAATTGTTTACCCAAAGGAATTGTTAATTTTTTTTTGGTTTCAAATTTTAGTAGACTTGACAAGTACACTGTTCTAATAATGATAATATTTTATTAATTCACCAATTCATTTGTAACTCTGCATGTTTTTATTTTTTTTAGAATTTAAACAAACAGTCCTTCGACCTTGCAAAAGTCCTATTGAAAAGGACAGTCCAGACTATTGAGGCATGCATTGCCAATGTATGTATTTCTGTCTATATTTATTATATAATTGTGTAATTTTTAATCCATTATACTAATTTATTAGAACCATTGACATACAGATTTATTTATAATATAAATTATTTAGTCTACTTAAGAGTAAGTGTGAAGGTAATACTTATATTTCAAAATGTGATCAGTGGAAGAAATGCAGCATATCTTCATAAACTTTATTGTCATTGATTTAAAATGGTACAAGATGGCCAGGTGCAGTGATGCACACCTGTAATCCCAGTGATTTGGGAGACTGAGGCAGGAGGATTGCAAGTTTCTAGACAGCCTCAGCAGTTTAGCAAAACCTTGTCTCAAAATAAAAAGTAAAAGGGGCTGGGGACATAACTCAGTATTGAAATGCCCTGGGTTTATTCCCTAGCCAAGGGGAAAAAAAAGGTACCAGATGGTTGAAATTATTTTCTGAAAACTCCTACCCTCTCTTCTGCATTTGTATTTGTATTTCTATTTGTCTTATTTCCCAGATATGCTAATCTCTTTCACCTTCTCCCTGCATGTTTACCTGAGTCTGTCTTTATTTATACATTTTCCTCTTTGTGTCTTCTAGATCATTCTTCTGAACCCCCTGTTTCTTCCTCTTGAATAGTTGTTAAATAAATGTTTTTAAAAACTTGAATCAAAGTTTGTTCTTTTTTTTTTTTTTTTTCAATTAAACTAAAAAAAAAACTTGGGAAAAGAACTATTTGTAATTCTACTACCTTAATAAAGGAATTAATTCTCTTGCACATTTGTTCATATTCATATCTATTTTAATTTATTTCTCTGTTTTGACTTTTTATTTATAATATGAGTAACTGTAAATGTTCCTTTAACTTAATATATACCCATTTCTCTATTGCCTTGTACTAAGGTTTCTTCAGTGTTTTCCTTTACAAATCATTGTGAATCTAACATTCATCTGTTGTTGAATATTTATTTTCCTCATATAAAAGACAAATGAGGGTGTAGCATTAGTATTATTTCAATTAGTAAATTAATATTTAATGGATTAAAATATTTTCAGATAGCATGAGTGTAAGTGAAAAGTATCTTTCAACCTCAAATCCTCTGTCCTCAATTTTCAGAAATAACTGTCACTTATAGGTTTCATATAAACTTCCAGAGGAAGCATTCTGTGCTCATTTATGTATGGATTTTATAAAAACTACCTTTCTCATTCTTTCCACAGTTCACATAGTAAATACAAATATCTTTTAACTCTTAATTTATGTTGCTCTTTGAAAGATATTTGGGGATTTGATGATCAAACCTAGGGCCTTGAACACACCAGTCAAGTGCTCTACCACTGAGCTACACTCCCAGCCCAAGAAGCATGTCATTTTATGATGCAGATATACATATTTATGTTATATGTATACAACTCCCTTTTTCGAATTTTAAAATACAATGCTTTCTGCTAAGTGTGCTTGGAGAGGGTGCAGTCTTTTAATTTGTGTTCCTGATGTTATATATACTTTATTTTCTCTAATACTCTTAAATTATCAACTTATTTCTGCATCATCAACTTTTCTTTCTCTCTATCCTCTGAGTTGAAATGTATTTGATTTTCTCTGGGTATTAACAACATAAATTCATCCCCCATTTTAAATATTTTTTTAATTACTAAAAAACTTGGGAAAATTAGATCAATTTCTTCAAAATAATTTTTAAATAAAAATCAGAGATTGAGATTTTAATTTTTTCTGTTACAATGAAATAACCATAAAATTTTCTATAATGAACTACACAAACTGCTTAAATTGTTTTATTTTGGTGAAAATTAAGATTCTCAGAAATGTCATCCTTATTTGAAGCACAGCCAAATTTTTCTAACATTCATGATTTAATATTATCTGGAAGTTTATTTCTTTTGCTATTTAGATGACTGTTCTATTACTATTATGTATTAGTGATTCAAACGCCTGTCCCTTCTATTGTATATGTGATAACTGATGCTGTTGTTTTTAAAAAGAAAAAAAAAAAACACATGCTCATAGAAAACATTGAATTTTTAAAATAAAATACATATTTTTGTTTTTAATATTTCCTATAGTTTTTCAATCAAGTCCTGGTGCTGGGAAGATCGTCAGTAAGTGATTTGTCAGAACATGTATTTGATCTGATTCAGGAACTTTTTGCTATAGATCCTCATTTATTATTATCTGTCATGCCGCAGCTTGAATTCAAATTGAAGGTAGGATTGACCAATTTTCAAGCCCTTTAAGCTTTTAAGAAAAAAAATGTTAATCGGAGAATTTTTCCCTTAACTGTAAAAGAATAAAATGTGAGTTCAATTTATATCCTTTCCTCTAAAGTACACAGCTTTAATCATTTAAATAAACTAGTATCTCTCTTCTGGGTAAAAGAAGACTTGATGCTACAAAATTGTAATATACATGTTTGTTAAATACATACTGATAAACATAGTGACACAAATAATAAATAGATTTGAAAAATGTTGTTATCTTTGAAATTTGTAATATACAGTATGTTGTTGTTAAATGGTATTCATTGATTAGTTATATTTTAAAACAGTGAGATTTTAAGCTGAATGCTCAAAGGGCCTCAATTATAACTTTGTAACCCTCATATGGTATAGGTCAAAGACAGAAATTTTATTAAATGGATTGGGAGTATATCTGTTTTTTTATTGTTAACTTAACAAGGAATTTCTGACTTCTCAAAATAAAAACTTGACACTTAATCCCCCATCTTAATTGAACTATAGAAGATAACACTTTAGCTGGGTGCAGTATCACACACCTGTAATCCCAGCAGCTTGGGAGGCGGAGGCAGGAAGACTGCAAGTTCAAAGCCAGCCTCAGCAATTTAGCAAGGTGCTAAGCAACTCAGTGAGACCCTGTCTCTAAATAAAATACAAAATAGGACTGGAGATGTGGCTCAGTGGTCAAGTGTCCCTGAGTTCAATCCCCGGGGAACCCCCCCCCCCCCCGCCCCAAAAAAATTTTTTTTAATTTGATCTTTAATTCAAACTATAATTAGAACCAACATTACATTTCTTTCTTTCGAGATGAGAAATTTAAGATTAAATGTTTTGCAGACTGTTAAAGCAAATAGTTTTTTTTTTTAAATGAGAAACTCTTGTTAGGAGAATGTTATCTAGAATAATAATAAATGTTATCTAGAATAAAATAGTTCTTAAGAGAAACTGTAGAAAAATGTTATCTAGAATAATAATAAATGTTATTTAGAATAAATAAGGTGTGTTTTGGTCGTCACAATCATCATCATAATCATCATCATCATTTTGGCAATGTGGGTTGAATCCAGAGTTACTCTTTCATGGAACTACATCCCCAGCCCTTTTTATTTTTTCTTTTGAGATAAGGTCTTGCCAAGTTGCTGAAGGTCTTGCTAAATTGCCTGACTGGCTTCAAACTTGCAATCCTCTTGCCTCAACCTCCTTAGTCATTGAGATTATAGGCATATGCCACTATGCCTGGCTTGGATTTTATTCAAGAGTTTATTTTAACAACATAAACACTTAGTTTCCATACTAAATTTATTTCTGAGTTGTAAGGTATTAAAATATGTTCTCCATCCCATCACATACACACATACCTATTTGTAGTGTCTGAAGATGTGAAGTCAAGCCTCTAAGCCTAAAATAAAAAACTGCTGTGATATGGTGGGAAAGGAGGGAAGCTATTTTTTCTTAGATTTCCCTTTGTGTGCTTAATGTAAACTGGAAGATTCTAAGCTGTAGTGGCTATTCATGCCCCACTTTCTAGGTTCATGTATCTAAAGCAGAGGTGCTAATAAGCTGAAGTCAGCCTGAAAATATTTTTTTGATACACTTTATTTTAAAATCTCTTATTGAGATGGATATATTTTTTAGTTTCTAACAAAGAGTGAATTTAAAAAACCAGGAGATTTTGTTTAAAAGTCCATATGCATTTTCTTTTTTAAAAAATTCAGATTTGGCTGGCACAGTTGCCAATGTCTGTAATCCCAGCTAATCAAGAACCTGAGGCAGGAGAATGGCAAATTCCAGGCTAGCCTTAGTAATTTAGCATGACCTTGTGTAAAAAATTAAAAATATATAGTTTAGTGGTACAGTGTCCCTGGATTTAACCCTCATTACCTTCCCACCATACCCCACCCTGCCCACACATATATAGAAAGTCAAGTCTGGTTCCACTAAGACTTTATCTTTTATATCACAATAGAATGGCTAGCACTAAGTAGTAGTATCTTAAACTATTTGTAAGCTTTTTAGTTTATCATGGTTCTAATTATTCCTTTAGTTTATATACCACCTCTTCTTCACTGGTACAATTTGACTTCATACCTGTTTACTCTAAAGGTAATGAATATGAAGTTTTTCATATTTTTTTATTCTGGTTTACTAACCCCATAGTAAGGGGTTAGTAGTAAGTAGTTTATCTAACACAAAGTCATTGATCTTTATATTTTTCTATATTAGGTTATTCATGCTTTTTAAAAGTTTAATACTGCATCTAAATAGTAGTAATAGAATATTTTGTTTATTGTCCTAGAACAACAAACAGATATTATTACCCATGTTCTTATTTGTTCCCTTCTGAAATCCTAGCCTGTACTTTTATTAATTTTCTCATCTGCAATGAAGAAACTGAGATTTAGATTAGCCTGTGTATTAAGTATTATTATGGTACCTCTTTTTTAGTCAACAGTATGTGCCAAGCAGATTACCTAGGAAATTTTTATGGCTGTGGTGATGCAGTTTTATCTCTGAATCTATAGACTCCTTTGGTAGTTCGCAGATCTTGGTTACAGTCCTCTGAGAACAATAAAAATATTTGAGAAAATGCTTCAAAATAAGATTCTTTGGTTTTACTCTGTATTGTGCTCTATGTATGGTCTATTTTATAGGTCCCCACAGTTCGGTTCTCATATTTGTAAAGGATACCCTGGAGTTATGCTACTTAGCAACATTGGCTATAATTCACAGGAAATTTGTCACATTTTACATTTTCATTTAAGATTTTTGTTTATGGCAGGGATTGGGAAAGGGAGATTTACATTTATTCACCAGATTTTAAAACATTTTAATATAGTCATATTTAAAGTAAAAATCAGGTATTCACAAAAAGAATGTTTTGAATCAATTGCATTGTAATTAGAAACAGTAGTAAAATTTGTTACCTTTTCAGACTAGGACTAGACAGAATAAAAACTACAGTGGCTTTATTTCTCTTTTTGAAAAGTAATTGGTAAATTGTTAATGTAGAATTTCTCATTTTGTCTCACTTATTAAAATATGTAGCTGTATTTGTAATTCAGTGCATATGTCCTATCTTCATAAGATAATAACTTTGGTTAGGTTAATAATACATCAGCTGTACATCAGAAACACAAAATGGTTTTTGCACCAAAAATATGTACTATCATTGTAATCATTCCAACTTTACTCGAGGAATATATTTTAAATTTTACAAACACAGGAGGAGCTAGTTTTCACTTAGTTATGTAATTTCAATCATTTTATAAATGTTAAATGTCACATTATTTGAAATAATTACTGATTTACTCACAAATAGAATAAAACTTACACTTATTCTAGTATTTGAAATTTAAGAGATAGGTTTAATTTTTCATTAAAAATCAAATTAATTTTAAAAAATCAAATTTTGGCAGGTGTGGTGACGCACTCCTAAATCCCAGTGGCTTAGGAGGCTGAGGCAGGAGGATCACAAATTCAAAGCCAGCCTCAGCAAAAGCAAGGTTCTAATCAATTCAATGAGACCTTGTCTCTAAATGAAATACAAATGGGGCTGAGGATGTGGCTCAGTGGTCAAGTGCCCCTGAGTTCAATCCCCAGTACAAAAAAATAATAATAATAATAATTATGCCAGTTAGTAAATTTGGCAGTACCACTTAGCATTGTTGTCACAATTAAAAGAAAATCTTTGTCAGAGAAGATCATTTTGTCATTCATTATGGCAAAGCTAGATTTAATTTTCATTTTTACATCTGTTTGATATAAATGTGTCTGCTTCACCTAGAAAACTTTTATTTCTAAGAGTTAAAATATTCTTAAGGACTAGATTATATTTTCTACTTGAACTTCTATCTTTCCCCACAGAGATTTGTTTGTTCAATATCTGGTATTGCTTTACACAAACATTGTATTTGAACTCCTAAAAAAATTAGTAGTTTTTTTTTTAGGGATTACATTTACTTTCCTAATGAATATGTGAGTTTTAAAAAGAAATTTCACACACCATATGATTTCAAAATAATTTACACTAAAATGTGATGTCAGTAATGAAACTAGAACAGATTTTTTAATTCCCTTTTTAGTACTTGGGATTGAACCTACAGTCCTCTATATCCCTAGACCTTTTTAATTTTTGAGACAGTGCTTTATTAAATTGCCAAAGCTGGCCTCGAACTTTTGATTCTCCTCTGTCAGCCTCCTAAGTCATTGGGATTACAGGCATGTACCACTAGTCCCAATTTGGAACAGAATTTCATAGCTTATATTGGTTCATTATAAGAAAATAGGAGACTCTTACCAAAAAATTACTAAATTTGGGGGTTTTTTTGTAAAATGCAAGTCACTTGACCTTTTAAATCCTCTTAAGATTGTTGCTCTTATTAAAATGAGTTTTCCTGAATTGTGATATTATTCAGCATCCTGTTCTCCAGTCAGTAGTAGATACTTGGTTAAAATATTGCAAATTAAGATCTTGGGGCTGGGATTGTGGCTCAGTCCCCTGGCATGGGCAGGACCCGGGTTCAATCCTCAGCACCACATTAAAAAAAATAAAATAAAAGCATTGTGTTGTGTCCATCTACACCTAAAAAATAAATATTAAAAAAAAGATCTTAATCTATATTGATGTTGAACCTTAAATTGAAGGACAGAATTCTTATAAAGAAAGTTTATTAGGGCTGGAATTATGTGCAGCTTGGTCCTTTACAAATTTTTTTTTTCCCTAGAGCCTTAGTATCAGAAATGGATGAAGTATCTTTACATTTTTACAATGTGTATACCAATGTAAGATTATAAATAAGCAGTGAAGGGCTGGGGCTATAGCTCAGTGGCAAAAGCGCTTTCCTAGCATGATTGAGGCACTGGGTTCAATCCTCAGCACCACATAAAAATTAACAAAATAAAGGCATTCTGTCCATCTATAACTACAAAACAAAAAATTTTTAAAAATAAGCTAAATTTGCAAATGGGAAAACATCAGATAAGATCAAAGTACCAGATGATCTCACTTGGAATAAATTTTGCATAGTAAATAAGAGCATATGATATTTTAAAATATTCAAAATTATAAGCAGAAATCTGAAGTTGTGGGCTGCAGCTGTAGCTCAGTGGTAGAGCACTTGTCTAGCATGTGTGAGTCACTGGGTTTGATCCTCAGCACCACATTTTTTTTAAAAAAAGGCATTCTGTCCATACACAACTACAAAAAAAATTTTTTTTTTTTAATGAAGTTGTATGTTTGGGGGAATATTTCATTTTTTTGTAGTTGGAACAGTAAAACTCAAGCTTCATTTATTTTCTCTTTTCCCTTTGTAGAGCAATGATGGAGAAGAACGATTAGCTGTTGTTCGACTTCTAGCTAAATTATTTGGATCTAAAGATTCTGATTTGGCCACACAGAATCGACCTCTTTGGCAATGTTTTCTTGGACGGTAAGAGAACATGAAATTCAGATTTATGTATTTTGGGGCCTATTCAGTAGGGTCCACTTGATTATAACTACACATACCAAAACTTTAATTAATGTTTGTTGGTTTCATTAGCATTATACTAAAAAGTGTCTTGGAATAGTTAGACATCATCTCAGGATGTGCTAAAAATTTGAGATTTTTAAATAAACTTTTCAGGTGAAACCACTAGTCCTGTGTGAAGAATCTGGTATTTATCTAATTGTATGATGAGTTTTCAAATAATTTGGTATAATTGTATGGCTATGAGATGAAAAATATTATTGCTCTTAAATTCTTTTTAAAGTTTCTCAAGAACATAGAATGATTAAATTTTACTTGATAAGGTTGAAAAATCTATGAAATTTATTAAATTCTTCCTCACATTTCATTTACATGATACTTTTGTTTCAAAGGTTGATTTAAAAGTAGATATTTAGTATTAGTATTTTGGGGAACATTTGAAATTCATCATTAATTCAACTGATTTTTTGAAGATGTACTCATTTAGAATAAATTTACTATAATAATCCTTATAATAATCCTATGTTCTGTGAAATCTCTGACAATGACATAATGATATCTCAGCAGTTACTTGCTCAGAACAAACCATCTTTAAGGTCTTAAAAGAAGACCTGAATATTTGAATAATTAATCTTGATCCCAGACAAGGCAACTGACTTAGAAGGTTCCAGAGGAGGTATTCCCTATCCTAGTGATTGACATCAGTATTTATTGCAAATCATTCAAGCAAAAATGCAAGAATGTATTTTTCACTTGAGGTTCTTGTAAGATCAAAATCAGCATATGGGTTTTTAAACATGATTTTATATTCACTGGTGTATCTCTCTGGTGATGTGTCAGTGATTTATAGAAACAAAGAGGTTATATTTTATCTGTTCTGTATGTTATTTAATTGTAATGTTAAGTGTTTTTATACTTTGCTTGATCAAAAATTTTTTTCTCTGACAGTTGAAAAATTATAAATCCTAAATGTAAGATTATATTAAAATACAAAGATTAGCCTGCATAAGAAAGTTGGAGGCTATAGACATTAGGACATTTATTAAATGAGTTTACTTGAATATTTTATGAACTCATTTCAAAAATTTAAAAATTACCTTTTATTTAACATCACATTATTATCCCCACCCAAACCCCCCTGTGCTGTGGATTGAACCCAGGGCCTTGCATCTGCTAAGCATGTATACTACCAATGAGCAATACCCCCATCCCAAAATCACATTATTTATCAGTAATAAATATATTTTTAAAAGTTGCCCAGTCTATTTTAAATTTGAATTGCAAAGCTTATTCTTACTATATATTATGTTGTATTTCATATTAACTGAATTCATATACTGCTGGGCATGGTGGTTGTGGTGGTAATGGGGATGGTGGTGGTGATGGTGCACATCTATAATCCCACTGCGGGTGGTCAGGCAGGAGGATCAAAAATTCAAGGCTAGCCTTAGAATTCTAGTAAGGCCCTAAGCAACTTTGCGAGACTGTGTCTCCAAATAAAAAACAAAAAGGGCTGGGGATGTAGCTCAGTGGTAAAGTGCCTCTGTGTTCAATCCCCTGTACCGAAAAAGAAAACAAAACAAAACAAAACAAAAAAAGCATTTTACCACAAGTGAGTCCCAGGCGGATGAGGAAAGATGGCTCATTTTTATCCACTCTTATTTCAGCCTCTGGATTTTAGTCTTATGTATGGTCTGCTTTCTACACCAAATTCCCCAATAGTTTCCTCTTATAAATTTTTTTTCCAAGCAAAGTTTATGTGTTCTGAATATTTATTTTTTATTTATTATGTGGCAAAATAATAATCTCTCAGAGTTTTAGATCTGTAAAATGAATAGTTTTATTAGTCAGACATATGTTTATATTTTTTTGTCATTTTGTTTTAGCATGATAAAACAAATTGTTTCAAAAACGTTTCTTTAAAATTATGTCTTTTGTCTTATATACTTTATATTCTCCCATCAGAACATATTAGCTATCATTATAATCAATGTATTTTCTAATCAGTAAATATTGTTGTTTATAAGCACTTGTGTGTTAGATATACCTTATTTGAAAATATTATTGTGCCTTAGAATTAATATTTAGCAATCTCTTTCTATATAGATTTAATGACATTCATGTTCCTGTGAGATTAGAAAGTGTGAAATTTGCCAGTCATTGTTTAATGAATCACCCAGATTTAGCAAAAGATCTCACAGGTAAGCTATCTGGTTTATTGCAAATGAAGTAATTACAGAAATAAAGTTTACATGCAGGCAAAGGTCTAACTTCAGTTTCTGAATAGATTTTTAATTCTATCATGATTTCAGGTCGCTATTTCTCATGCCCTAGGAAATGATTATATGCTTTATAAAATAAAATTACATTCAAAATCTTTGTTGTTTTGATCCTTTCGAATTTTTTAGGAAAAAAGAAATGTTTTAAGGAAATAGATTTGGGCACAAATCATTATATTTATATAATTTAAGTATAGTAACATACAATAATAAGTAGGAAAGCGGTTGTTTTCTGAATTTAACTAAAATTTGTTTCTTCACTTGAACATAGAGCTTTTAAAACTACACATTTGATTGTAGCAAATAGGTGGCGTCTATCAAAGTTCTGTTGTTTATAAAAACCAGAAGAAATGACACTTTTTACCTTGATTTACTTTGTATTATAAGTTGTTCAGGATTTGTTTGTTTGTTTATACCAGGGAGTCATTTAACAACTAAGCCACATCCCCAGCCCTTTAAAAAAATTTTTTTTTTTAGTTGTTGATGGATCTTTATCTTATTTATTTATTTATATGCGGTGCTAAGGATTGAACCCAATGCCTCACTCATGCTAGGCAAGTGCTCTACTACTGAGCCACAACCCCAGCCTCCCCCAGCCCTTTTAAATATTTTATTTAGAGACAGGTTCTCACTAAGTTGCTTGCGGCCTCACCAAGTTGCTGAGGCTGGCTTTGAACTCACAGTCTTTCTGCCTCAGCCTTCCAAGCCACTGGGATTACAGGCATGGACCACTATGCCCAGCCTATTCAGGATTTTTTTTTAAAAGATTACAAAATATTCTGGATTTTAAAGGTGTAGGTATATACCTATCAGCTAACTTGTTATAAGCATTTTTACTATTCTTCAAGTCTTTTAATTTGTAACTGCAAATCTAAACTGTATAAATCACATACTGTGTTGTAATTCAAATTTTCCACTAAAATAACCTTATTTATTAAGATGTGCTATGCAGATTTGTGATTATTACAGAGTACTGGTGTCTTAAAAATTATTTTGATTCATGCCACATATTACAGACATTGTCTTAGTATGAACAAATGCTAAAAGCATTAGTCTTTTCTGTCATTCTGAATCATGACAAATTACATAGCTCACATGGAGCTTAAGTTTTTTTTCTTATTACAGAATATTTGAAGGTTAGATCACATGATCCAGAAGAAGCTATTCGTCATGATGTCATTGTTACTATAATAACAGCAGCCAAAAGAGACCTTGCCTTAGTAAATGATCAGCTGCTTGGATTTGTAAGGGAAAGAACACTGGATAAACGGGTAAAATCTGAGGAATTTTATTCTTCCTTATTTTACTGTGTTTCATTTGTTAAATACAATTGGTATTATTTTCTATAGTAAGAATTATTATCCATAATAACAATTAAAGCTTTTCTGCTTGAAAATCAGATTAATGACAATGCTAAATAGATTTTTATTTCTTGTACATATTAATTACCTTTGAGTACATTGGATTCTAGAGTTTTTCACATCTTAGTTATGGTTTCTATTTTAGCATTTTCCTTTATAAAAGAACAGATAAATTAGGGCTGGGGTTGTGGCTCAGAGATAGAATATTTGCCTAGTATGCGTGAGGTACTGCGTTTGATCCTCAGCACCACATAAAAATAAAATAAAGGTATTTCGTCCACCTACAACTAAAAAAAAATGTTTTTTTGATAAAAGGTAAATTAAAAGTTTTATTCTATTTTTTCTCACATATGATAAGTTTATAAATAGTAACTTATCAATCTGCTTCTCATTTATTACAACCTGATATAACTTAGCTGGGTCTGTCATTGTTTGAATAAAAATACCATCATACTTACTAAGAAAGTGATATTTCCACCTGGGTTTGGTGCTGCACACTTGTAATCCCAGGAATTCAGGAGGCTGAGGAAGGAGAATGCCAAGTTCAAGGCCAGCCTCATCGGCAACTTAGCAAGATCCTGTCTCAAAAACATCTGAGATATTTTTTCCATTTGGTCTCGTTAGAAATATGAATTGATGAGGAAAAGTAATACTAAAAACAGAAATAGCAGTTGCTAAGAAATAGCACTGTCCCCCATAAGTAAGAGACTTATGCAAAGCAGGCTGATTAACATCTTTAACAACAATTACCTTGCAGTTTGCTATTTTATTTTATATAATTGATAATCAAATTTCCTGTGGAAAAGTATAGTTTAGCTATAATTTCAGGGTAGAGAAGAAGTTGGTTTTTAGAAGTCTTTATGCTTTTCTTTTTTAAATAATTATAAGAGGCTGGGCAGGGGGCTGGGGTTCTGGCTCAGTGGTAGAGCACTTGTCTGCCATGTGTGAAGCACTGGGTTCAAGTCTCAGCACCACATATAAATAAATAAGTAATAAAGGTCCATCAACAACTAAAAAAAAACCCATATAATCTTTAAAAAAAAAAATAGGCTGGGCAGGATGTCACCTGGCTATAATTGGGAGGCTGGAGAGGGAGGATTGCAAATTCGAGGCCAACCTCAGCAACTTAGTAAGGCCCTATCTCAAAACAAAAATTAAGAACTGAGGATGTATCTGTTGTATTGAACCTACACCCCAGGTTCAATTCTCAGTAGAAGGAAAAAAATAAAAGTCATAAGAGGCAGATGTTTTAATGGACATTGGCCAGGCACCACGGCACTTGCCGGTCATCCCATTGATTTGGGAGATCAAGGCAAGAGGATCACAAATTCAAGGCCAATCTGTGTAAATAAGCAAGATGCAGTATCAAAATTAAAAAACAAAAAGTGTGGGTTGGGGATGTACCTCACTGGTAGAGTGCCTCTGGGTTCAATACCCATTACCAAAAAAACAAAAAAACCCCACTGTTTAGCTTGTTTAACTGTGTTAGTAATTCTAACTTGGAAGATTTCTTTTTGTCTTTAATTTAAATGACTCTACCTTGTTGTTAATTGGCATTGCCCTCTTTTCTTCCCATATGTTATTGCCACTCATGTAATATCTTCCTTCTAGAAAGATTTCACTCCTATTAATGTTTCATAGTTTCAAAAGGAGTTGAATAAATGACTCTTCTTAACTGAAACTACATTATGTGGTCATAATAATACCTATTAGACATTTAAGACCTGAATTTTGGACTAATAAGTTACATAGTAGCCATTTTAACAATTGTTTTCTCCTATATAAAAGGGGGCCAGGAATTAATCTTATATTTCATGGTACACAGTTTTTGGTTTAAGTGATATCAGAAGGCATCCATGTGAGGCATGTTGGTGCATGACTGTAATTTTAGTGACTTGGAGGCTGAGACAGGAGGCTAGCCTAGGCAACATAGTGAGACCCTATCAAAATTTTTAAAAATAAACAAGGCATCTGTTAACCTGTTGTATAGGAACGAAGTATTATTCCATCCACTAAGTTGGCAAAAAATGAAAAAAAATAACAAAAATTTTATAAGGAAGAACTGACTTAAAAAGTATTTAAATATCCCCTCACCATTTTTTTTAAAGAGAAATACATTTTTGGTTATTGTTTTTTCTTAGATCTTGGCATAGTCTTCATGTTAGGTTTTTTGGTGCTGAGATCAAACCCAGGGCCTCACACATACTAGGCAAATGCTGTACCACTGAGCTCCACTACCAGCACTCATGTTAGGTTTTTAACCGTCTCTCTTCTTTCTTCTTTTTCCTGTCCGCCTTCCTCTTAACACCATCCTTTCCTTCTCCAGTAACCCTTTCATACCAGCCTCTAGAAATCCCCGGAGTCTTTTCACTAACTAGGACATGCTATGTATGTAAATCATTTGTCTACAAAGTAAGACAAGATGATGATAAAGAATAAGATGATCACTGAAGTTCTTTCCAACGTTGTAGTCTCAGTATCCTTTTATTAAAATATATATTTTTAGTTGTAGATGGACACGATACCTTTTATTTTTATGTGATGCTGAGGATCAAACTCATTGCCTCACACATGTGACGCAAGTGCTCCACCACTGAGTTACAGCCCCAACCCTAGACTCAGTATTCTTGATACTGAATGAACTTTGTTCTTTTTATTCTGGGTTAACATCAGAAAGCATATAATTAAGAACTAAAATATTTTAAGTTTTTATTTGTAGAATGAAATATTTCCTTTGTCTTTTACATTTAAAATTGGACATATATATTTTTTTCTTTAATTTAGAGAATCAAATGATGTATTTAGTAGGATTTACTGTTGCTTTGCTCTGTATGGAAATAAAAAATTGGTAGATCATTCAGCGGTATCTCCACTAGAAAATTTCTAAAGTAGTTTTGTTTCTAAATAGGAACACATTCAAAATGCTTAGTAAAGTCTGTGTAAAAGAAATATTATGTTCACACACACACACACACACACACACTCACTCACTCACTCTCTCTTAAGCTGACTGCAACCTAGTAAAGCCATAGCAGTTTTTGCAGGTTAATATAAAATTTTGTTATTTTCCTCATCTAATAAATGTTATACTTTCTAGTGGCGAGTAAGAAAAGAAGCTATGATGGGTCTGGCTCAGCTTTATAAGAAATACTGTCTTCATGGTGAAGCAGGAAAGGAAGCGGCAGAGAAAGTCAGCTGGATAAAGGACAAACTTTTACATATTTATTATCAGAACAGCATTGATGACAAGTGAGTCTACTATGTTGATCGAATGATTGAATGTAAAACTGCTTTTCATTTTTAAATGTCTTAATCTAACTTTAAATACTTTATTTCTAAATTTAGAAATAACTTTCTATGAATTCTTACATACTATGTTTAAATAAGTTTGTAAGGTAGCATAGTAATAGTAAACTAGGCAAAGATTTTGTAGTCAACCAGACCAGAGACAGCTGTTTGCTGTGGCCCTTATGATTTTACTTCTGTGCATATCAGTTTAACATAAAAAGGAGAAATTTTCTTAATGCACTTTTTACAGGATTGTCATGTGGATTAAATAAAATAATAAATGTAAAGCACAATGGTCCTTTCTTTGCCTGCAGTATTGTTTGATAATTCATAATTATTAGTTTTCCTTTTTGCAACACTGTCATTACCAATAGAGGCATTATTACATTCTTTTGATTTTCTCAATGCTACTTCAAATTTTATAATGGATTGGGTTAATGATACTTGGTTTTTGTAAAATACTTTGCAGTGTTTTATTGAATTAGAGTGATTACTTGGGTATCACAGGTAATGTATTTAATTGGTCAATGAAGAGCTCTTTGTTTTCTTATTCCAGTAGTACTGAATAATAGATATAAGTTTTGCAAGAAGGATATTCCAGTATTGATAAAGAATTTAGAATATGGAGAGAAGAAAAATCAATATACATATTTTCAGGAAGTATTAGAAAGGAGATCCTCTTGTTTTCTCTCTGTGACAACATGGGAAAGGAACTGAACTGTAATCAGAGGAAATTAATGAGTTTCTTGACAATTAGAATCATAGCTTTATATGTAGTGTTAACTAATTTGTTAGTTTTGGACTGTTGAAGAATAGGTGGTACAGCCTGCCCAGTGTTTAGGAATAACATTTTACTATCCTAGAATAAATGTTTCATAAGGACACATTATAACTTGAAGCCACAAGCAGTAACTGCCTCTAAATTTAAAAATAACTGTAGAACATCTTCCATTGGAAAAACCGATTATATCCTGATGTTTCCCATCGTATGTGAATACACTATTGGTTTGGTATCTTTCTTCAAAATGGTAAAAATGACTATTATCACTTTAAAAATAAAATAATTGTGCGTTTTGGGTCTTGTTTCACAGACTATTGGTAGAGAAAATTTTTGCTCAGTATCTTGTGCCCCACAATCTGGAAACAGAAGAGAGAATGAAATGCTTATATTATTTATATGCTAGTTTGGATCCAAATGCTGTAAAGTAAGTTATTTTTCAAATGACTAAATTATTTTTGAAAATTTTATAAAATTACTTCATCTTATCTAATTATTGTTGTTGTCATCTTATCTAATTGTTATAATTCAAGAAACTCAGGCAAATATTTATAGAGAAAAATATTATTTAAATTCAGATCAGTCAACAGCAAAGCTATTCCTATATTCATAGTGTTTTTTTTGTTGTTGTTGTTTTTTTTCTTATCAATGGACCTTTACTTAACTAATTTATGTATATATAGTGCTGAGAATTGAACCCAGTGCCTTACACATGCTAGGCGAGTGCTCTACCACTGAGCCATGACCCCAGCCCCCTCACAGTGTATTTGACAACTGGGTCGTAATATGTTCTCAGACATTCAACAAAGTCCCCATGTCAGAATACCTGGTGGGTATCTAAATTATACTATTCTCCTTTATCCTTTCATACTAAGTACTAAACTAATAAATGAGTAGGGTTTTTTTTGTTTTGTTTTTGTTTTTTTTAGAGCATATCTTCATCACCTCTACATAAGATGTGCATTTAATTATCTAATGAATATTTTAAGACAGAAAGGAAGCACTATTAATAATTTTGCTTGGAGCCGGGTGTGGTGGTAGTGCACACCTATAGTCCCAGTGACTAGGAGACTGAGGCAGGAGGATCGCCAGCTCAAAGCCAGCCTGGGCAACTTGGGCCCTGTCTCAAATAAAAAATAAAAAGGATGAACTGAGGATGTAGTTCAGTACCCCGGGTTCAATACCAATACCACCAAAAAAAAGTCAATTAAAATGCACACAAAATAATTGAGTCCTGTATTAAGAATTTTGAGACTTTTGATTTAGGATTTCAGCTGTATTTTATATATATATATATATATATATATATGTATGTATGTATATGTATATGTATTTGTGTGTGTAAATAAGCTGTATATAATTGTATAATTACATATATAGGTATAAACTTTAATTTGCATACAGAATGTTGTAACATCCCTTTACTCAGAACCATCATTTTTGACCATATACACGTTTTCTATCTCTATATATACATTTTACACGTTTTCTATCTCTATATATACATTTTCTTCCCAAACATTTGAGAATAATTTGCAGATGTGGATCCCTTTAGATATAAATACTTTAGTGTTGACTCATTATAAACAAAGATATTTTCTTATAGAACCTTAACAGTGTCTAATCCACTATATGTGTTCGAATTTTCCTCAGTTGTTCATATAATGTGCAGGTTTGTCTCATCTGGGATTAAATATCACATATGGAATCGTTACTCAATCTCTTTTTATGACTGTTTTTTGGAAGAGTTATCATAGACCAATTATTTTGTATAACATAGTCTCCATTTGGATTATTTTGCTGTTTAGTCTCCATTTGGATTATTTTGATGTTTTCTCACTATTAGATTATAATCATCCATTTTTAGCAAAAATTCCTTGAAGGTAATATATATCACATCAGGAGGCATTAGCCATAATTCTTTGACAGCTTTATTAATGCCACTCCTGATAGTAAAATGCTTGCCTAAGGGTTTAAATGTGTGTGTTTTGTGGTACTGGGGATTATACCCAAGGGTGCTCTACCACACTGAACTACATCCATAGCCCTTTTATTTTTATTTTAAGACAGGGTATCGGGCTGGGGATGTGGCTCAAGCCGGTAGCGCGCTCGCCTGGCATGCGCGCGGCCCGGGTTCGATCCTCAGCACCACATACAAAGATGTTGTGTCTGCCAAAAACTAAAAAATAAACATTAAAAAAAAATTAAAAAAAAAAAAAAAAAAAGACAGGGTATCACTAATTTGCCAAGACTGGCATCTCGAGATTGAAGTCTCCTGCAATAATCTCCCAAGTAGCTAGGATTACACGTAACTTGGCCTAAGGTTTGATATCCCTTTGTATTTCTAAATATCTGGCCAGGGCACTCAGAAGGATTTCTTAGAGATACTCTGGACACCTGGAAGTATAGAGGGCATTTGTAAGAGAGGAAAGTCTGTAATCATGGAGAGAAATGAGTATCGGGGCTGTATATAATTGTATAATTACATATATAGGTATAAACTTTAATTTATATAGCTCATGTGAGGCACTGGGCTTATCCTCGGTACCACATAAAAATAAATAATAAATAAAGCTTTTGTGTCCACCTACAACTAAAAACAATATTTTTAATAAATAAACAAACAAATAAATGGTTGGTATCCCTTCATATAGATTCCTTAGCCTGGCATTCAAAAGACCTTTTTCATCTGCTTCCTATCTATGGTTAGCTACAGCTATTTATGCTCCCCACTACACTCTGTAGTCCAAGCACATAAATGTTCTTCAGTTTTCTTTTTCTTATTTATTTATTTATTTATTTATTGGTTGTTCAAAACATTACAAAGCTCTTGACATATCATATTTCATACATTTGGTTCAAGTGGGTTATGAACTCCCATTTTTACCCCATATACAGATTGCAGAATCAGATCGGTTACACATCCACGTTTTTACATATTGCCATACTAGTGACTGTTGTATTCTGCTACCTTTCCTATCCTCTACTATCCCCCCTCCCTTCCCCATAAATGTTCTTCAGTTTTCTATGTGTGCCATACACCTAGACACTTTATCACTCCTTCAGCCAGAATACTCTGGCTATCTCTGAGCCTCTTTATTTAACTGCAAAATTCTTCTTTTCTCAGATATTTCTTCTCAGTGGTAGAGAGTTTGCCTAGTATGGATAAAGCCTTAGGTTCCATCCCCAGGACCATAAAAAATAAAATCAAAATAATAAGTTCCTCTTATGAGGAGCTTTCTAGTTACCATTTATATTATATAGTCATAAATCCTAGTAAATAAATATTTGCTTAAAATTTTGTGTAGATGTAGAAAAATAGTGTATATATTCCATGTAACAGAAAATTAAGTTGAATAATTTGTAGTAATGTTAAGTAATATTTTTTTTTTATATTTATAACTTTATTTACAGAGCTCTCAATGAAATGTGGAAATGTCAGAACATGCTTCGGAGTCATGTACGCGAACTATTGGATTTGCACAAGCAGCCTACAGTAAGTTCATGATTTATTTAAATTTATAGGCTATTGTCATGATTAAATGTTACATAGTACTATTCAAAAGTCATATATTTTCTTGTTCCTTCAATGTAAAATCAATATTAAGTATCAATCCTATAATACCAGTGTCAAAATAACAAATTCTACTCAAAGTTTTTTGGAAGGCAGGTAGAAAAAAGCTTGAATGTTCTTGATGGACTTTTAACTATGTTTTGCTAGAATAATACATTTTATTCTTTTTTAAATATTTGTTTTTGGTTGTAGTTGGACACAATACCTTAATTTTATCTATTTTTATGTGGTACTGAGGATCGAACCCAGGGCCTCATGATGAGCACTCTACTGCTGAGCTACAACCTCAACCCCAACCCCTAGAACAGTATTCTTAACCCTGGGAACTGTAGACAGATTTCTCAAGGATCCAGGGATGTTAGAGGAGGGGCTTGTCAAAACTTTTTTGTAAATAACTAGAAGTAAAAACTTAATTCAACTCTTCCTTGGTGTAGGACAAAAGCAGTTATAGGCACTCATAAATTAATGGACATGGCTATATCAAGAGTTCCAACAAATGTCACTCTTGGGGATCAACTTGGGGGATACCAACTTCTTTTCCAAATTATTCCAATTTAATATAAATTATTATTATTAATTAATTCCTTGTGTTGTAATTGTGAAGGAAATACTTTTTGAAGGGGAGGTTATTCTAAGTTTTTAAGAGATGGTGGTTTTGGGAGGCTGAGTCAAGAGACGATTGTAAATTTGAAGCCATCTGGGCAACTTAGCAAGACCCTATTTCAAAATAAACAATAAAAGGAACTGAGGATGTAGTTCCATGATAGAGTGATTGCGTAGTATGTGTGAGACTCTGGGTCCAATAGCCTAGCACTGCCAAACAATAGAGCCCAGACTGGCCCCAAACACCCGGGCTCAGATGATCCTCCTTCTTGAGTAGCTGGGAATCCATGTGTATACTATCATGGTTATATATCATGGTTACTTTTTAGATATTTTTGAAGAACTTCCTACTAACATCTTCTTTCCTTCTGTTTGTCTTAACAGTTTGTTGCCTCTTAATAGTTATTTGCTGTTAACTTAGTGTGTAGATTGGTAAACCATTTTCAGTGGGTAGATAATGATGAAGTTTTTTAAAACTATGAAGCATGTACAATAATGATTATTGTATTTTCTTACAAAAATTAGCATGTGTGACTGGTTGTTCTTTCTTTTCTATTTTAAATTTCAGTCAGAGGCTAACTGTTCTGCCATGTTTGGAAAACTGATGACCATAGCAAGTGAGTATGTTTATTCACCCAGTAAATATATACTATATATCAAAACAGACAATTAGTTCACCCCATAAACTATCAACTTAATGCTAAGAAAAATAGTTCTTAATTTAATTATTTCTAAGAACCAGTTTGTCCAGTATTCCTTTGATGACTCATCAATATTTTTATGACAGTTGCTTTTAGTTTAGTAGTTTTTCTTTCCTAATATTAGTTCCCTCTTAATTTTATAGAGAATTTGCCTGATCCTGGGAAAGCACAAGATTTTGTGAAGAAATTTAACCAGGTTCTTGGTGATGATGAGAAACTACGGTCTCAGTTGGAGTTATTAATCAGCCCAACCTGTTCATGCAAACAAGCAGACGTTTGTGTGGTTAGTAAATTATACTTTTACATTTGTTCTCCCAGCTTACTTGTAGAAGTCTGTATTTCATTAAAGCCTTTTGGTGTTTAATGTTTTGTATGAATTTAACAGTAGTGTGAGCCCTGAATTATTGAGAAGTATTTCTGTGGTCAACTTAGTTCTCGTTATTTACCACTCATTCTCTAGCTACATTCCAGGAAAAAATTAGTGATCTAAGCCAGAGAGGTTTTTCCTAGGAATTGAGTAAGATAAAGTATTTTGTATTTAGTAGATATTCATTGAATAAATGATAAGAATGATCTAAATGCTTTGTGTGCATGCATTTTCTTCTCCTGTGTGTTAGCATGGAAATAACCCCTGTAATAAATCAGCAATATCAATGTTGTCATATATGTGATTTCATTTATAGATAAGATAAATTCCTATGTAGACTTTTGTCCTCATTCTATTCTTGGACTCCTTATTTTATAGAAAACCAGCATCATTGAAAATATCAGGAAAGAAACCTTCATCCGTTCATTTACTCAGCATTTTATGAGACAGAGTCCTAGTTTGAATTTCAGCTATACCATTTACTACCAATATGACCTTTAGTAAGTTATTCAATATTTTTGAGCCTCATTTTCCTCATCTATCTATATATATACATATATAGGGTCCTGGATTTAAATAAGTGGTAGTTCTTATGATATTACACATATATGACAAACACTATGCTTGTGACCAGACTTAAAAAGATGAATAAGACAAAGGTAATTATTTAGTTATTTATGTCTGTGTTCTAAAAAGGATTAGATTTGATATAATTATTTAAATATGTGATAAAGGATAAGGATTATAATAGATACATATACAAAGTGGTTTGGGAGCATAGAACAGAATATTTTATAATAAAATATCTTTTATTCAGTCAGAGATTTAAACAGATCAGTGTTTAGGAGGACATTGAAGGAGCCAGTTTAGGGAAATGTGCTCTTCTGTTGTGCCTAGTAATGTGGATGTCCAAGTGTCCAGACTACTTAAACCTTTGCACTTCTGAGATAGATGATTTGGAAACAACTATTAGAGGTTTCATTTACCCCGTTGGCATCTTGAATTCCAGTTTCAGAGCATTGTGTCCTGGGGAGGAGGGGGGAATCTGAGTAATTGAATCATTGAGCAAAAACAGCTTGAAGATACCTCAGAGATATTTGGTTTGATCACTCGATTTTTCAAAGAAAAACATTGAATTTAAAGAAAAGGAAATTTGGCTGGGTGCGGTGGTGCACGCTTATAATCCCAAAGGCTCGGGAGGCTGAGGCAGGAGATCAAGAGTTCAAAGCCAGCCTCAGCAAAAAGCAAGGCATGAAGTAACTAAGTGAGACCCTGTCTCTAAATAAAATACAAAAAAGGACTGGGGATGTGGCTTAGTGGTCAAGTGTCCCTGAGTTAAATCCCTGGTACCAAAAAAAAAGGAAATTTAAGACCACAAGCACCAAGAGTTTCCAAATTAAAAACTGTATGCAGGGCTGGGGATGTGGCTCAAGCGGTAGCGCACTCGCCTGGCATGCGTGCAGCCCGGGTTCGATCCTCAGCACCACATACAAACAAAGATATTGTGTCTGCCGAGAACTAAAAAATAAATAAATATTAAAAAATTTAAAAAAAAAACTGTATGCAAAGCATACATAAACCACAATACCTGAGTATGAATGTAAACAATGAGTAACTGTACAGTGCAGCCAATAAGTGCTCCTGATTTTAGGAATTAGGAAGATGAAGATGGAGATGAAGATAAAGTATAGTAATGATTCCTTCTTTTCTAGGTATTATATTAGCATTGTGTAACTTGAGTGTATTCGTTAATTTATCTATTTGCTTTCATTTGAAAAGAACACCTTTTAAAAACTCAAGAAAACAACCATTGTTAGAAAAAGTTCTTGCCATTTTCCAGAATATCTTATCATTTTGTCCTTTTTCTCATGGGTACTGTGTATTAGTTACATATTTTCTCTGACGTCCTTGAATCATTTCATTCTGACATAGAAGAATGGAATAAAGGAAAAAATTAAGTATAAAATTTGTTTTCTGTCATTCTGTATAGCTTTGTTTCCATCTTTTAAGAGTTTTTCCAAAAAATAATCATGTTTTATGTCACAGAGATGAATAATACTCAGTAACAGTAGGAATAGATATCTAATAATTTCCTCCCCTTTGTCTTAGTAACATACTTGAAAAAGTTTTAGAGAATACTTTGTAAGGACTATCAGCAGAGACATACTATGGATTAAAACTTATGTGCATGTATGTGGAGAGTATAAGAGGGTATGCAGTGAATGGCATTACATTTCTTTTGGGTTTTGTGTTTCCACACTTTGGTTTTACAGAAGGATAACATATTTGCTACCACTTCAACTGTGCTTGCTATTTGATACTTCATGGCCTTACTATAATGGCAGATCCCAAATTTTAAGATTTTTTAGGAAGCTTATTTAACATATAATGAGACAGTCCTAAATTTGAATTTCACCTATAGCACTTACTACTAGTGTGAACATTAATAAGTCACTCAGCGGGGGCTGGGATTGCGGCTCAGTGGTAGAGCACTCGCCTAGCATGTGTGAGGCCCTTGGTTCGATCCTTAGCACCACAAAAAGATAAATAAAGATATTGTGTCCATCTACAACCAAAAAATATTTTTTAAAAAAAGTCATTCAGAGGCTGGGGATGTGGCTCAAGTGGTAGCGCACTCGCCTAGCATGCGTGAGGCACTGGGTTCGATTCTCAGCACCACATAAAAATAAAATAAAGATATTGTGTCCACCTAACACTAAAAAATAACCTTTTTTTTTTGAAAAGTCAGCATTTCAGAGCCTCATTTTCTTCATCTATAAATATTACCAACTTCTTGGGATTTTAAAAAGAATAATGTAAAAATGAAATTTTATATATGGCCTAATACAAGGCCCCCTTCACTGCCTATAGATTTAAAGTTCTTATGGTATTACACATAGATGACAAGCAGTAGGGACCCATAAAACAGGTATGAAATGGGATCATGAATCTATCTTTTAACAAAGTCTCAATGTCATTCTGTTGTGTGGTTTTTGAACCACATTTAAGAAACCCCTTCCCTACAGAGTTATCTAGATATACATTATATCTTCAGAAATCCAAATATTCTTTGTCCCTTTCTCCCTGGATCAAGCTTACATTTTGTTTATGATTTGTTTGGATATCAGACCCAGGGCCTTGCACCTGCTATCTAAGCACTTTACCATTGCACCACACCCCCAGACCCAAGCTTACACTGTAATCACTGCATGGTTTAGTAATTTGTATCATATATGACCTATCATCCAGCTTATACTTTAGGTAACAGACACAGATGAGTTGATTTCAATAGCAAATACAGTATGGTAAGTGTTCTGATAGAATCATGTGCTTTGATAACACGAAAGAGCATCACTCATCTCAGGAATGTGTGGAATTAGGGAATGGCTTGTTCTATAAGTGACTCCTGAATTGATTTTTAAAGGATAAGTTGGAGTTAGACCACTGTGTCAGCATTTCTGGCTTGGGTGACTGGCTATCAAAGCAGATGCTATAGGAATAGAAGATAACCATGTGTGGTATTTGAGCAGTTGTGCTTACAAGTCCGAGATTCAGGCCAGGTCAATATTTATTAGCACAGTTATATCTCCTGGAAGAGGTAGGAAAAAATATGAAGGAAAGGGGAGAGAGATGCTGACTTATATTTTAGTAACACTCATAGGATGCTTTAATTTTTTATTTAATGACAATGATGCAGATCCACTTTTACATGGAAGTTAAAGCTTTGGAAATTGTTTCTTATGATAAATTATTATATTCTTACCTAACTTACTGATTCTAACTGCAAAAAATACTTGATACTTGATAATATTAAATCTTTTTAGGAATTATTTTGATTGGCTATGAAAACACAAAAGGGATATAGGAGGGATTACTGTGCATAAGAAAGAATACTTCTAAGAAGCTAATACTTTTTTATTGTCAAAATAAGAAAAAAATGTACAAAAAGGAAAGGTAGATGGATACATCATTTTAATAACTCTTATTTTTATAATAATAGGGTTTATAAATTATAACCTTATTGATTATAGGTTATTTCTTCAATATTCCTTAAGAATATTAAGCACTTTGTAAATAATAAGCATTAGTAGTATTAATGTGCACTGGCAGTGTAATAGCCTCTTTGAAATTAAAAGCTCCAATTGCTTTTACTTGTGAACTTCCTCATGCTGAGAATGGAAACTGAGAAGCAACTGGCCCTGGTAGGCACCAAGGTAACAGAAACTGTGACATATTGCTGAATAGCACAGCCTAGCTAAATCCACATGTGTATATTTTCTATCTTTTGTCCCATATTCCCTCTCCTCTCATAAAACCATCCTTGAGCCCCTCAGAGATGGAGATTTGAGACAGAAAGGTCTCAATCTTCCTCAGTCCCAGCTTTGGGTAAACCTGTTTTCTATCACCAGCCTTTGTATCCTGAGCTTTAGTAAAGTGACAAAGCAGTAGGACTTTTGTTCCTGGTAAACTGTAGCACAGATGTGATAAAAAATTTCTTAAAAAATTGTCAGAGATTCAGAAAAAAACAATTGTTTTTTAAAAACTCATTCTGCCAACAGATTCCTAACAGGATTGCATATGGTTACTTTTGGTTAAAGCTTTCTCAACTACTATTCAATTAGAAAAATTTCTTGTTGGTCTTATGTGTTTTTGTTTATTAGAGGTATATATAGGCTTCTAAATTTTTTTCTTAAAAGTGTAAGGAAAAAAGATAAACTTTATTGCTGCCACAAACTAACTTGATTTGATGTTTAACCCCAATATCACATAGATTATCACGTTTATATTCTAAAACAACTGCTGTGTTTATTTACCTAAGTATTACCTACATAAATTATTGTTATGACCAGTCACCTAAATGTAAAACCATTAAAAAGGAATATAAAAATGTAAGTGTTATCTCTTTGTGAGCTGTGTGGAATGGCATGTCTATAACCTTAGCCACCCATGCAGGCTGAGTCAGGAAAATTGTGAATTCGCACCAAACCAGGCAACATAACCAAACCCTGAAATGGGAAAAAGGAAAAAAAAAACAAAACTGTCTAGTATTATTGCTTATATACATTGGTTTATTTTATGTAGCTCTATTACTGTATTCAAATGTGTGACCCTTTTCTCCTTGACACTTATTTCTTTGTTCTGTGCATAGTAACTATTATGACTAATTAGTTATTAGTCATAACTAAACTATATATTTTATTTTTCCATTTTTTAGTAAGCTATTTCAAAGCATTGATAGTATAGTCTGCCTAGCAATTTTCCACTAGTCACATTTGTTGTTAGGCAGTCTCCGAAATATTAAAGCAACTAAATTTTACACTAGAAGGATTTGGGAATACCTCACCAAATAACACTAATTTTAAAAGATTATAAAGTATTAAATCTCAGATTTTAAATGGGACTTAGCACAATGTAACAACTAAGCATGAATAAAATATTTTATTTTCTCAAATGCTCACATTTTGCCTGGTTAATTGCAGCATGCTAAAATAAATTGGGCAAATTCTAATGATTTTTAGTGATTTTCTTCAGAATCTTAATTCTTGGGACTTACACTCAAATAACTGATCTGGCTGGTGTTCAAATTAATGTAATTTGTATAAATATGTCAATTTATGTCATTAAAATTAAAGTCGACAATAGAAATTTTTTCTTAATCTTGTCCTCCAATATAAAGATATCACTAAAAATATCATTTTTATGCAAAAAGGTTATAAATAGAGCAATTACTATTTATTACTGCTTTATAGTTCTAAAAACACCTGAATGTACAGTATTTAGCTCAGCTTGTTTGTGTGTGCCTATAATCCTAGCCACTGGGGAGACTGAGGCAGGAGGATTATGAGTTCAAGTTCAAGGCCATCATTGACAACACAGCAAAAACCCATCTCAAAAAAAAAAAGGTGTTATCCTGTCAGCTAAAATACATATTTACTTATCAGAATTATTTGATTAGGGGCTGGGGTTGTAACTCAGTGGTAGAGCACTTGCCGATCACATGTAAGGCACTAAGTTTGATCCATAAAAAATAAATAAAAGGTATCATCCATTTACAACTAAAATTTAAACAAAAATAAATTTTAAAGAATTATTTGATCAGAAGCCTTGTTGTTAACATTCATTTATTTCTCCAGTGCCCAGTACATTATAAATTTTGTCTTGTCTTTGAGAGAGTCAGTCTCTATAATTAAGTCCATCTTCTTTAGAAACTTCCAACAAGAATATCTTTCTTTGTAGTCACTATTTGATATAATGCCACCATCTTTAAGCTTAAATTGAGTTAATTTTATACTTGGTTACATCACATAGCTTGCAGTAATTCTGTGTTCCAGTTATAACAAATTAAAATTGTAGAGCTGGGGTTATAGCTCAGTGGTAGAGCACTTGCCTAGTACGTTTGAGTCACTGGGTTCAATTCTCAGCACTACATATAAATAAATAAAGTCCACTGACAATTTAAAAATATTTTTTAAAAAATTGTAGAGGAGTGCATTATTCTCATTCCTCAACTGTGTACTTCCTAATCTAAATAACTTTACAAAATATTTATTCACTTGTGAACATACTCCCAATCATACCTTTCTTACCATGTTTTTGTTTTTTGGTTTTTTTTAACTAGATCTCCCTATGTTGTCCAGGTGGGCCTCAAATGATTCAGCTCAAGGAATGCTCCTGCCTCAGACTCCCAAGTAACTGGGACTATAGTCATGTACCACTGTGAGCAGTTGAATATCCCCCTTTTTAAAAGGAAGAAATTAACTTAAAGAAAACAAAGTATTCCATCAAATTATGAAATAATAAAAACCAATTAAACATACCAATGAAGATCTCAAAATTCAAGAGGCTAATGCAGGAAGATCTCAAGTTTGAGGCCAGTCTCAGCAACTTAGTGAGATCCTGACTAAAAATATCAAGGGCTGGGAATGTTAGCTCAGTGCTAGAACCCCCTTGGTTCAGTCCCCAGTAACCCCCACCAAAAAAAAAAAAAAAGTTGTGTACTAAATTTCTTAGTCTAAAACAAAAAATTTTTTCACTCCTACTAGTTTTGGATTAAAAAAAATTTTTTTATACTTAGTCATTTTTATTTTCAAACACATCAAAGTGAGTCATACTTATGTTAAAACTCTTTCCTTTCTTTAGAGAGAAATAGCTCGGAAACTTGCAAATCCTAAGCAGCCAACAAATCCTTTTCTAGAGATGGTCAAATTTCTTTTGGAAAGAATTGCACCTGTGCACATTGATTCAGAAGCCATAAGGTAAGCTAGAAAACATGCAATAAAAATAGATTATAATCCTAAACTACAGTGTTCTAAGTTTAAATTCTGGGCCCCTACAGAGACTTAAAAAAAATGTTCCTTTTTTACTTTGTTTTAATGGTAGGGGCATAAAACATTTAGGTTGTAGAAAGGCCTACTCATTTAATTATCTTTGACTTTATTTATAAGAATTCTTGGGACTGGGGTTGTGGCTCTGGTAGAGTACTCGCCTAGCATGTGTGAGGCACTGGGTTCGATCCTCAGCACCACATAAAAATGAAATAAAGATATTGTATGTCCACCTACAACTAAAAAATATATTAAAAAAGAATTCTTGTGTTTATTTTTAGTCTATGTACTCATATGTACTCATTAAAGAAAACCAAGAACACAAGAAAATTTTTGATTTGTATGGCTATCAACCAATTTCTGAGTTTTCTTAAACATTTTATTGGCGACACAATGCTCTATGTAGTGTATAATTTATTATTGTTCACTTGATATGTGAGAACAATATGGCATATTAAAAGAGGACAGAGTTGACATTAAACACATTTGGTTTCAAAATACAAGTCCAAGGCCAGAAATGTAGCTCAGTGGTAGTGTGCTTGCCTAGTTTGTATGATGTCCTGGGTTCTATCCCTGGCACTGTAAAAATACAAAAACATAAGTGAACTTTGTGACTCTGGGAAAAGTCCTCTAATTAGCAGAGTTTTCACTAATAATATGCATATAAAATCTTGTTGGATGATTATAAGAAATAAAGATAAAAGAAAACAGCCTGTATTCTTTGATTGCCATTCTGACAGGAGTGAAATGAAAACTTAGAGTAGTTTTGATTTGCATTTCTTTAGTTACAAGAGGTGTTGAACAATTTTTTATATATTAGTTGATCAGTTGTATTTCTTCTGTGAATTGTCTGTTCTATTCGTTAACCCAATCTGTAGGCTCTCTCCTCAGGTTATTAATTGTTTCCTTTGCTGAGAAGAAGCTTTTAAATTTGAGTCCATCCCATTTATTGATTCTTGATTTTACTTCTTGCACTTTAGGAGTCTTGTTAAGGAAGTCAGATCCTAGGCCGACATGGTAAAGATTTGAGCCTATTTTTTTTTCCATTAGGCACAGGGTCTCTGTTCTAGTGCCTAAGTCTTTGATCCACTTTGAATTGATTTTTGTGCAGGGTGAGAAATAGAGGTTTAATTTCATTTTGTTACATATGGATTTCCAATTTTCCCAGCACCATTTTTTGAATAGGCTATCTTTTCTCCAGTGAATGTTTTTGGTGTCTTTGTCTAGTAAGAGATAACTTTATTTTTGTGGGTTTGTCTCTGTTTTCTATTCTGTACCATTGGTCTGTGTGTCTGTTTCAGTGCCAATACCATGCTGTTTTTGTTACTATGGCTCTGTAGTATAATTTAAAGTCTGGTATTGTGATGCTTCCTGCTTCACTCATTTTGCTAAGGATTGCTTTGGCTATTCTGGATCTCTTATTTTTCCAAATGAATTTAATGATTGCTTTTTCTTTTTCTATGAAGAATGACATTGAGATTTTAATAGGAATTGTGTTAAATCTGTATAATGCTTTTGGTAATATGGACATTTTGGCAATACCAATTCTGCCTATCCAGGAGTGTGGAAGATCTTTCATTTTCTGAGATTTTCTTCCATTTATTTCTATAGGTTCTGTACTTTTCATTGTAGTAGTCTTTACCTCTTTTGTTAGATTGGTTCCCAGGTTTTTGTTTGTTGTTTGTTGTTTTTGTTTTTGTTTTTGAGGCTATTGTGAATGAAATCGTTTTCCTAATTTCTCTTTTGTCTAATTGTTCTGGCTAGAGTTTCAAGGAAGATGTTGAATAGAAGTGGTAAAAGAGGATGTCCTTGTCTTGACCAGTTTTTAGTGGGAATGCTTTCAATTTTTCTCTATTTAGAATGATGCTAACCTTAGGGTTAGCATAGATAGTTTTTACAATGTTGAGGTATGTTCCTACTATCCCTAGTTTTTCCAGTGTTTGAACATGAAGGTGTACTGTATTTTGTCATATGCTTTTTCTGCATTTATTGAGATGATCATATGATTCTGTTTTTAAGTCTATTATTATGATGAATTATGCTTATTGATGTCCATATGTTGAACCAACCCTGCATCCCTGGGATGAATCCCACTTGATTGTGGTGTACTATCTTTTTAATATGTTTTTGTATGCAATTTGCCAGAATTTTACTGAGAATTTTTGCATCTATTGTTCATCAGGGATATTGTTCTGAAGTTTTCTTTCCTTCATGTGTCTGTCTGGTTTTGGTATTAGGGTGATATTAGCCTTATAGAATGAGTTTGGATGGATTCCTTCCTTTTCTATTTCATGGAATACTTTGAGAAGTATTGGTATTAATTCTTCTTTGAAAGTCTTGTAGAACTTTGCTGAGAATTCATCTGGTTTTTTTCTTGGTTGGTAGGCTTTTGAAGTGATGGGAGGGGCTGGGGGAGGGGATATGGGGATAGGAAAGATAGTAGAATGAAACAGACATTATTACAGTATGTATATATGTGACTACATGACCAATATGATTCTGCAGTGTGTGCATTCAGAAAAATGAGAAATTATATCCCATCTATGTAAGGTATGTCAAAGTGCATAAATGCATTCTACTGTCAGATATGACTAATTAAAACAAGTAAAAAATTTTAAAAAAAAAGAGAACAGTCTGGTATCATAACACTGACAGCTATTTTTTCTTTATTAAGTATTCCCATCATTTTGACGTTTTAGTTTATTCTGATAATTCTTTTTGGAAATGTCTATGTGAATGCCTCTTTATTTTATTTTATTTTTTTCCACTAATCATTTTTTCCAATAGACAAGATATGTGTCTCCTTTCGATATTGGGGTACTATGTAGCACTTGTTGGTTCTTTTTCCATACTTTCAGAATTTGGATACCTCATTCTAGTGCCTGAGCAATTAGTTATTTCATCTATGTGAATCCCTGCTGTGGTTGTATTGAAATGCTGGTTATCTTAGTTTGCTAGTACTGTCATAACAAAATACCACAGACTTGATAGGGTAAACAATAAAAATTTATTTTATCACAATTCTGGAGGCTAGAAGTCAAGATAGCAGCAAGATTGATTGCCTCTTAAACCTTTCTCCTTGGTTTGCAGATGGACACCATCTTACTGTGTCCTCACATGGTCTTTTCTCTCTACACCTATCTCATCTTGTCCGAATCTTCTTATTTTATGAAAATAATGGTTGTATCAGATTATGGGCCATCTCTATGACTTCACTTTTCCACAAGTAACTCTTGAAAGTCTTATCTCCAAATATAGTCACATTATAAGATCCTGGGGGTTGGAATCCACATTGAATTTGGGGATACACAATTCAGCCCATAACAGTGATGTTTGCATACTTCTTTTTAAGATTTCCTTAGCCTCTAATTTCCTCCTTTGCAAAAAAGAAAACTAAGAAATTAAAAATTTGAAAGAGTAAGTGCTTTGTCCACAGCTCCTTTTATCAAAAACCATAACTTAAACCTAGGCATATTATTTTCCATGTCAGTGTTCTTTACTCTGTAGAATTTGGGTATTTTGTATATATGTATTGGGGATTGAACCCAGGGCCTCACAGATACTAAGTGTGCATTCTACCACTGAGCTACACCCCCAGCCCTGTACTATTTGATTTTAAGGGGATAGATCAAAGAGATGGTAGAGGAAAAATAACACTCTTCCCTACCTGTATTAATTTTGGAATAGAAGTGTAATGGCATCGGAAAACCAAGACCTCCACTAGCCTCATAGGGTTTCATTACTTCATTAAATTATAATAAGCTATTGTTTGATATCAACTGTCAAAAGATCAAAAACTCACTTTTTTTTCCCCCCATTAGCATCATGAGTTGTCTGATCTCAGAAAGCAATTTATAGTTAGGTTTTTATACAGATTAATCTATAAGAATGCCAATGTATTAATTTTAGTGGGAAATATATATCATTTATTCCTTCCATGTAGCCAGATCTTCATGGGATATTAAATTACAGAGGGTTTATTTATTCACTTACTATACACTTGTTGCAACAATTTGTAAAGTGCATTGGGTAACTGGGGAAGAAAAATTTCATAACGTATATTGTGTGGGGTTGGTTTGTTGTTAGAGAAGGCTCCAGAAGTAGCATATTTGATGAGTGGTAAAAGAAATTAGGAACTACTAATGAAGATTGCAGGGAAAATATAGTCCCAATCACTAACCTTGTGTTGAAGGCTAGGTTATTTAAGGCACTGTGAACTTCAATTCAGGACTGAATCCTGAGGAGTAATAAGAAGGGGCTTGCCAATGATAAGAAATTCATTAAATTTTAAAAAAATTAATTTTGAGGAGGCTTGCTCATCACAAGAGTGATATCATCGGGTTGGAGCTATAGCTCAGCGGCAGAGCACTTGCCAAGCATGTGTGAGACATAAAAACAAACAGTAGTAGTTTAGTAGTAGTCCATCTACTACTACAAAAAAAAAAAAGTGATATCATTGAAGCCAAAAAGAGACTAAAAAGTAGTGGGGTCAGAGGGTACTGAACCCAGAAGTAAAATAAGTTAAATACTGAAAAGTATCCATCAGATTAGGAAAAGAAAAAAAGTCACAATGACCAAAATAGTTTCTGTGGGGTAGCAAAGGCAAATTCAGAGCACCTTGGATATGAAAGGTGCAGGATATGCTTCCCAACATCTATATCACAGTACATAGAACAGATATAATATTTGAAAAGAGAACATTGCTCAAACCTACTATTAACTGATCTTGCTCAACAAGAGCCCCTTGGCTGCCTCAAGGTTTGAGAAAATCAAAGAGCTAAATTCTACAATTCTAAACTGATTTAGGAGTAATGTAGATAGCTATTAAAAGTAAAGGAGGGCCGGGGTTGTAGCTCAGTGGGGTAGAGCACTTGCCTACCAAGCGTGAGGCCCTGGGTTCAATCCCCAGCACCACATAGAAATAAACAAGTAAAATAAAGGTATTGTGTCCATCTACAACTAAAAACAAAATTAAAAAAAAAAAAAAGTAAAGGAGACCCAGGCACATTGGCGCTCTCTTGTAATCCCAAGAAGCCTGGGGGGCTGAGGCAGGAGGATCAGGAGATCAAAGCCAATCTTAGCAACTTAGCAAGGTACTAAGCAACTCAGTGAGAACACTGTCTCTAAATAAAATACAAAATAAGGCCGGGGATGTGGCTCAGTTTGTATGGAGATTGTCTTCGAAGATGGAGAAAGTAGTCCCAAGGCAAGGAATACAAATAGACCCATTCCCTAAATAAAATACAAAAAAGAACTAAGGAACTGGCTCAATGATTAAGTGCCCCTGAGTTCAATCCCTGTATTTAAAAAAAAAGAAAAAAAGTAAAGGAGAAAGGTAATGACAAGGGAGTAAACTTGAAGAAGAGTCTTTTGCTGTGCTTGATAATGAAAGAATTTTGAATATTTAAATTCATTTGAAAAATGCTAACAGAAGAGAGGTTGAAGAGGGGGAAGGGAGAACATAATTATGATGGAGTAGCATTCCCTAAGTAACATCCTCTATGACATGAGAAAATCACAGACTCAAACTAGAGGAATGTTTTAGTCAGCTTTTTCATCACTGTGACCAAAAGACCTGACAAGAAAATTTTAGAGGAGGAAAAGTTTTATGTTTTCAGAGGTCTCAATCACTTACATCAGGCTCTGGGCCTGATGTAAGGCAGAATGTCATGACAAAGGGTCTGAGAGGAAAACAGCTTAGGACATGACAATTAGGAAGCAGAGAGAGTTCCACTCATCAGGGACAAAATATAAATTAAAGGCATGCCCCTATCTTCTCCAGTCACACCTTACCTACCGATATTTGCTGCATAGTTAATTTGTATCAATGGATCAATCCACTGATTTAGGTTATAGCTCTTAAAAAGTAGTATTCAAACATTACTGTTATGGGCTGAATTGTGTATCCCCAAATTCATGTGGATTCCAACCTCCAGGATCTTATAATGTGACTATATTTGGAGATAAGACTTTCAAGAGTTACTTGTGGAAAAGTGAAGTCATAGAGATGGCCCATAATCTGATACAACCATTATTTTCATAAAATAAGAAGATTCGGACAAGATGAGATAGGTGTAGAGAGAAAAGACCATGTGAGGACACAGTAAGATGGTGTCCATCTGCAAACCAAGGAGAAAGGTTTAAGAGGCAATCAATCTTGCTGGTATCTTGACTTCTAGCATCCAGAATTGTGATAAAATAATCACATCATTCACCTCTGGGTATTCTTGCATTTTTTCACACATGAGCTCTTGGGAGACACCAAATATCCATGGTATATCCATACCATAGCAGAGAAGTTAGAAGATAAGATATGGAAAATTTGAAGAAAGCCTCCATTATTTTCCATTCTGTAAAAAGTAAGTTATTTGCTCAATAGAAGGATTTAGACCTGAGTTAGAACAGTAAAGGTTTGTTAACAGTTCTTGGAGAGCATAGGAGACTTCTCAATTTTGAAGAAGCAGTTGGATTGGCGATAGTTTTCTGCTTTATGATATCCCTATGAAGTATACTGCATGTGTATTTACCTAACTTATAAAGGAGAAAAAAATGCTTTCATAAAAGGAAGGACTACAATCCTCATTTCAAGAATCGAACCTTTACATTTTACCTCCTTGACTCATAGTAGAAGTAGAAGTGGTTGATGCCTGTCTTGTTTGCACTGTTACTTCCAAAAGAGACCATAGAGTTGGCATATGATAGGTACTCAGTAAATTCTTATTAAATAAATATATGCATGAATCCCATCTCCTGTAGTCATATACATGTATAAAATTTTACAATCATACTTTTAATCTTAAATACATGCATGGTTCAATGGGGTTTTCTTCTGAAGTTTGGGGGGCTGGTGTTAGTTCAGATATTTCTGGGATTTCTTTTTTTAAGTTGTTGATAGACCATTATTTATTTATATGTGGTGCTGAGAATCAAACCAAAGTGACTCACATATGCCAGGCAAGTTCACTACCACTGAGCCATAGCCCTAGCCCTATTTCTGGGTTTTTGCTTAGTGTTTTTTAAGGTTTTTTATTATTGTTGTTTCTTTTTTTTTTTTTTTAATTTTTCTTCAGTATTGGGGTTTGAGCCCAGAGGCACTTTAACACAGAGCTATATCCCTAGTCCTTTTTCATTTTTATTTTGAGACAGGGTCTCACTAATTTGCCAAGGCTAATCTCAAACTTGTGATACTCCTGCCTCAGCCTTCCAGGTTGAAGGGAATCTAGGCATGTACCACCACATGTGGCCCAGAATATTTTTTGCTGGCAGCTGGAAGTTTGGTGCTGATAACGCCAAGGTCGCGGGTTCATTCCCCGTATGGGCCACCAAATGCCGCAGTCTGGCTGGGCACAATCAGGAGCCACTTGTCAAAAGAAACTAACTTTATTTTTAGAACCACACACGCCAAACAAAACAGCCTCTCAGGAAAAACCCTCAGAGCCTCAACTGCCACCACCGGCTTTCCACAAGCCTCTCTCTCCCCCCACAAGCTTCTCTCCACCTCCCACAATCCTCCTGCTCTTGAGGCCGATTGGCTGGGTCACGTGGGCGGAGCCAAAAAAGTCCCCCAATGAGCAGCTCCGTGGTCTGAAAGGGCAGGGAAACAGCCCAATGAGCATCACCGCAGAGGAGCCAATCAGCTAGATGTTGCTGGGGCCGCTGTGAGCCAATCATCAGCCAGCAGCTGGAAGTTTGCTGGCAGCTGGAAGTTTGCTGGGGCCCCTTTGGCTGTGGCTCTCAACAATTTTTCTCATGTTAGAAAAGTCAGGACATAAACTGAGAGAAAATATTTGTAAGGTATGTATTTGATAAAGGATTGTTACTCAGAATGTGTGGGTATAATGTTTACAATACAGACATACATACCTATCCAATTTGCTTTCTTCAAAAACTGTTTCAGCTGAAGATGTTGATGAATTTTTAAATTATTCTTCTAACTAAAGAGGAAGTTATAGTGCTAAAATTAGTTTAAATTTCAACATCTGCATCCTATATGTATTTTGTACTTGAAAAAGAAAATTATTATTACCTTTTTTTTAAATGCATTTTCCATTTTGTGGCTATTATGAATTTCCTATATCATGAGGATTGCTTTAAATCCAGAAGTTCAAAGCCAACCTAGGCAAAATAGGAAGACCCCTTCCCACATTTTATTTATTTATTTATTTATTTATTTGGTACCAGGGATTGAACTTAGGGTTACTCAACCATTGAGCCACATTACCAATCCTATTTTGTATTTTAGTTAGAGACAGGGTCTCTAAATTACTTAGTGCCTTCTGTTGCTGAGGCTGGCTTTAACCCATCTTTTTTTGTGGTTGAACCCAGAGCCTCGTACATGCTAAGTTAGTATTCTACTACTGAGCTATGTCCACAGCCCAAAGGGTTCTTTTGTGTGGGGTAGGGGTGCAAGGTTTGCTGGGGATTGAACCCAGAGCTTCATATGTTCTAGGCAAGCACTGTACCACTGAGCCACACCCCCAGCCCAAGACTTTATCTTAAAACAAACAAAAAATTAATAATTTGAAATGTCTATAACAAAGGAATATAATTTAACCCAGATATTTTCATATTTGCTGTAAGAATTTAATGATTTAATAATAAAATAATACTTTCTTCAGATTACTGATGAGAAAATAGTCTCAAAATCAAAAATCAAATTTGTTTTTTTGTTGTTGTTGTTTGTTTGTTTGTTTGTTTTGGTTTTGGTTTTGGTTTTTGTGGTCCTGGGGATCAAACCCATGTTCCTCACAGGCCAGGCAAGCATTCTACCACTGCACTATACCCCTGGTCCCACTTTTTTAAACTTAAAATGGTAACATATTGTTACATTGTCTGATTTTTATCCTATTTGTGGTGGTAGGTATGTTTGAAAAACAAAAAAAATTCTATAGTTTTGACAATTAAATAGATGCTAATTAATGAATGTATTTATGAATATAGCATGATGCATTTTTTAGCATGTCATGTCATTGATTTTAGTTTTTATTTTTCAGTAAACTCAACTGTCAGGTAGAAAATAAAGTTTAATGTTTTATCCTCCAAAGAAACTTCTTTGAATCTGATCATTTTAGTCTGTATGTTTCTGACCCAGAACAATTATGATAGTTAGTAAGCTAGTATTGTTGCTAATTTACATCTTCTTCTTTTAATAGTGCACTGGTAAAATTGATGAATAAATCAATAGAGGGAACAGCCGATGATGAAGAGGAGGGTGTAAGTCCAGATACAGCTATTCGTTCAGGACTTGAACTTCTTAAGGTATTTTATATTCATTTGTTTCTATAGAGTATTTTATATTTATTTGAGGACTTGAACTTCTTAAAGTATTTTATATTCATTTGCTTCTATAACTTGCATTCTCTTTAGGATATGCAAGATTCAGGTTTGTTTCATTGGAAATTATTCAAAATATTAAAAATTTGTAATAGAAATCAGATGTTATAAAAATAACTTTTACATCATAATAATTACATTAAAAGATATTTGTTTATTTTGCTCTTTCATTCATCATTTGCATGCCTGCTATACTCATGATGGTATATGTTTTATAATCTCATCTTTCCAGAGAACCTGCATTTGAGACATTTGGCTGCCCATAGGAACTGTTACATGATAGCATCTGATTAAGGAATTTTTAATAATTTATAATCATGATAGATGGCAAGGAATTTAATAAATTGAGTAGTTAATAAGAACCAGGCAACAAGATTTTGTAGTCACGATATGACAAAAGAAAAGGGTTATTTGGGGAAGTAATGGGAAGCAAGTTTTGGTTTCAGATTATGGAATGCCACTGGCATGAAAGGAAAGGTACTGGAAGGGGCTTTCAACCTGTCCTTGAATCTGGCAAGCAGTTGATAAAGCTATGATTGGATTCAGTAAAGAGGGAAAGAAATTGAAACCACTGCAGTATAAACCAAGGGAAAAAAGACCAACTAGTGCAATGGGGCTTAGAAAAGTGAGTGATAAGATCATACTGAGATGCTCATAAATATTTCATTTGAGGGCTGGGGATGTGGCTCAAGCGGTAGCGTGCTCGCCTGGCATGCGTGCGACCCGAGTTCGATCCTCAGCACCACATACAAACAAAGATGTTGTGTCTGCCGAAAAACTAAAAATAAATAAATAAATAAATATTTAAAAAAAAAAAAAATATTTCATTTGAAAGAATTAGTACATTGTTTCATGAATAAGATTTTAATAATTGGGTTATACTTTTTTTACTGAGTTCAAATTTAATTCCCCATGTTTCAATAAATAAGTAAAACTGCATTAGTAAATAATACCACTTCAAACTGCAATGAGACAATTTTTATACTTCATGACATGTTTGATAATTTTTTTTTTAATATTTATTTTTTAGGGGCTGGGGTTGTGGCTCAGCAGTAGAGTACTCGCCTAGCACGTGTGAGGCCCTGGGTTCGATCCTCAGCACCACATAAAAAATAAATAAATAAAATAAAAATATTTTAAAAATATTTATTTTTTAAGTGTAGATGGACACAACACAGTGCCTTTATTTTTTTTATGTGATGCTGAGGATCGAACCCGGGTCCCGCCTGTGCTAGGCGAGCACTCTACTGCTGAGCCACAATCCCAGGCCCTTGATAAATTCTTCTTCTTTTTTTTTTTATTGGTTGTTCAAAACATTACAAAGCTCCTTGATAAATTCTTGTTGAATAAGTTAATGAAGACTACCTGCTCAATTCCCTCCTCTCCACTTTTAGTCCTTATTCTTGATACTATTCTGAATTATTTCCACTTCATGGAAGATAAACTTTGTAGACATGTCACATATAAGATGCTATAAGGCCCATAATGATAGACTATGGGTTATGTCATAAAAATAAGGGAATAGTCAAGCACAGTGGCATATGCCTATAATCCCAGCAGCTCGGGAGGCTGAGACAGGAGGATTGTGAGTTCAAAGCCAGCCTCAACAACAGCCAGGCTCTAAGCAACTCTGTGAGACCCTGTCTCTAAATAAAATGCAAAATAGGGATGGGGGTGTAGCTTAGTGGTTGAGTGCCCCTTAGTTCAATCCCCATTACAGAAAAAAAAAGGAATAATTATATGTTTACAATTATAATTCACAGTTTGCAATGATGTCTTCTTTGTTGATAGTTATGAGAAATGAACTTTTTGATAGATTTTATTTAACATTTTCTTATAGTTTATCTTTGTCTGTTCTGTGTAGCTAGCATGTGTGCAGAATTTCACGTTTTATTTATTATGGAAAATAATTTTCCCTTTTTAATATATTAGAACCATTGTCTACTTCTAAATCTATATATCTGTTCCTCTAGGTTCTGTCTTTCACACATCCTACCTCGTTCCACTCTGCAGAGACATATGAGTCCTTGTTACAGTGCCTAAGAATGGAGGATGATAAGGTAGCAGAAGCTGCAATACAAATTTTTAGAAACACAGGCCACAAAATAGAAACAGACCTTCCCCAGATACGATCGTGAGTATATTTTTTTGCATTGTAAACACAAAAGTTTCTAAGTGTGAAAGCCCATAAAATCATTGTTTTCTTTTCAGGAAGAAGAGAGAGGAATTACTCATTTGGTAGCTATTTTTTTGTATCCTTTTTTTTTTTTTTTTTTGTATGTCAGCTGGCTCATCCTACCACCGTTAAATGTAGACAGAGAAACAAACATAAACTATTTCCGAAAAAAATGATTTAAAATATTAAAAGTGGGCTGCAGTTGAGGCTTAGTGGTAGAGCATTTGCCTGGCATGTGTGAGGCCCTGGGTTCGATCCTCGGCACAACATATAAATAAATAAAAGATCCATTGACAACTAAAAATATTTAACAAATAAAATAAAATAAAAATATTAAAAGTCAGAAGTTAACACAAGACAATCGCAGTGGCACATACTTGTAATTCCAGCTACTTAGGAGGCTAAGGATTGCAAGTTCAAATCCAGCCGGGCGAACTTAGTGCTCCTGTCTCAAAATTTAAAAATAATTAAAAGGACTTAGGATGTAGGTCAGTGGTAGATTACAATATATCTTTCTAATCTGTGTTATGTTTATTTTTCTCAATAAAATTGTTCTTGTTCTCACCAAGAATGAGGCAAATGGTGTGCTTCATAAAGTATTTATAAGTTGCTTGGTTATTGGCAGTGGTGCTTTTATTACTTTGATCTCTCCCTCTAGATGAGCTCTCCCTCTCCTCATAAAAATGAAGTACATTTTGGTTTCACTTTGCATCTTAAAGAGGTTATCCTCAGAATCAAATTTGTGCTGAGAGTTTATATTTAGATTTAAAATATGTGGGAGACATCTTTTAGAGGAAGAATACACATTGCTCATATTTATTGAGTCAGATTCTCCTAGGATATCCAGGTAGTTCATGATATATCCGAATACTAAAAAGTTTTTCCTCATAGGATAATAGTAGGACAAATGGACTCCTGAGGGTTTTCTTAAATTTGTAAGCTAATGATTTGTGAAATAATTCAGTATTTAATGTAGATTCTTTTAATTCTCAGCACTGTAATGACTAACACAAAAGAATTGTCTAGTCTGTCCCCGCCCTTAAGGAGTTTATAATCTAAAGATGATAATCTTTATATGTGTATATTATCAAAAAGATCATTGACATGGTAGGGTAGTTTCTGGTGAGTTTTTCTGAATAGAAAAGTCTATGCTTTTGCTAGGCACAGTGGCACATGACTATGATCCCAGTGGCTTGGGAGTCTGAGGCAGAAGGATCGCAAGTTCAAAGCCAGCCTCAGCAAAGGCAAGGTACTAAGCAACTCAGTGAGGCACTTTCTCTAAATAAAATACAAAATAGGGCTAGGGATGTGACTTAGTGGCCAAGTGCCCTGAGTTCAATTCCTGGTACCAAAAAAGAAAAGAAAAGAAAAATCTATGCTTTTCTTTTTTGTAAGGCAAAAATCTGTTCTTTAAAAAATTATATCCCCCCCCCCCCAAAAAAAAACAAAACAGTTGGGTAAAAGTGGAAGAGTTAACTTTGGACACAAGGACACATGTTCTTAAGCATAGTAATGGGTAAAAAAGGATATAATTACTGAGAAGCAGAAAATCACAACACCGAAGATTTCAATAACAACCCAGTGGCACCATTGTATTTTAGCACTCTAGAAAAAAACAAAGAAGTTTATTTGTGTTTCATTTCAGTTTTCCTAAGAGGAATTAATAATACATTTAAAAACAGTTTTTTCAAAACTATCCCTTTCTTATTCACTGGTGTTATTATGTAAACAGTGTTACATTCTTAAATGAGTTTGTAGGTGGGGGAAAAAAAAGACTAAATAGGTTGCAGTTGTGGAAGTCTATTTGGGCATTGAAATCCAAATCCCATAATTCTAAATTCTTTGTGGAGAAAAACTTGAGGTGTATTCATATATATGAAGTCAGATTTATAGTGACTAGCATTTGTTCCAATTTTTTTGGTTGAGATGCATGGTCTGAATCCTTGGATACTGCTATTAAGATCTGCCTTTTTATTTTTAAGTTTTCTTCTGATTATTAAATACTTATTTGTTTATTTTAAAAAGCTAAAATTAGGATGTTTGTACTTTTCGTATCATTTTATCAATATTATGTATGCATTTGTACATCCTATTATTTTGGCTATTTAATAAAACTTTGGCCTTTTGCTACTGTTTTTCCATGGCTACTTTGAAATAATTAAAGGGAATTACAAAAAGGTACTAAAAATTTAGGAATTATCTACTCGGAAGGTAAATGTAAAAATATATCATGGAGCATGCTCTAGATTATAAATGAAAGATGGTTATTATTTCTCCATATTTGTGAGGTAGGTTTAAATGAAAATATCTCTTCATAATAGCCTTTGAAGCATGTATTTCTTGGTATGCACTTGGGAACAGACAGGGTGCTTTAAATCATTCTGTAAATCAGATAATTATTAACAGAGGCTTCTCTGCATACATCCAAATAGGGGAATGGGAGTCAACCAAAAGAATACTTGTGGTTTTATGGCCTTTAAAAAGGGAACAAAAAAAAAAAAAAAAACTATGATTATTTTTTGCAGGACCTTAATTCCCATTTTACATCAAAAAGCAAAGAGGGGTACTCCACACCAAGCAAAACAGGCTGTGCACTGTATACATGCCATTTTCACAAATAAAGAAGTCCAGCTTGCACAGATTTTTGAGGTATATATATATAATGCATAGGATCTATTTATTTTGGTTTTGGTCTTTATTTTATAAGTTCTGTGGTTTGATAAAGTGGAAGTTAGATTTTGAAAAAAAAAGTTATTTGTATGTAATCCTACCCTAAAATATAAATTTCCTGTGGAGGAGGGGTTTTATCTGTTTTATTCAGCACTGTATTTCAGTACTTAGTTCAGGTCATGTGTTCAAAAAATTTATATTGAAGGATGTGTATTGTATGTGACAACATTTTACTTAATTTAAAAGCTTCTTTGTCTCAGTGGTCCATTTATCCTTACAAAGTGTTAATAGATAACTTTGAACAATCCTTTTTAAGTACATAACAACCCTACATGAAAATCAATCCTGTTTCCCTTTCTTTGTATATAATTTTTAGATTCATTCTGCTACTAGAAAAGTAGTCCTATTATCATGAATTGCAAAGATTATGAACAAAACTCCATGAACTCTTAACTTTTTATTATTCTAGGTCACTAAAATGTCCCCACAGGATAAGAAATTCACCAGCATGGCAAACCTTATGTAGACGGGCTAGAAATAAAGCAGATTTGATGAAGCAGAAATGTTCTCATTTTTACTTCTTTTACTTGGGCTTAATTTTTTCCTTTATCTTTTTTTCTTCAATTTTTCAATTTTGTTAAATTTCAGTAGGTGAATTAAGAAACAAATCTCTAATGTGGTTAAAATTATCATATCATTAAAATAGGCTGATTTGGGCATGATAAATTTGGAAGACTCAGGGAAATCTGTTTCCATAGAATCTTTACATATTTATGAAACAAACTAGTAATTTTTCTGTTTTATTTTTATAGCCACTCAGTAGAAGTCTGAATGCTGATGTACCAGAACAACTTATAACTCCATTAGTTTCACTGGGCCACATTTCTATGTTAGCACCAGATCAGTTTGCTTCCCCAATGAAATCTGTAGTAGCGAATTTTATTGTGAAAGATCTACTAATGAATGACAGGGTAAGTTTCTCGTTTAATTAAATTTAGAGTCATGATATTGACTTTTACATCATTATCACAAAAACATCATCATTTCTGTTTCTCTTTCTTAAACTGTGGATTGAACCCAGGACCTCATGCATGCTAAGTTATATCTCCAACCCCTCTCTTTTCCTTTAAAATTTTTCTACATTGTCCCTTCTTGTTTACTTACTAATTTTCCATTTAACTGCCTGACTTTGAGATCACTGTTACTAGAAGTTAACTGCCGCAGTCTGGCTGGGCACAGATAACCAAGCCGCCAAAAAGCCTTGTAGGTTCAAACAGCAACTCTTTATTCCCGAACTCTCACAGGCACTCTACCCACACTTCCAGGGAACACACACTCTCCATGGGCTCAGCGCCCCAATTCTCCTGGAACCCGGGAGAACTCAAAGGGAACTCCAAAGTAGCGGGGTGCCCGAAGCAGCAGGATCCGCCCTAATCCCGGAGCCACCCTATTCCCAGAGCAGGGTCACCTTTCAACCATTCCCTCTAGCAAAATGCCAGGCGTCATTCCAACTAAACTGTGGCTCTCAACAGTTAACATTTAAGAAAGAAAAAAAATAAAGATGGATATTGTGGAACACATTTATAATCCCACAGATTTATGAGGGTGAGGGAGGAGTATGACAAGTTTGAGGCAAGCCTCAGCAACTTAATAAGACCCTGTCTCATAATAAACAGGGACAAGGTTATAGTTTAGTAGTAGAATGTATGCTTAGCATGCGTGGAGGAACTGGGTTCAATCCCTAGCACCAAGAAAAGAAAAAATGAGAACATGAGATGTATGAATCATTAAGTAAAGTATATGTCAAATGCTATTATCCAGACTTGTAAATGATCATTTACAGTTTTCTGGATTGATAGAATTTTGTGTTATTAAACACTGTTAAAAACATAAGTGGATTAGCTGAGGCATGGTGGTACATGCTTATAATCCTAGCTGCTGCTTGGGAGGCTGAAGCAGGAGAATTGCAAATTAAACACCAGCCTTAGCAATGCAGCAAGATTCTGTCTTAAAAGAATTTTAAAAAGAAAAGAAAACTGGGGATGAGCACCTGCCTAGCATGTGTAAAGCCCTTAGTTCTATCCCTGGTACTACAATTGTTTGGGGGTGGGGAGAATCACTAGTTTACCAAATGGATCTAAATTATAAAAAAGAGTTATTGAATATAAACACAGACCATTCTTACATAATGGATTAGTGTGGTGACTTTCAATTCAGTGTTATCACAAATCCAAATTATCTAAAATTTCTCTAACCTTTCCACATAGTCAAATAGTTTTAAACCCTCACTACTAAGAACTTGCCAGCACCTGTAATCTCAGCAGCTCAGGCGGCTGAGGCAGAAGGATCCTGAGTTCAAAGCCAACCTTAGCAACTTATCAAAGCACTGAGCAACTCAGCAAGAGCCTGTCTCTAAGTAAAATATTTTTAAAAGGGCTGGGGATGTGCCTCAGTGGTTAAATATCCCTGGGTTTAATCCCTGGTACCAAAAAAAAATTTTTTTTTTAATTGACATAGTTATTACTAAGGAGGTACAGTGACTTTTTAATATGTGTTTAATGAGTAATGATCAGATAAGGTAATTAGTATATCTATCATCTCAGGCATATAAATTTTTTTTGTGTTGAGAACATCCAAAATCTTTTGTGCTAGCTATTTTGAATATTCAATTAATTGTTGTCCACCACAGCTCTCCTACTGTGCTATAGACCATTTGAAATCATTCTATCTAGCCTGGTGAAGGAGAGCACACTGGTAATCCCAGCAACTTAGAAGCCTGAGGCAGGAGAATCAAGTTCAAGACAAGCCTCAGCAACTTAGCAAGACCCTGTCTCAAAATTAAAAATTAAGAGTGCTGGGGGCATCTCCTGGGTTCAATCCCTAATATCTCCTCGCCAAAAAAAGGAATCTCCTATCTTAACTTCTCTTCAGGTATACACATTAGCGATTCTCTCTGATAGATCCTATTTTAACATGGTCATTATTGGCTTATTTTTCTAATTGTGATAATATATATATAAAATTTCTTATTTTATGTGTACAATTCACTGACATTGTCTAGATCCTCCTCGTTATCTAATCACCATCACCATTCATCTCCAGATCTCTTTAATTATCCCAAATAGAAATTCTGTACCCATTAAGCAATAACTCCTATCTTACCCCCTTAGAACCTCTATTTTACTTTAATTTGCCTATTGTAGTTTATCTCTTTTGTGTTTGGTTTATTTCATTTAGCATGTTTTTTTTTTTGTATTTTTATTTTTTATTTATTTTTGGTACTGGGATTTGAACCCAGGGGCACTCAATCACTTAGCCACATCCAAAGCCCCTTTAGAGATAAGGGTTTGCTGAATTACCTAGGGCCTCAACTGAGTTGCTGAGGCTGGCTTTGAACTCACATCCTCCTGCCTCAGCCTCCCAAGCCATTGGGGTTACACACATGTGCCACTGCACCTGGCTTCATTTAGCATATTTTAAAGGTTCATCTATCTTGTAGTATGTCAGAACTTTATTACTTTGACCTATGACTGCTGTTGACCGATGACGAGTCCTTGTTTCCCCAGTGTTGAAGTACAACACCAGAGAAACACAGGTCAGAGTGGAAAGTAGAAGTTTATTAAGGACAGCAGAAAAGACTTCTCCCGGAGGAAGAAGGGGACCCAAGAGATGGAATCCATTGAAAGGCGAATGTGTTCCCCCTTTTATAGTTCTTTCAGTGATGGAATGTAGGTGGGAAGACCTGAAGGGTAGGGCACAGGTGGGCCAAAGAAGTAATCTGAGCAGGAAGGACTTTTGAGTCAGCATCTTCCAGTTTGCTGGGAGCTGTTTCATTAACACTTCTTTGGGATGGGCTCTGGGCCTTGGGGACATTAACATTCCAAGAGTTGTTCTGCTTTTCCCGGAATTCATTCTCAACATGGCCTCCATTTTGGATCTTACTGGATATTAGACCCAATTTACCTAACTACACTGACTACCTAACTTTAAATCTGGCTTCACTTTCATAACTGAATAATATTTCTTTGTATGTATATCCCACATTTTATCTGTTGGACACTTGGGTTGTTTCTATCTCTTGGCCACTGTAAAATGTTAATATGAACATTTAGATCCCTGTTTCTAATCTTTTGGCTATGTACTTTAGAATAAAATTGCTGGGACACATGATCATTCTCTGTTTAATTTTTTTAAGAACTGCTGTACTATTCTCCACAGTGGCTGTATAATTTTATATTCTTGCCAGCAATGTGTGAGAATTCAAGTTTCTCCATGTCTTTGCTAACTCTCACCGTTTTCCTTTTCAAAAATTGCCATGCTAGTCGGAGTAGAATGGTATTTCATGGTTTTGTTTAGCATTTCCTTGATAAATAATGATGTCAATGATTATTTTTTCATATGCTTATTGCCAATCCATTTATCTTCTTGAGAGCTGTTATTCAAGTTCAGTTGTCTATGATTGTTGTTGAGTTTAAAACTATACATTCTGAATATTTAATCCTTTCAAAGTATTTGTCCAGTCCAAGATCATGGGACTTTCTTCCCCTGTGTTGTCTTCTAAGAGTTTTATATTTTTAGCTCTTAAAGATTTTTTTATTTGTTTAAAGGTAATGCTTACATATAGTATAATAATCCAGCTTCATTCTTTTGCTTACGGATATACAATTTTTCTAGTGCCATTTGTTGAAGAGACTGTTATTTTCCCAGGGATTATTCTTGGCCCCCCTTTTCAAAAATAAATCACACAAATTGGCCACAGTGGTGATACCTCAGGTTATCAGTGATGAGTCCTGCCTCCCCACATGTTGAAGTTTGAACATTAGAGAAGCACGCTGATGCAAGCATATGAAGCAGGGTTTATTTAAAAAAGGGTAACAGACTTCTCCCCGGAGGGAGAAGGGGGCCATAGCTGGTATCCTAGTATCCAGAGAAACAAGGTTTTCTGCCCTTTTTATATGCCCTAGGCTTCCTTTATTCTCCTGCCTTTCTTCCTTATCTTTCTCCTTCCTGCATACAGTGACTAGGCCCAGGAATGCTCTGTAGGAGAGCCCAAAGGTGGGAAACCTGTAGGCTGAAGGGGGCAGGGCTGGATGGAGTAGCAAAGGACACATTAACAACCTTATAGCTCCCTGTAGGGAGAGGAAATTCCTGGGACTGTTTATCTTGCTACTGGTTGGAGCAGGGGCTGGTTCTTGATAGGGGTGGTGGAAGAGCTCTAAAGGAATTAACATTTCAATCCCTCAGGGGACAGTCTCCAACTTCCTGAATTCACTCAAAATTGGCCTCCTTGATCTGACCTGATTTACACACACTGACTGTGTATCTAATTCTGGCTTCAGAGCATACACCTCTAATCCAGCAGCTCAGGAGTATCACAAATTCAAGTTCAAGACCAGCCTCAGCAACTTAGCAAAGCACTAAGCACCTCAATGAAACCCTGGCTCAAAAAGGCTGGGGATGTAGCTCAGTGGCGGTGTATTATATTATATTTTATTATATATATATATATATAATTTATTATATTTTATAATATAAAAGGAATTATACAAGGGTTGTCTGGGTTCCCTATTCTGTTCCATTGCTCTATTTATCTATATTTGTCTAGGTTATGTAGGTTTATGGTTAAGTTTTGAACTTGGAGAATATGACTCTTCCAACTTAGTTCTTCTTTTCCAAACTCTGCTGAGACTTTTTAAACCTTTCCCAGAACTTGGCATTGCTCAGCATGAAAAACTTAATGAGCAAAAACTTAAATTTTTCTTTCTAAAAGCTAAATTTTGGGGCTGGGGATGTGGCTCAAGCGGTAGCGCGCTCGCCTGTCATGCGTGCGGCCCGGGTTCGATCCTCAGCACCACATACAGACAAAGATGTTGTGTCCACCGAGAACTAAAAAAATAAATAAATATTTTAAAAAAAATAAATAAATAAAAAATAAAAATAAAAGCTAAATTTTTTCATTTGTCCATAGTCAACAGGTGAGAAGAATGGAAAATTGTGGTCTCCAGATGAAGAGGTGTCCCCTGAAGTACTAGCAAAGGTAAATTTGTGTAGGTCTTCATTACCTTTACTTGAAAGAAGGAATGTCCATAGGTAACTTTTTTTAACCTAACAATTAGCATTTTTCAGCAAGGTGCTTTATTTTAAAATCCATAGCAAAAAAAAAACGCTTCTCAAATTGTAGTTCTCATTGTTCCTTGTATATGTAAGTGTCTTTAGTCTGAATCAATTGTGGTAAGGCTGGTATACACAGGGATAGTTGGTGCTCAGAGGCATCTTATAGATAGACTCACCAAAATCTACAAATGTATCATATTCACTTAGCAAAGACAGAGGTTGTTGTTTTAGTCAGATTTTTTGTTCCTGTGACTAAAAGGAATTTACCAGAGCAATTTTAGAGGAGGAAAAGGTTTATTAAGGGGCTCATGGTTTCAGAGGTCTTAGACCATGGACAGCTGACTCCATTCCTTGAGGATCTAGGTGAGGCAGGACATCATGGTGGAAGAGTATGGCTGTGAAAAGCAGTTTATGTGGGTGGTAATCAGGAAACAGTGACTCTACTTACCAGATACAAATATATACCCCAAAGCCACACCCCCAATGAACTACTCCCCACCCCGCCAGCCACACCCCACCTGCCTTTAGCAACAAACTCAGTTAATCACATCAGAGAGCTATTAACTGGTTAGGTTAAGGCTATGACACAATTATTTCTTCAGACCTTCTTGCATTGTTTCACATGTGACCTTTTGGAGGACACCTCACATCCAAACCATAACAGTTATTACAAAATTGGTGACTTTTGATAGATATAAATTGAATGTTATTAGAGCTAATTTTTTAAAGGGCTGGACTTGGAATTTAATATATGAGATTATTTCATTTTTTATAATCTGTTTTACTTCATAATCATGTATTCTATAAATTTAGTTTTCCTGATTATCAGTAAGTATACTGATACTAAGATCAAATAAATCTGGCTACAAATAATTATGGAAACCCCAATTTTTTTGGTGAGAATGTTAAGTAAGACTAAAGTACATTTCATGATTTATTCAGTTTTTCAATTGTATAAAAACAAAAGAGGAAAATATGAAATCCTGTCTAAATAGTTGCTTTTAATAAGAATAGTTTCAAATTTATTTTTAAATAGATTTTTTTATTTTTATTTGACACATAGTATTGTATATATTTACAGGGTAGGATGTGATTAATCAGTACATATATAATTTATAATCAAGTCAAGATAATTAGTTTAGACATTTATTATTTCTCGGGGCCGGGAACATCTTTCAACTAGCCATTTTGAAATACTAATTGTCAACTGGAGCTATCCTACTATGCTATAGAACATTATAAGTTATTCCTCCTATCCACCTGCATTCCTATAGCTGTTAGCCATCCTGTCTCCATCACCCTTCCTCAAACTTTCCCAGGGCCTAGTAGCCACTGTTCTAAATAGCTATTTTTAAATCATGTATTTTCAAATAATTTAAAAATCTTGGGCAACTGTTCTAGTGTCAAAAATCAGAGTTCAGGAGCTAGATGTTGCAAAATTTATTTATTCCAGTAATGTGTCTCAGTTGCCTTATCTGCTGAAAATAAGGAGCTCTGGGGAAAGTGCCTGGTACTGTAAATAGTGAATAAATACTAGTTTTTATTGTGACTGTTACTTATCACTTAAAGTTGTATAATAAAATTTGCAGATATATAACCTCAGTAAGCTCATTAATCTAATTATTAGAAATTATCTTCCCTTTAATTGGAATTGTAAGTTGCTTTCTTTTTTTAGCATGTTAATATTTTATAGGTACAGGCAATTAAACTTCTGGTAAGGTGGCTGTTGGGTATGAAAAACAACCAATCTAAATCTGCCAATTCAACTCTTCGGTTATTATCGGCGATGTTGGTTAGTGAGGGTGACCTGACAGAGCAAAAGAGGATCAGGTGAGATTTTTCTTCCTTTCCAATTTTTTTAGCTCAGAATATTTGGTAAGAGTTTGCATTGGAATTATTTACCTAATTAATATAGAATGTTGTAATTGCACTAGGTTCTCTGGAATTAAATCTTTAGTAGCCACTTGGGGTTTACATCTCTTAGAATACATTTATTTCAGTAATGTTTCTGTGTTTTTCTATGAACATAAAAGAACTAACTATAATCACTGTAGTCCAGTGTTACAGTTAACATCAAACCTTTGGTTCAAACAAAATTTGTTGAATTTCTACTCTGCAAAATCCCATGAAAAGCACTGCAGGGGGGGAAAAAAACTAGATCTGTTATTGCAGGGCTTGAGTTGTGGCTCTGTAGTAGAGCACTTGCCTGGCATGTGAGACCCTGAGTTTGATCCTCAGCACAAGAAAGAGAAAGAAAGGAAAGAAAGAAAAGTCCATTGACAACTAAAAAATTATTTTAAAAAAGATCAGGTGTTGTCTTCAAGAAATTTGTCTTGTAGTAGAAAGTGAGAGAACAAGTTGTAGTGTCTTAAATATGAAGAAAATAATAATATCGATGGTACTTCAAAGAAGGAAGAGTTAAAGCCACCTAGTAGTTGAGGAAGAGACTGTATTCTACAGATACAAAGAAACAAAACAAATTGCTTTCTATTTCTACTCTTCAAGTCTTTTTAATTCCCATCTCTTTTGTGTTCTTTTTAAGATGGAAATAACACCCATTTTTTTCAATTGCTTTTTTTTTTCTTTCAAATTCTTGGTTTATCCCAGGCATGGTGACACACACCTGTAATCCCAGCTACTTGGGAAGCTGAATTGGGAGGAACCCAAGTTCCAGCCAGGCCTGGGCAAATTAGTAAGATGCTGTTTCAAAATTAAAATAAAAGTGGCTGGGGATATAGATCAGTGGTAGAGTGCCCCTGGGTTTGATCCCCAGTATCCCATACCCCAGAAAAAAATCTTGGTTTACTTAGGGAGCAGGTGTACCAGTAGATATAAGTAGAGATTTCTGCTTATGAAGCATTCCTTCTTTAAAAAATTGTTTTAGAGGACAGAGATTTAATCATTTCTTTATGCATTTCGTATTTGCTGAGCACTATTAGATACCAGGTACTGCTGTGTGGGGTTGTATGTGTGTGAGTGTGTGTGTGTGTGTGTGTGTGTGTGTGAGAGAGAGAGAGAGAGAGAGAGAGAGAGAGGGTGTGGGTGGTTTTTTAATGCTGTGTGTGTGTGTGTGGTTTTTTAATGCTGGGGTTAAACCCTGGGGCACTTTACACTGGACTACATCTCCAGCCATTTTTATTTTTTATTTCGAGACAAGATCTTGCTAAATTGCTGAGGCTGGCCTTGAACCTGGGATCTTCCTACCTTAATCCACCCCACCCCCCAAGTCACTAGGATTATAGACATGCTACAACAAGCCTTCCACCTGCTGTGTTATTTAAAGATATAAAAGTCCTTCCCTCCAAGGAATATTTAGTCTAGTTAGAGGAGATAAAATGAGCAATTACAATAGATGGTTCTAAATGCTTAAATAAAGTAAGCCAAGGGTTAGCCTTTTATGAATAGAGTGATGATGATTAGAGCTGGGTTAGGGATGTGAGAAGATTAAATGTAGGATTACTGTATAGTATATAGTAATGAGCTCACACAAATCAATCACACATATGCAGAATCCCCACTAAAGATGAAGACTAAATATAATCACTTGACCTGAAAAAAAAAAAAAAAGTTTAACATCACTACATGCAGTTAAAACAATTTAAATTTAAGTGATCATCCGTTTGCCTACCAAATCAAGAAGAAAAAATATTTTTAAAGCAATTTTTGTTTAGTAGAATCAGGCAAATGGCTTCTGTCATTACTCCTGTGAGTGGTATCTAGATCCTTAGAAATGTTCTTATCCAGCCAGGCACAGTGGTGTGTATTTATAATCCCAACTACTCAGGAGGCTCAAGTGGCAGGATGGCAACTTGGATGAGCCTCAGTAATATAGTAAGACCCTTTCTCAAAATTAAAATTAAAAAGGCTGAGGCTGAGCGCAGCGCAGGCCTGCATACCTGTAATCCCAGGAGCTCGGGAGGCTGAGTCAAGAGGATAGTGAGTTCAAAGTCAGCCTCAGCACAGGCAAGGCACTAAGCAACTCAGTAAGACCCTGTCTCTAAATAAAATACAAAAGGGCTGGGGATGTGGCTCAGTGGTCCAATGCCCCTGAGTTCAATCCCTAGTAGCATGCCTCCTCCATTCCACCTTACCCCACCCCACCCACACTGCCAAATAGTTCTTATCCTTTAACCCAGTATTTTCACATTTGTGAAATAATAAAAATATGCACACAAATGTAGCAAACCAAGTTTTTCCAGCACTATTTATGAGAAAAAATAAGGGAATGAATAACCATGGACAAATATCATGGACTTTTAAATTTTTCTTGTAACATGGTGTTAGCTTGGACTCTAGAATTAGAAACAACTCAGTATTCCATTTATTATCTCTGGGAACTTGTGTAAAGTACTTGATTTTTCTAAGCCCCAATGACTCATCTTATAGAAAATTATTCTGGGACAAAATAAACATTAAAATAATACCTCTTATTTTCATTCATTCATGATTTATCTGCTAGAGAAGCTATTTGAGTGGTCTCAATGTTACCAGTGCTCTTTGTTTGTTTGTTTGTTTGTTTTGGTACTGGGGATTTAACCAGGGTGGTGTATCACTGGTCTATGCTGTAATCCCAGCATCCAGTAACCCCCTTTTGTTTTTTTATTTATTTTTTTACTTAGTGAGACAAGGTCTCACTGTGTTGTGAAATTCTCAAGCTTCAGCTTCCTTAGTCATTGCATGTGCAATCAACCAGTACTCAAGTCTAATAATCCAATTATCTTAGTATGCCATATTTCTTCCTCTTATCTGCTAAGCAAAAGTCCCAGTAGATTCAAACCAACTTTTCTTCCCATTTCCTAAAGTCTTCAAAATAAAAAGTCAGGCATGGTGGTGCGTACCTGTAATGCTAGCTACACAGGAGACTGAGGCAGGAATATCACAATTTCCAGGCCAGTGTTGGCAATTTAGTGAGACCCTATCTCAAAATAAAAAAGAGAAAGGATATTGATCCTTTGTTTTGCATACATATTTATGTATATTTTTTATTCTCTTTTCACACACACAAAAAAGCTTAGTGGTAGAGTGCCCCTGGGTTCTGTCCTGAGTACTATAAAACAAAAAGAAAGCAAGAAAAAAAATTGAAATAGGAAGATTATCGTTCATCCCATTCATTGTCACATATTATCATTTACATTACATAAGTTTATGGAGTGAAGGTGAGAGTGCCAAGCCCTCATAGATTCCCTTTAAAAACTTCATTTTCTGGAAGGAGGTTGGCCCCAGGTACTAGTACTAAGGTAGACACTGGCTCTTAATCTCTGTATCTATTCCTTTGAGTTATTTGTGTGATACTACTTCCCTCCTAGCTGCTTCCCTGACATTTCATCAGACATTGTAAGATTAAGCTAGATATCCATTATGTGTATATGTATGTATATGCATAGACAATGTAGGAAATAGGTTTATTTCTTTATATACCTTTATTTTTATTTATTATTTTATGTAGTGGTGAGGCTCTAACCCATGCCTCCCTCACACCTGCTATGTGAGCCCTCCACCACTGAGCCACAACCCCAGCCCAAGAAAATAGATTTAAAATTGATACTGGATGTTTTTTACTTCTTTAGTTGTTTTCATTTTTTAAATCACATTTTCTATAATGATTATATATTCTTGATATCCTGATGTAAATTGCTCTTTCTAATATTATAAATAGTTTGATTGTAAGAGTAAGCAAAATTAGGGCTAGGTATGTGGCTCAGTGGTAGACTGCTTGCCTAACATGCATGAGGCCTTGGGTTCAGCCCTAGCACCACCACCCCCCCCCCACACACACACACACACAAAAAAAGTAAAGTTGTTTAGCTGTGTGGATTAAGCTAGAGCATGATGAGAAAGGAAGGTAGATAAATTTGTTAACACAAAGTCATAGTGATTTTAGCCTTTTTCCCTTTGCGTGAAGTTCATGGACTCAAAGTAGCTTTCCTGTATCTGTACAGTATATTATTTTAAGCATAAATTTTACCCTGTGTATCATACACTCAAAAAGGGATCAAAGCACTTTTATGAATGATAATGGTTATAGGAAATGTTTATTTCTTTTTTGTTTGTTTATAGTAAATCTGATATGTCTCGCTTGCGATTAGCTGCTGGTAGTGCCATAATGAAGCTTGCTCAGGAACCTTGTTACCATGAAATTATTACTCCAGAACAATTTCAACTCTGTGCACTTGTTATTAATGTAAGTAACAAATTTTTTTTGCCATGTATATCTCTTCAAAATTCATTTACTTTAATATAACTGCAAGTCCATTTAATATATTGATATATGCACTAAAGAGATTGCTATTTTATTCCCCTAACATAATTATCATTTTACAAAACAAAACAGAAATGCTGAAATTGCTCCCCTTTTTGGTAAATGTTTGCCAATTTTTAAGTGTTTTTGTTTCTATGCTGCTATAGGATGAGTGTTACCAAGTAAGGCAGATATTTGCTCAGAAGCTGCATAAGGCACTTGTAAAGTTACTGCTCCCATTGGAGTACATGGCGATCTTTGCCTTGTGTGCCAAAGATCCTGTGAAGGAGAGAAGAGCACATGCACGACAGTGTTTACTAAAAAACATCAGTATACGCAGAGAATACATTAAACAGAATCCTATGGCTACTGGTGAGTACTTGACAGTTCCCAGTGTGACAGATCTTGACAATGGAATAATTTTTGAGAGAGGCAGTCTTATATTCCTATTGTAATTTATAATAGCACTGGGAGTTTTATAAAATGTTATCATTATACTTAAGATGAACTTAAAAACTGATAACCCTGGGTTTTGAGTCCTGATTATTTATACTGCACACTGTTTTGGGTAATTGTATATATAGTTTGATTTGAACACATTTCTCAGATATCAGGGTAAATAATTTTTTCCTATATTTCAAATATCTTTAAGCTTGAATATCTTTCGAAATTAAAGTATAAGTATTTTAGTGTCTTCTAAATATCATGTTGCTTCTAATTTACAAATAACTGAGGGGAAAAGTGGAAACTGAATCACCAAAGTGGTTAGAACTCATAAGAAGGAATTTATATAAAATCACTGTTATTAATAATGATATTTTATACTTTAGAGAAATTATTATCACTGTTGCCTGAATATGTAGTTCCATACATGATTCACCTGCTAGCCCATGATCCAGATTTTACAAGATCACAAGATGTTGATCAGCTTCGTGATATCAAAGAGTAAGTCTTTTTTTGATTTTTTGTTTCCTAATTCTTTGCAGTTACTTAATTGTCTATGTATTTGAAATAAGTTATTTTAGTTTTTATAATATGGGATTTTTACTGTTTATATTACGATAACCTTCAATTTAATAATTTACAAAGTTACAAAGCCATGAAATAATTTTTTTCCCCCATGGACTGGGGAATGTAGCTCAGTGGAAGAGTATTTCCCTAGCATGTGCAAAACTCTGGGTTCTATCCCTGTCACTTCTGCGAGAAAAAAAATTATCATCTTAAAACTAACATTTATGTGCGACCTCAAAAGATAATACCTTCAAAATATGTACCCATACACAGAATAGTCTGTGGTAGATCTATAAACAAGTAAAAACACTGAATCAAAATGTGCTGTTTATGTAAAATAGAGCTTCGTATATGATGCAGCGTGACAGTAAAAGGGGGCTGAGGATTATCTACAAATGGCCTCTAAGAAACTTTAAGTCACTATTTTTTTTAATTTAGTTGTAGATGGACACAATACCTCTTATTTTATTTATTTATATTTTGTAGTGCTGAGGATTAAACCCAGTTATTCACACATGAAAGGCAAGCACTCTACCACTGAGCCACAACAGCAGCCCTAAATCACTATTTTCTTTCTTTCCCCATTGCCGCATTTTTCTTTTGCACTCTTGAAATGGTACTTCATCTTATATTTAAAGTATCAGTTTGATTGTGTGGGACATTAAGTCTAATCCTAAACTTAAGAACTCAGCATTTTTTTAAGAACTCAACATTTTATGTCTATTTCCTACAACTTTGGTCACTAAAATGGTCTTAAAATCTTTACAATTAGAAGAGATGTTGGTTGGATGCCATGGTACCTGTGCAAGTTCAAGGCCAGCCTGGGTAATTTAGCCAGACCCCATCTCAAAATAAAAACAAAAGAGTTAGGGGTATAGCTCAGTAATAGAGTGGTCCTAGGTTTAATCCCCAGGACCAGGGCGGAAAAAAAAGTAATTCATTTGGTCACTTCTGTAATTCCAGAAACACAGGAGGCTGAGGCAGGAGGATCACCAGTTCAAGGTCAGGCTCACCAGTTTAGTTTAGCAACTTAGTAAAACCCTGTCTCAAAATTAAAAATAAATAAAAAGGGCTGGGGATGTAGCTCAATGGCAAAGTACCCCTGAGTTCAATTCCCAAAGCAGGACAGTTATAAAAGAATTAAAAGTAAGCCAGGCATGGTACTGAGCCTGTAGTTCCAGTACTAAGGAAGATAAGACAGGAGGATCACTTGAGCCCAGCAGTTAGAGTCTAGCCTGAGCAAAATAGCCAAACTACATCTTTTGTTTAAAAAAAAAAGCATTGATATGGGAAAAGTACTTAAGTTTGTGGAGTAATTGGAATTATAGTTAAAATCAGTGGTGTATATTTTTGGTTCTATCTAGCATGTAACACTGTTGAGTGTCCTGTATTACCATGTAATTTCTTATCCAGATATATGATTTAACTTTTTGATAGTATCCTATAATAAATAAAAGTTTTTAATTTTAATGAAGGTTAGTTTTTTTTCTTTTGTTTGCCTATATTTTGTTTTCATATAAGAATCCAAATTCATAAAGATTTTCTACTGTGTTTTCTTCTAAGATTTTTTTATAATGTTAGCTCTTAAAATAAAATCTTTAATTCATTTTGAATTGGTTTTTGTATATGGCACTTTTTTTTTTTTTTTTTTTTTTTTTTGATGGTTGGGTATTAGAACCCAGGGCTTGTGCATCCGAGGCAAACACTCTACCAACTGTGCTATATCCCCAGCACCAGACACATTCTTTTGCTTATGAATATCATTTTTCCCAGCACCATTTGTTAAAGAGATTTTTTTTTTCCCTAAAAGTTGGTTTGGCACCCTTATCATAAATCATTTGGTCAGCTGGAAAGATAGCCCCATACTAGAGTGCGAAGCCCTGGGTTCAGTCCCCAAAGTTTCAAATTGAGAAATGTGAGTCCTTCTAGTTTTCTTCTTTTTCAAGATTGTTATGGCTTTAAAGTTTCACATGAATTTTAGGATGCTATTAGCATAGGATTTCTTTCTTTTCACTTAGGTCTTTTAAGTTTTTTGTTCAGCAGTGTTTTGTAGTTTTCAAAAGTTTGTACATGTTTCACCCCTCTAATATTTCATTTTTATTTATGCTATATTAATGAAACTTTTCTCTTAATATACATTTTGGCTCATTCATTATTAATGTAGAGAAATCATTTTGTTATGCACATTTGCTCAATTCATTTATTGACTCTTTGACAATTATGTTTTGTTTTTTGCTTTTTTGATGGTTTGGGAGTTTTTATTATTGTTGTTGTTATTGTTGTTTTGGTTTTGGTGCTAGGTATTTAATGCAGGGCACTCATCCCCAGCCCTTTTTTATTTTGAGATAGGGTCTCTCTAAATTCTGAGGCTGGCTGTGAACATGCAGTCTCTTGCCTCAGCCTCCTGAGCCGCTGGGATTACAGGGCATGTACACTGCGCCCAGGTTTTCTATGGATTCTTTAGGGTTCTCTATACATACACAATCGTATCTGCAAATACAATTTAGATACCTGTTATTTCTTTCTCTTGCCTAAATTGCTTTGACTAGCGATTCTGGTATGAAGTGATAAAAGCCAGCATCCTCAACTTGCTTTTAATTTCAGGGAGAAAATTCAGTCTTTCACCACTGAATGTGTTGTTAACAATGAGGTTTTTTTGTTTGTTGGTTTGTTGGTTTGTTTTTTCGTTTTGTTTTAATGCAAGTCACTTTTATTTAGTTCTAACTTTTTCTGTAAATAGAAACAAACAGTATTGCAAATGTCACATTGGGAAAATTACTGTGCATGTGTCATGAATTCATTTGAGTTCACTAGGTCATTTTTTTCAGTAATAGATACATATTCACTCTCATATAAACCAGATATTACCAATGAGATGACTTTTTATAATATCCCATTGAGTTACAATGGCCACATAATAGAACACACAGACTTGGCTTTTTTGCTGAAGGAGTCATTCAGAGTTTTCTACTGCAGTTAGATATTGGTTTTTCCCAACATAGACATCATCCCATTGCTATGGCTAACTGCATTTTTCTTCCTAGCCTTTGACAATTCACCAATATACCAGGGCCAGGTCTTCTATCGAAAATCAGACAAACAATCCAAACTCTTCTGAAGTGTACCCAGTAGCACTGCCCTCATTCTCCGACAGACACACAATCCCCTCACTTTTCTTCACTCCTTTTCTGTTCATTTAATCTACCATGCATGAAAAAAAATGATTATTTATAAGCTGTAGTAAACCACACATGCTTTGTTTACATGATAAGTCATCTTAATTATGAAGTTAGATAAAATTTCCTTTACAAAATTTTAAGATAGTTTATTCCAGGTGAACTTCAAAATGGATCCATTTTCAAGAATGACCACTTGTTGGGGGAGAGGTTGGTTTTTTTATTTAACCCCTTCTTAAACTCTGACAATGAGACCAATTATTTTGTCTTCTTCACTGCATCAGAATCATTCAGAATACTGGTTAAAAATGTCACCTCCCAGACTTCATACTATAGACCCGCACTGCACATCCAGTAGAAGTAGAACATGAGTCCCATATGTAATTTTAATGTCCTAGTAGTCATTCACTGACTGTGACTGTACAGAGCTATAGAGGGAAGGAGCCAAGCAGCTTCCCTGTTCATGTTCCTCTGTTCTCTTGGCCCTGTTCCCAGTCCAAGGCCACCTAAGAGGCTAGGGGTTGCTCTCTGTGCTAGGCAGTACCTGAAACTCTGACCTGGCAGGGAGTAGGGTTGGGGTGGGGGAATCCTTCTATGGATCTACAGCAGTACAGCCAGAAAGATACCAGCTGTGGGGGTTTTTGTTTTTCTTTTGGGGGTACAGTGAATTGAGCCCAGGGGTGCCGATCTGTATCTCCAGGCCTTTTTATTTTTTATTTTGAGACAGTGTCTTGCTAAGTTGCTGAGAACTTGAACCTGCATTCCTCCTTCCTTAGGCTCCTGAGTCCTTGGAATTACAAGTGTGTACCCCTGTTCCCAGCTTAGCTGTGGGGTTTTTATATGTTGCCTTTCTCATGTTGAGGAAATTATCTTCTAATCCTAATTTATTAAGTGCTTTTATCATAAGCAGTCCCCACTTTCTTCCTCATATACCTCTCTGGCTTCAGTGTCTAATAGGGACTCAGCATTCTAAACAGTTGATTCTGATTTTTTTTTTTCCTTAGTATAATAGTTATTTTATCTTTGTGGCAGACACCTGAAGCTTCCTACTCTGCCGTTTTTTTTTTTTTCTTACATCAGTAGCAATATATTTGTGGAAAAAAAAATCATACTTAAGTTAGCCTTTAGTGTTTAATAATATTTGTTCCTTATCATAGTGATATTCAATATGAAAATATGTTAAAAAGAAGAAAATATTTATAATTATATATCCCCAAAACCCATTGCTGCTATTAACACTTTGTTCTGTATCTTTCTATACTTCTAATATTCTTAGTTGTATATGGACACAATAACTTTATTTTTTATATAGTGCTGAGGATTGAACCCAGTGCCTCACACGTGCTAGGCAAGCACTCCACCACTGAGCCACAACCCCAATCCTCTTTCTACGCTTTTTAATCCTTCTTTCTTTCTTCCTTTCTTTCTTCCTTTCTTCCTTTCTTTATTTCTTCCTTTCTTCCTTTCTTCCTTTCTTTCCTTTCTTCCTTCCTTCCTTCCTTCCTACCTACCTACCTACCAGAGAACCCAGGGGCACTTAACCACTGAGAAACATCTGTAGCCCTTTTTATATTTTGAGATAAGGTCTCACTAAGTTGTCTAGGGCCAAGCTAAATTGGTGAGACTGGCATCCAGCTTATGATCTTCCTGCCTTAGCTGCAGCATCTCTGGGATTACAGGTGTATGCCACCATGCTTGGTTTAAGAGAGAATTTTATTTATTTTTTGGTACCAGGGATTGAACAGGGACACTCAATCACTGAGCCACATCCTCAGCCTTATTTTGTATTTTATTAGAGACATAGTCTCACTGAGTTGCTTAGTTTGCTGAGGCTGGCTTTGAACTCATGATCCCCCTGTCTCAGCCTCCTGAGCTGCTGGGATTACAGGCCTGTGCCCCTGCACCCAGCATGAGAGAATTTTTTAGTTTTAGGTGGATACAATATCTTTATTTTGTTTTTATGTGGTGCTGAGGATCAAAGCCAGTGCCTCGCGCATGCCAGGCAAGCGTGCTACCACTTGAGCCACATCCTCAGCCCCAGAGAGACTCTTTTATAAAGACCTATAGAATGAAGGTATAGATTAGTGGTAGGTACTTGCTTAGCATGCCCAAGGCCCTGTGTTTGATCCTCTGCAGTGAAGTAATTCGGGTAAAAGCCATACTGCCAAATGATGAGAACTAGAAATAAGGTAGGCAAATCTTTGAAAATTCAAATTAGCTGTGAATAGGGAGGGAAGAAACCAACAAAAGTCTTCTAGAAAGAAGACAGAGAAGGTGGGATATGATTTGCAGGTAAAGAAAATAATGGTGGTAATATATTGAGGTGGGGTCTCCAAAAGGAAGAATGGATTCGATCCTAAGGATATATAAAGGTGAAGGAAGACGAATAAAAATAATTTCCAAGGGCTGGGGATATAGCTCAGTTAGTAGAGTGCTTGCCTTGCAAGGGTTCAATCCCTATCACATAATAATAATAATTTTCTGGGGCTGGGGATGTGGCTCAGGTGATAGCGCGCTCGCCTGGCATGCATGCGGCCCGGGTTTGATCCTCAGTACCACATACAAACAAAGATGTTGTGTCCGCCGAAAACTAAAAAATAAATATTAAAATTCTCTCTCTACCGCTCTATCTCTCTCGCTCTCTCTTTAAAAAAATAATAATAATAATAATTTTCAAAATTAGTGTTAAAAAATTGAGAAAGTTTCATCTAATGGATTTTATTTCTGTATATCAAAGGAACAGGATATTTGCTGGTAGGTGAAGGTGAAAGAATCATAAATATGAGTAGAAGATAAAAAATAGCTACTGAAGGGTCTGGGGTTGTGGCTCAGTAGTAGAGTGCTTGCCTCGCATGTGTGAGGCACTAAAGTTTGATCCTCAGCATCACATAAAAATAAATAAACAAAATAAAGGTTAAAAAAAAAGAAAATAGCTACTGTAGACGGATACAATGGTACACACCTGTAATCTCAGTGACTTGGGAGGCTGAGGCAGGAGAGTCACCAAGTTTAAGGCAAACCTTGGCAATTTAGTAAAACACTGTCTGAAAATCTTAAATTTATAGTTAAACTTCTCAGGTGCATAATTTTTCTCTAGTAGTTAAACATTCTGGATGTAGGTGCCAATAAGCCAAACACTTGGATTGTTTCAGGTTTTGAATTTTAAGGCAAGTATACCAACAGGAAAATTGTAAGGGAGTTGAGACTGTTTTGGAGAGTGATTAAAATGTTGACTCAAGTAATATAAACGAGAAAGGGAATAATGAAGAGAAGATGCAGGAGTAGAAAGCCAAGAAGGTTAGAGTTGAGGAATTAGCAAGGCCAGGGGCTGGGAGGGTCTCATGAGGTCAAAGACTATGGATTTAATAGTAGAATTATTTGGAGGACAACTGAAAAGGAGGTCTGGAGAAAGTGGAATGTTGGGATTAAGAAATCACGGGGAGGTTCATAGATGACATTGATAAGGAGAGGATAGGAGACATAGCCAGATGGTGTAAGCTTCCTAGGAAAATTGTAACACAAACAGAAAAACTGGAATCAGCAGTAAGGAAGATAGAAGCTGAACCTATCCTCCCACTCTAAGCATGAACATCTAGTAGAATAAGTGGGTATAACTTAAGGGAATTGCAGAGCAAGTATTTTGGGGAGCAGCTGAGGAGCTTGGTTTCAGTTGTGATAAAACGCTGAAGTGAACATTCACTAAAATTTGTTTTCTATGGAAAGTACATTTCAGAAAGCTCAGTGAAAAGACTTGGAAAGGAAATGGATAAGGAAAGAAGCACAGCTTTACAGGAGTCCAGAGGATGGGTTAAAATTAGCAATTACATTTAATAATTTTTTTATCCTGAATTAACATACTTCTTTCCAGTTGATTCAGTAAGTAAAGTCTATGTTTCATTGGTACATATTATAGCCTTTACATATATATTCATATTTAAAATCTTACTGTGTGGTTTTTAATGTAATAGTTCTGTCTAAAAGGATCAAAGACTCGTCAAATTAATAGAAACTCAGAATTCTGAACCCAAAGAATTAATGATTTCAGCGTTCACATAAACAAAGAATTCCTCAGACTTGTAGAATGCATGAGTCCTGTGTTGTTCATCTTAGTCCAGCACATAATTGCTCAGATAACTTAGGTTAGTTATGTTGCATTTTTGTTAAAAGTATAAAATCAGACTTGGTTTTAGTCTTTTTGTTGTTGTTGTTGTTTTCTTTTAATTTCTGTGACCTCTTAGGGAAGTTTACACCCAAAAAAACCTTTTGAGAAGTTCTATTAGCTGGTTGTTGTTGTTCTCATATTTATTGTCTTTCCTATTCTCCTTTATTTGATTTTCCAGAATTGAAACAACCATCTAGATCTAACTAGAGTTAACTATTTGACAAAGTTAATAAGTATTATAGAAGCTACCAATATTCATTTAAATGATTAAGCTAGTCTCTTAAAATATTTACATGAAATATATGCAGAGTTCATACAGAATATCATTAATTCTCTCCCATTAATGGAGAAACGCAGTAGCCCTACATATAAATCATCCTGGCAATTAAAAAAAAAAAAATTGAAGGGGATTGAAGCCAGGAGCACTCTACTTATATACCCAGTCCTTTTTATTTTTTTATTTTGAGACAGGCTCTCCCTAAATTACCAAAGCTGGCCTCAAATTTGCAGTCCTGCCTCAGGTTTCCAAGTTGCAGGGATTACACATGTGTAGCTCTTCCTGGTAATTTATTAGAAACAAGTTCTGGCCAGGCACCGTGGTCCACACCTGTTATCCCTCTGAAGGCTGAGGCAGGAGGATCGAAAATTCAGAGCCAGCCTCAGCAACTTAGCAAGGCCCTTAGAAACTCAGTAAGACCCTGTCTCTAAATAAAACACAGAAAAGGCTGGGGATATTGCTCAGTGGTTAAGTACCCCTGGGTTTAATCCCCCATACCAAAAAATAAAAAAGAAAGAAACAAGCTCTGCCCCCAGATTTGTCAAATGTAAGTTCCCCAAGTGATTCTAATGTTCAGCCTGATTTAGGGTTTACTTTTACTGTGTTGCATTCATATGCTTTATGTATTGATGAGTGTATAGTAACAAGTACAAAACAGCAAAAGTGATTTAAGATATAATTATTTAGCTAAGTGGCTTGTTAGCGCGCACACCAGCCTCCTACTACATGCAATTCAGATTTGGATCTCAGCAGAATTCAATACCAATTATAAACCTCCATATCTCAGTCAGTATGTCAAAACTCTGGCTGGTTCTGTTTTGCTCATCATGTTCAGTGTTAGACATGTCAGACAATCTAAATGTTTACCAGATAACTATAGTGTGAGTTTTTATATGCTTCATGCAGATGTCAGAATTTCTCATATTATGTTTTCATTTTTTTTTCTTTAATTGTGGATGGAGACAATACCTTTGTTTTATTTGTTTGTTTGTTTATTTATTTTGAGGTGGTGCTGAGGATGGAACCCAGCGCCTCATACTTGTAAACAAGGGCTGTGCCACTGAGCCACAATCCCAGCCCTATGTTTTCATTTTTTAATATATTATTTTCCACTTGAATGTAATAGACTAATATACTTCTTACTTACTAAGAGTAGAGTTTCTTTATTTTTTTATTTGATTACATTCTGACAACAGACCTTTCCAATAAGATATTTATTTCATTAAGCAAAAGCACTTACATTTTTGTCTCCTTAATATTTTTACAATTTAGGTGCCTGTGGTTCATGCTTGAAGTTTTAATGACAAAGAATGAAAATAATAGCCATGCCTTTATGAAGAAGATGGCAGAGAACATCAAGCTAACCAGAGATGCCCAGTCTCCAGATGAAACCAAGACAAATGAAGTAAGATGAGTATTAGGCCAGAGGATATTAAGATGTCATAGAAAAATAAATCAACTCCTTTTTTCTGATCATTACATAATTTTAATCGCAGAATATTTATTTATTTATTTTGATGTCTTCACTTTTATTTATTTATTTTGATGTGGTGCTGAGGATCAAACCCAAGGCCTCACGCATGCAAGGCAAGCACTCTACCGCTGAGCCACAACCCTAGCCCTTGCAGAATATTTATTAAAATATACTCAGGGTCAGGTTTTTTTGTTTTGTTTTTTGTTTTTTGCTTTTTAATTTTTTTTTCTTTTTTTGGTAGTAGATGGACAAAATTCTTTTATTTTTATGTGGTCCTGATGATCAAACCCAGTGCTTCACATGTGTTAGGCAAGCATTCTACCACTGAGCTACAGCCCCAGCCCCTTATTGCTTTTTATCACAAAAAAAAAAATTTGTTATTTAGGGGCTTGGGGGAGGGGTTCTGTTTGGTTGGTTGGCTTCTTTTGTTTTTGGCTTTTAGTTTTTTGCAGTGCTGGTGATTGAACCCAGTGCCTTTTGCATGCCAAGCAAATGCTCTACCACTGAGCGACATCCCCATCCCTATTTTGGGATATTTAGTACTCTTTAATAAAAAAGGCTGGGGTTGTAGCTCAGTGTTAGAGCACTTGCCTACATGTGTTAGGCACTGGGTTCGATTTTCACCACCAGATTTTTAAAAAATAATTAATTAAATATAGGTATTGTGTCCATCTGCAACTGAAAAAAAAAACAATTTAAAAAAGGCATCAAAGTATCTGCAAAGCAAGAGGATACAAACTAATAGTATTTGGACTGAGAATATAGCTCAGTGATAGAGCCTTTGCCTCTCATACTCCAAGCTCTAGGTTGTATCCTCAGCACCACTACAGGTGGGAGGGATCCAAAATTTATAACTGTGCTGTCTTATGTATTTCTACCAAGAGTTACAGAAAAATGAATATGTTTGTTGCATGCTTTCTTTGTTTTGACTTGTCTTCTCTACTTCATACTTGGCATTCATGTTAAATTAAGGTAGGGGTTGTTTGTTTGTCATCCCACCCACCCCCCTTTATCAGGAGGAAGCTATGCAGAACAGAAAAAGGAAATGTTCAAGGAATAAATAACCACATAGTCTGTTTATAATTTTTATGTATTTGGTGGAAGTGGTTCTTTTGATTATTTTGTAATCATGAAAATTATGTAAAAATCTTTATTTTCTTTCCTAGAAACTTTATACAGTATGTGATGTGGCTCTGTGTGTTATAAATAGTAAAAGTGCTTTGTGCAATGCAGATTCACCAAAGGACCCAGTCCTTCCAATGAAATTTTTTACACAACCTGAAAAGGTAATTTTTTATATACCTCATTTTTCTACCATACTAAAATGATTTAAATATAAATTACATCAACAAATATTAGATAATCTTGAGTACAGAGTTTAAAAAAAAAAAAAAAACTCTAGGTTTATTGAAGAATGGGGAAATTTTCTTTAGACCCCTGCATAATATCGTTCTCTCCTAAGTAGGAATACACATAAAGTTTTTTAGTTCTTATGTTCCTTCTGGTGTTTCTAGTAGGAAAAACAGTTTTTTCAGATTTTTTTAAATTATTTTGACCTCATTTTATTTAAATGCTGTTAATATGTTTATAGACAATAAAATAACTGGTATAGTATATAAATATATCTACATATGAAATCAAATATTAGAGTTCATGGAATTGGTCTTGGCAGTTGATTGACCTGGATTCTCATCAATCATTTCTGACTTGAGGATTAAGTTTTAACTCCTCTGAGATTTAATTCCTTCATCTCTGTAATGTAGGTATAAAAATTATATATGAATAGTTAATAATTAATAGTATCTAGGTTTAGTTGAAGAGTTTATTACACAGTGAGCATTCAATAAATGGAACTCTTAAATTGATTACACGTAATACATTTTTTCTGCTACTACCAAATTGATTTTCTTTTTTTTTTTTTTTTAATGTACTTTATTTTATAGTTACAGTGAGAGATAAGGCTTTTATTCTTGTGTTTTCTGTGGCTGGAGGACCTGTGTGCACCAAATGTCAGTAAATATTCTAGATAACCCAGGCTCTTTGAAGTGTTCCCAAGTTTTTTGAAATTTAAAACTTTTTTTAAAATGTCTTACTTATTTCCTGATTTTATGTGATATTTTGAAGTTTCTTTAATGGTTCTAAGAAACAAAATATATTTACTTAAGTGACAGGTTTTTCCCTTTAATGAGGATAATATAATTTCCTTGATCCAGTGAGGAGTTCCTTACTGAAATATGCATAGTACCATATAAGCTACTTTGAGAGCCCAAGAAAAGAAGATTTTATAATACAATAGAGGAGGTGAAAATTGTTTAAGACATAAACTGGAGACTCCACTAAGCCATATGAAAAATTAGGATTTTGCTTCATTTGAAATTTAGAAAATTTACCTCTCAAACTAGAAAAATGTCTAGGTCATGAATTGAGATAGATAAGCATAAATATGATTATTATTACAGGGTACAATGCCTGAAAAGTTTTGTTTGTATGATAAAAAGACACATGTACAATTTAATAGGCTTTTGTTTTTCTTTTTTTAAATAGGACTTCTGTAATGACAAGAGTTATATTTCAGAAGAGACAAGAGTGCTTCTATTAACAGGAAAGGTATTAAGTATATATATATATATATATATATATATATATATATCTTCTGCTGCATGTCCTCTGTATTTTATAGTACCTTAGGTATCATATTATGGGTTTGTAGCATCTGATGGTCAGAATTTTTTCTGCCATGAATTGCTCTTCTGAATTGCCACCATGTGTTCTGCTCCATAATGAAAAGCTTCAAATTAATTTATATACAATATGAAATGCAGATTTTACTGAGAAATAGGGTAATAAACTTACATGTATAAGATAAATAAGATAGTCAGGCATGGTGGCTCACACCTGTAGTCCCAGCAACATGGGAGGCCAAGGTCAGAGGATCATAAGTTTCAACAACTTAGTGAGATCATGCCTCAAAATAAAAAATTTTTTAAAAGGGCTGGGGGGCTAGGACTGTAGCTCAGTGGCAGAGCACTTGCCTAGCATGCGTGAGGCACTGGGTTTGATCCTCAGCACCACATGAAAGTAAAAAAATAAAATAAAGGCATTGTATTCATCTACAACTATAAAAAAAATTTTTAAAAAAGGAGTGCTGATGAATTAGTCAATTTGAAAATATCTTTTTTTAAAAAAGGAGGGGAGGCTGGGGACATATCTCAGTTGGTAGAGTGCTTGCCTAGCATGCACAAATCCCTGGGTTCAATCCCTAGCGCCACAGGAAAAAAAAAGAAAGAAAGAAAAAATTTTTTTGTTGTTCTTCTCGTTGTTACACATTTATTTTTATTTTGTTGGTAAAAAGAAAAATTTAAAAAAAAAAAAAAGTTCAGTGGTAAATTGCCCTAGGTTCAATCCCTAGTACTTAAAAAAATAATTTTGAATTCTAATGAGTTAAATAATTAATATTTCATAAAACTAATGCGATGAGTACTAAAAATGTTTATAAATTTAATTCTTTGTATCTATACATATATATATATATTTTTTAGTTGTACATGAACATACAATACCTTTATTTTGCTTATTTAGTTGTTTTTTTGTTGTTGTTTTTGTTTTTTTTTAGTGGTCAATTTACCTTTATTTATTTATTTATATGCGGTGCTGAGAATCAAACCCAGTGCCTCACACATGCTAGGCAAGTGCTCTACCCACTGAGCTATGACCCCAGCCCCTATTTAGTTTTTTTTAATGTGGTTGGTGCTGGGTTCAAACCCAGTGCTTCACACATGCTAGCCAAGTGCTCTACCACTGAGCCACAACCCGAGCCCTAGAAATTTAATTCTTGTTAAATTTTTAATTGCTAAAAATATTATATATATTCAGTAGTTTGTTTACAAGACATTTTATTATGTATTTCAATGTTTTACGTACCTATTTTGATTAAGCAATAAGAGCCAGGTGTGGGGGTACATGCCAGTAGTCCTCGCTACATGGGAGACTGAGTTGTAAGGATCACTTGATCCCACTAGTTCAAAAATTGCCAATATGGAATGATCTCATCATATTAAAAAATAAAAATAAACAAAAAACCACACAGGCCTCAGTATATAGCTCAGTGGTAGAGCACTTGCCTCGTTGTGAATCCTGAGTTCCATTTTAAGCACCCTGATGGAAGCGGGGGGCATTGTAAAGCTGTAAGGAATAACAAATATTGCCTCATTTTTAAGTAGAATTACTTATAATTTTTTTTAAGACAGCCAAACATGTATTTACAGCATTATCATTTCTAATAAATTTAGGGCTTAATCTTCCAAGGTAACAACTCTTGGCTTAAGCTAAAGAATATCTTTACCTGCTTCTGAATTATATGTATCCCTTTCACTACAGTATAAAATAATTTGTGTCTGTGTGTGATTTTTCAGCCAAAGCCTACTGGAGTACTAGGTGCAGTAAACAAACCTTTATCAGCAACAGGAAGGAAACCCTATGTTAGAACCACTGGCACTGAGACCGGAAGCAATATTAATGTAAATTCAGAGCTGAATCCCTCAACCGGAAATCGATCAAGGCAATTTTTTTTCTCTGTTTTTTTTTTTTCTCACACACACTACTTGGTTTATCTTTTAATTTATTCCTAAAGCACTCTATCATAAAGTAGACTTCTACTTTTAGAAATGTTTTGGTACAAAATAATTCTGATGACTTGTACATGTTTTGTTGGTTTGGGGAGAGGTTAGGGGGTGGTTTGTGGTGCTAGGGATCAAACCCTAGGCCTTGTGCATTCAAAGCAAGCGACACCCCCAGCCCGTGTTTTTTTAAAGAGGAGAATCAAGAATAGACTGAACATTTTGAAATAATATAGTATTCTAAGTACATAGAAAAGTTAACAAAAAAGGCTGGGAATTCAGTATTAGAGTACTTGACTAGCATGTGCAAGGCCCTGGATTCAATCCCCAGTACCACCACAACATTAAAAAAAATAATAAAAGGAAATAGAAAACACAAGTATTGGTTATATAACTAATTTACATAGAAATGTTTATTCAGTATACATAAGAAAATTCAACACTTTGAAAACCATAAAAAATAACTATTACATAATTGGGAATACTTTTTAAAATTTTATATCTAATTAGTGTAATGTGATTAAGGTAATGTTGATATAGCGTTTTCCATATAATTAATGTGTCATATTTGCTTTTTAATCACTGAATAAAGAATTTCTACCTGACCCTGCTGTTACAACTCTAAACATTGGGTTTTTTAAGCATTTTATTTGTATCCATGAAATGTTAAGGGTAAACTCAACTAGTAATGTTTAAACCATTTTTAGCAATAAAATTCCAAAATATAAAATGAATTAATATGGAACAGCTGTGGTTTACAGAGAAGATGGGGCTTCAAACACTCCTAAGTGGCCTTTTCTCCTTACAGCCCCTCTCTTGCAGAACACTAAGAATACTGGAAATTACTGTACTATACTATGACTTATAGTTTTATTTTTGTTTTAGGGTTTCTTACCCCCCAACAGATAAGATTTAGAATAATTACATTATTTTGTTTCTTGATAATTAATCTTTGTCAGGTGGTTTTAGGCAGTGATTTCTTCCTTACATTATTAAATGGAAATCAGTCATATGATACAATAAAGCAGTACTCTGCTTTATTGTATCATATGACTGATTTCCATTACTCTATAATTATAGAAGATCTGCATCTTGCAATCATTTCATCACTTGTTTAGATTTCTAAACCAGGCAAAGCTGTTTCTTATTGGAAGAGTGAAAGGGGGAGTTTTCTGTGTATGTGGTAAAATAAAGAAGCCTTGGTTCTTTTTTTTTTTTTTTTTTTCTTTCCCACTAGGGAACAGAGTTCAGAGGCTACAGAAACTGGAATTAGTGAAAACGAAGAGAACCCAGTGAGAATTATTTCTGTTACACCTGTAAAAAATATTGACCCAGTAAAGAATAAGGTAAAAAATTTTTAATCTATCTTCTTTTAATTGTAGGTGGATACAATACCTTTATTTTATTTGTTCATTTTATGTGGAGCCAAGGATTGAACCCAGTGTCTCATGCGTGCTAGGCAACCACTCTACCACTAAGCCACAACCCCAGCCCCTCTATCCATCTATCTTGAGGAGCTGGGAATTGAACCTAGGACCTCACACATGGTAGGCAAGCACTCTGCCACTGAATTATACCCCTATGTCCTGTTAATATTTAACAGGTGGATTTTTCCTGTGAAGGTTCTTATTATGATTTGTGGTAGGGGTAAGAATTTCAACAGCCAAATGCTAAATGTACTGGGTCTGTACACCACATTTTATACAAGTGTGGTTTTCACTCTCTTCAATACTTACTATACTTCTGCTCTGCAGAAATGATTCTGCCTGCATCTACCCACTTCATTTTATAAGAGTTTATGTGGTCACCCATGATAGTATGCTTCTGCCTCATATTCCTTCTACACCTTGAAAGAATAGAAGTGAGAGTTTTTGAGATCTTACTTTTAGAATTTCATTGATTCATGCCCACACTGTTTTGTGTATATTGTACTCCTCAAAGTTAAGTTTTTATGGTTTAACATTTATAAGTACGCCTGAGTTTTTACTTAACAGCCACATTATTTTTCTTTTTTCTTTATTTCTTTTTTTTTTTTTTTTTTTAGTGAGAGAGAATTTTTTTATATTTATTTTTTAGTTTTCGGCGGACACAACATCTTTGTTTGTATGTGGTGCTGAGGATCGAACCTGGGCCACACGCATGCCAGGCAAGCGCGCTACCACTTGAGCCAACTCCCCAGCCCTGATAACCTTTTTTTAGTACAAGTGGCTTAAAGATACTATTAAGAAATTTTTTTTTTTTTTTTTTTTTGGTACCAGGGATTGAACTCAGGGCGCACACTCAACCCTAAACCCGTTTTGTATTTTATTTAGAGTCAGAGTTTCACTGAGTGCCTCACCATTGATGAGGCTGGCTTTGAACTCACAATTCCCCTGTTTCAGCCTCCTAAGCTACTAGGATTATAGGCATGTTCCACTGCACCCAGCACTATTAAGTATTTCTTTTCCAACAGAATTATATTTTTGACATACTTACCTTTTAATCAAATGTTTTAGTATTACTTTCAGGTATATAAAATACAATTATTCCAAAATAACTTTTTCTATCTAATCCCTCATTATGTGAACACAAACTGAATCAATAAGGATGCATTTTAGATTAATTTATCATTATCCAAATTTTTGCTACCTGCTCTCTGAAACACAGCATATTAATGGATTCAGGTAACAACAGGGTACCATCTCTCACTGTCAAAATTCTTAGAATCCAAGAACCAATACTTTTGAATATTATCAGGTCCTCATAAAGAATTAACTAGGTTTGATATTAATAGATACAAAAATGCACAATGTCACAGTCATTGAATTACATATACTTAGAGTGCATATTAAGAAGTGGTACAAGCTGGGCGTGGTGGCACATGCCTGTAATCCCAACGCCTTGGGAGGCTGAGGCAGAAGGATCCAGAGTCTAAAGCCAGCCTCAGCAAAAGCGAGGCACTAAGCAACTCAGTGAGACCCTGTCTCTAAATAAAATGCAGAATAGGGCTGAGGATGTGGCTCAGTGGTTGAGTGCCCCTGAGTTTAATCTCCAGTACCAAAAAAAAAAGGAGGAGGAGGAGAAGGAGGGTACAAGCCAGGAGCTGTGGCACATGTCTGTAATTGCAGATATTGAGAGGCTGAGGCAGGAAGATCACAAGTTTGAGGCCAGCCAGGAAAACTTAGACCCTGTCACAAAATAAAATTTAAAAGGGGGAAATGAATACTGGGAATGGTGGAACTGGCATGTATGAGAACATGAGTTTGATCCCAAGTTCTACAAAAGTTAAAATTAAGGACTAAAATTTATTGCTAACCAATCTCTTGGAGATTAATGTATAAACCAGTGTGTTAGCATCTGTGTGGAAATTATTCAGCAAATAGGATGTGTATATTTAGAAATATACACATATTTACAAAGTACATTCTTTCCTGTTATTTACCCTATGAGGGAAATTGAAATACGAAGGATAAATAAGGGAAGTAATGAAAAGAAGAACCAAGACACATACATCCCAGGATTCAGGCAGGTGATATTGGCAATGTTATTTTTTTCAGTACCCAAGACAACTGCTTGCCTCTTCATTTGGCTTACTTGAGCCCTTTTTACATATGCATATACACTAATTATCATAAATGTGTAATTGTCATCAGTACATGATTTTAATGTTTTCTTTTAAGCATTTTCATCTGTATTGTTTTTCTCCTTTCTTTTGCCACTACAAAAAACTGTTTCAGTGATTTTTGTTTTGTTTTGTTTTTAATAGTGTCAGGATTTTGGTAAGTTGCTGAGGCTAGTTTCAAACTTGTGATTCTCTCATCTGGGCCTCCCAAATTTCTGGGATTATAGGCACATGACATCATGCCAGCTCAATGAATATTCTTTATACACTCACACAACAAATTCTCTCTGGTGCTTTTATACCATGGATCAAAGGATAACTATATTATAGTTTTAAGATATTTCCATATTCATTCTGTGAAGGAATGAAACACATTTTTGTCAACAGGGGGAGAGAGTACTTCTTCCCTCTACAATCCCACCAACAATTTTAAAGTTCTTTTTACTTTCTTCACTCTTACCTATTGAAACTAATGCCCCACTATTAATTTAATTTGCATTTCTTTGACTGCCAATGTGTTTGCTGAATATTTGAATGTTCCCTTATGTAAATTGCTTGTTGATATTTTGCCCATTTTTAAATTGGATTCAACTTCTAATGCTTTAGTAGTTTTACCTTCTAGTTAACATTTTTTCTTCCATCCAATCCAATAGCCATACAGTAGCCAATGTGCTTTTATTAAAATGCAGTTTGGGTTATGTTCATCCTCTGGTTATGAATTACTTTCTTTAGCACTAGAAAAAAATTCACATTTTGGTGGGGCTGAGGTTGTCACTCAGTGGTAGAGTGCTCCCCTGGCATGCATGAGGCACTGGCTTCGATCCTCAGCACCACATAAAAATAAAATAAATGGACTGGGGCCGTGGCTCAGTGGTAGAGTGCTCGCCTAGCACACCTGAGGCACTGGGTTCAAGCCTCAGCACCACATAAAAATGAAATAAAGATATTGTGTCCACCTAAAATAAAATAAAATAAAATAAAGAATATAGTGTCCACCTAAAACTAAAAAATAAATTCATATTTTGACATGTTTTATGAAGCATTCATGAAGCAGTCCATGCCTGCTTCTCCTACCTTATCTGAAGCTACACTGCCATCATTCCTTATGGTCAGAGTTCCTTAAATCTACAAAGCTCTGTATCTTCAGGTATTATTATTTTCTCCATTTAAATAATTGTCTCCTGAAAAGGACTGGTTAGAAATTGATATGTCATATTTAAAATAAAAATTACTCACCTGCCACACTTGTACGTGAGGATGGGAATCACATCTGTTTTGTTCCCCAATCTATGTCCAGCAACCACCACCCATAGAAGTCAGTTAAATGAATAGTTCCTACTTCGAGTTTAATAGTAATAGTGCTTTGTTGAGCTGGGCCAGTGGCTCAGTTGTAGAGCCCTTGCCTATCATGTGCAAGGTCCTGGGTTCTATCCCTAGCAGTGCAAAAATTAAAAAAAAAAAAAAGAGTGGTCATGGTGGTTGTTTTGCCTAGAAATCGTCTTTCCTTTTTCAAGATTACTTTGCATATCTGTTCTCTGATGCACTGTGTAATTTTTTACTCCTGGTGGTGCTGGGGATCGAACCCAGGGTCTCACATATGCTAGGCAAGGGCTCTACCACTGAGCTACAACCCAGCCCCTTGTAAGTTTTCTTTTAACATAAAGATTTATAATATTTTTCCCATCACTTCTTGGCAATTTGGCTAAGACGAAGTGTAATATTTTCCTCCATTCTGGAATGATTTTCTGAGGAAAATGAATATTTTAATTTTTTTTTTTTTTTTTTTTTGGATGATTAGTGTTCCCTTTAATCAATTAGAATTATATCAATCAAATTATAACTGATGGGGGCCTGGGGTTGTGGCTCAGGGGTAGAGCACTTGCCTTGCATGCGTGAGGCACTGGATTCAATCTTTAGCACCACATAAATTAATAAAATAAAGATATTGTGTCCATCTACAACTAAAAATTTTTTTAAAATACTTTAGTTTTTAAGTGGACACAATATCTTTATTTCATTTTTATATGGTTCTGAGGATTGAACCCAGTGCCTCACGCATGCTAGGCGAGCACTCTACCACTGAGCCACAGCCCCAGTCCAACTAAAAAATTTTTTTAAAAATTATAACTGACAGGCTAGGACTGTATCTCAGTGGTGGAGCACTTGCCTATTGTGTGAGGCACTGGGTTCAATCCTTAGCACTGCATAAAAAAATAAACAAACAAAATAAAGGCATGCTGTATATCTACAACTACAAAAAAATTTTAAAAAGAAAAAATATAACTAACTGATTCCTAAATGTCATTTGTGTATGTATTGAGTCACTTGCATTCTGAAAACTGTTGTTTATCCTTTTTTTTTGTTTTGTTTTGTTTTGTTTTGTTTTTATTTTGTTTTTATCCAACCCAGGGCCTCATGCACTCCAGGCAAGTACATTGCCACTGAGCCACATCTTCAGCCCAAACCATTATTTATCCTAAATCCATTATATATGTTATGGTAAAATGAGATTCTATTACTTTGAACAATTTTAGATGACTTAATGCTAAACTAAAATCCCACGAAAAAAAGAAAGAAAGAAAATACATACTGAATTATGAAAATATCCTTTTGAAAAGTGATAAATTTAGAGCATGCCATCAATGACGAGGAGTGTGTATTATAGTAAAATCAAAGATTTTCTTTCTCTCTTGTGTACTGCCTATGATTTTTTTGGGGGGGGTTGGGTGGGGTATTGGGGATTGAACTTAGGGGCAATTGACTACTGAGCCACATCCCCAAGCCCTATTTTATTTAGAGACAGAGTCTCACTCAGTTGCTTAGCGCCTCACTATTGCTGAGGCTGGCTTTGAACTCGGGATCCTCCTGCCTCAGCCTCCCCAGCCACTGGGATTACAGCTATGTGCCACCACACCTGGCCTGCTTATGCATTTTAGTAAATGTTTACTAAGTACATAATGTGTGACAAGCACCAAAGTATGCACCAGGCACCGTCGTCCTCCTCAAAGAGCTGACTTTTCAAATGAGATGTAAACAGTTCACTAGAAGCCCTGGAATCCCAACTCCTTTCAACTTCTTTTCAACTACCAATCATTGATATTTAAGGAATTTGTGTTTACAGGATTGTTTTGTGGTCTTTTAGGAAATAAATTCTGATCAGGCTACCCAGGGCAATATCAGCAGTGACCGAGGAAAGAAAAGAACAGTAACAGCAGCTGGTGCAGAGAATATCCAACAAAAAACAGATGAGAAAGTAGATGACTCAGGGCCACCTGCCCCTTCCAAACCCAGGAGAGGACGTCGACCCAAGTCTGAATCTCAGGGCAACGCAACCAAAAATGATGATATAAATAAACCCAATAGTAAGGGGAGGAAGAGAGCTGCAGTCAGTCAAGAAAGCCCTGGGGGTCTGGAAGCAGGTAATGCCAAAGCACCCAAACTGCAAGATGTAGCCAAAAAGGCTGGACCAGCAGAGAGACAGATTGATTTACAAAGGTAATGTACACCATTCTTCCCTAACTTAGAATAAATTCTAGTGTCAGTCACCCCAAACAACTGAGTTTTTGGAAGTGAAAACTGCATTTGGTTTTCCTGCAAAAATTATAATGGCATTTATTTTCACTTCATAATCTCTGCTTCTCTTTCCTTTTTTTTTTTTTTTTTTTAAAGAGAGAATTTTAATATTTATTTTTAGTTGTAGTTGGACACAATACCTTTTATTTATTTTTTATGTGGTGCTGAGGATTGAACCCAGGGCTTCGCACGTACTAGGCCAATGCTCTACCGCTGAGCCACAACCCCAGCCCATAATCTCTGCTTTTAAAGCACTAATTTGAAGAAAGATCTCCTCCCCACCTCCACCCCCCACTTTAATTTTTACTTAACCAGGAATCAGAATCACATTCCCTGTAGAAAAGTGGGATTCCATCTAACCTGTTAATAGAACTAACATACATTTTCCTCCTGGTTTTTGTTTGTTTGTTTTTAGTATACCAAAATATATTTGTTTACCCATCCCAGAAGACAGATCTTATTTTGCTGTTCATAACTTCGTTTTGTCATAGTGTCCAATGACTTTTCTTTAATATCATTTTTGAAAGTATAGATTTAAAAATTATGATTTCAATTAAATAGGTCTTATCATTATAAGCAAATAGAACTGGTAGCAGCATTTAACAGTAGAAAGCAAAAGTTTTTCCATTGGTGTTTTTGCTAACAACTGTAGAAATGAAATCATTTGGTTTGGTTTTATCCTGTCTACATCTTTTCTAACTCTGTATTCTTCTACTCCTGTCCCCAAGGTAAAAAGGAGACTCTTTTGTAAGGGAAAAAATGAAGGCCAAACAGAAGCAGGCTCCAGCTTCTGCAAAAACTTGGATTCAGACTGTCCCTGCACAGAAAACGAAGTTCACTTCAGAACACACACTTTCTGCCTTGAAAACCGAAAGAAACTCTGACTTCTTTTCACATGACCACAGTCCTATGATGGAAATGTACAGAAGAAACTCGAGAGAGGCTAAAAGCAACTCTATTCTCCCTCCCCCCAGACTTTTCCTATGAAAAGTCAATAATTAAGCAAATTGCTTAACATTTGGTTCCAGTTCCTGCATATCTGGAGTTTAAACACATAATACACCATTAATTCCCATGCTGCAGTTTTTATTTTAAAGAAAGTAACAAGATGTCCTTACACTGACACTGAAAATTCATCCCTTCTAGAGCCATGAATCCCCATGTTACACAAGAAACAGAAGTCTACTGAAATTATTATTTTTTTTTTTTTTTTTAAGAAGAAAAGAGATCAAATATTTCTTTGTTTTTCCTTTTGGAAACTTTTATGTATAATTCTTTCTGCCTGTCTACTTTTCTGCAAAAATGAGATGTACAGATTTCAGTTCCCTGCTATGAAAAGTGATGTGGTGGCAATTTTATAAATGTTGCTTTCTGATTTTTATCAGAGTGAGAAAATAATTAAAATAATTATTGATTTGCAAGTAGTAAACTTCATATTTTGATTTCCCCTTCATTTTAGTTTAATATAATTTGCAATAAATGTACATATTGTTTGTTTCATAAAGCATATCACTTTAAAATGGTCTTTACTCCTATGATTATGTTGGAATATTTGGAATTTTAAAGGAGTAAAGACTATCCAGCATTTGGTTTTAAATAATGTTTGTCACCAGATTTTTATTATTAATGTAAAAAAAAGTCAATTTTTTAAAATAGTTGGACTTTGGCAGCTTTGTAAGGAAAATTGGAGGTGTTAGGATTACTATCAGTTTTCAGCATTGTGCTATTGGGAAATAAGTGTTTTTGTCTGCTGTTCTGGGCTCAGTTTTTATCTTTATTTTAGGGATAAATGTTGCATCAATATATTATGTTTCTTGGCATTGTTCAGCATAGGGAATGTGTGCACTTTTTGTGTACACATAATCATATTTAAGTTTTTTTGCATAAAATAAATGCTTCTAGATGTCATATGGCAGTCTTTTTTAATCTTTTTATATTATGCTTTATTGTGAATTTTTTATGCAAAAGGGCTAAAGTCATAAACCAAGAACGTGATTAGAGTCAACTCTCCATTATCTATAAAATAGTGACTGGGCTTAGTTTGTGGTAATCATAAACTTCCAAATAAAATAATGAAGGCACACTGATTTAGGAGGACTTTGAAATTTGTCCTTTCTGTGCTCGTATTTATATTCTGCCCCCTCTGTACACTTAGACTCATCCCCAGAGCCCTAGAAAAATGTGCTTTTTCCTTACACATACCTAGTGTGGGCTGGCAGAAATAAGCAACATTTGCATTATATCTGGTCTTAAACTATAGTCTACATAAAATGTAAAACAAACAATAATACTGTCAAAAGAATATATTAAGAATGAAATCTGCTGGTAGTAAATGTCACTAATGTTCTCATAGATAATGAAGAGTTGGCTATCACTGAGTGAAAGATGGATAGTTCTTTTCAGTATGCATCAACATACACACATTTAGGTATTAGAAGATGGTTAGGGAACAATGGATTCCAATGATACAAAGTGCATCAAAGTCTCCTGAAAGTGCAGAAAAGTCCTATTCTTTCTTCCTTTTGTCTCTTCATAACCCTTTAGAAAGTATAAAATATTGCCTCCAACATGCTGAAAAAGAATATCTATGCATAAGTATCAGTAAAGTCCCTCAAGCAATCAGCGGGTGTGTTTGAAGTTCTCTTAGTATCAGACAACTTAATTCTTTTTGGTTTTGTTTTGAGGTGCTGAAGATCCAAGCAAGAGACTCACACATTTTAGGCAAGTGCTCTAACACTGAGCTACATCCCCAGCCCTGACACCTTGATTCTTAGGAGCTCCAGTTTGGCAGATGTGGTAGCACATACCTCTGATCTCAGCAACTGGGGAGACTGAGGCCTGAGGATTACATGTTCAAAGCCAGCCTCAGCAATTCAGCAAGACCCTATCTCGAAATGAAAAAGAAAAAGGGCTGGGAGATGTGGCTAAGTGGTTAAGCACTTCTGGGTTCAATCCCTAGGAAAGAGCTCCAATTTGTCACCAACAGGAAGTACATTCATGGTAATCTAGTAAACTGGATGCAGTGCAATTAGTCAAACGCAGTTAAAGAGAAAGAAGGTTCCTAAGTGTCATATTACACAAAATGTAGCCCAGCCATTTGCATCTATTTATGGCTCTTTAGGCTTCTACAAGAGAACAATTAACTATAGGTGCAGTTGTTCATAGGTATGTAAATTGGCCACCCAGGGTTTTGTTAAATGACACAAGTGTCTGGCACTAAGGGAAAGGAGAGTTAAAAAGCTAGGGACTTTAAGGGAATTTGTCAGTTTTCCTTTGAAAAGGAAAATGTAAAATCTCTTAGGAATTTGGTATTCACATCTCAGAGAAATACAACACAAAAGTGCAGACTTATATTTGAAAATTGATGTTAACCCTTTGTGTCTAGTTTGAAGCTTCTTGTATTTGTCTAAAACTACAAGCCAGAATTTTGTATCTCCTTTGATAAAAAGTGTATAATATAAAGTAGTTTTGCATATTATTGTGCTGCACATGGGCTGAATTTTTAGAATTTTTTAAAGACTTGAAGCAGAATCTTGTAATTTGTGTAAATGACAAGTGTAAAATCTTACCATAAAATGCTAAAAATATGCACTGTTTCAAATAAAACAAAGAAATGCAGCATTATATAGTAGTGTGGAGCCCTGAATATTCATGTCCACCCAGGTATGCCAAAAGTTGAAGAAATGTCTTTGCATTATTTTCCATTTAGGTTCTAGAGTCTGCATAATCTGATAAATCAGATGCCACCTTCATACTTTCTGGCTAGGTACTCCCATCTGGTTTCCAGGAACTGAAGAAGAACATAATGGATGATAAATTGTGATGGACATTTGGAGAAATTAGAACTTGTTCTTTAACCCAGGAAAAGTAACTTTCAGTCATACTATCCTATTGCATATCTAGTTAGCACAAATCTTGGATGTGTATATATTGGTTTAATAGCTAGTTCATGGACAGAACAGATTGCATACAATTATCTGGAATGATAGGTTTACAAAATGAGTTAAGAGGAGCCATCATCCCTAGTTTTGTATTTTACCTTTAATGGGTTTATCTTTCACACCCTAATGCTTGGCCCCTTTATGATCCCCCAACCATGAATTCAGCCAACTGCTGGTGGAATATTATTGGCAGGGGGGCTGCACCCACACTGAACATATACAAACTTTTTCCTTATTCCTAAAACAATACAACATAACAACTTTTCACATAGCATTTACATTGTATTACACATTATGCGGATATGAAGTATAGGGAGGATGGGTGTGAGTCACACACAACTGCTACTTCATTCTATAGAAGAGACTTGAACTTGAACATCTGCAGATTTGGGTGTTCCTGGGAGATCCAGAATATATTAGCCCCCCAAAGATATCCAGGGATGATCACATTGTCAAGATTCCTTTGTTGGGCTGGGATTGTGGCTCAGAGGTAGAGCACCTAGCATGCCTAGCACCAGTGGGACCTTGATTCTCAGTACCACATAAAAATAAAGGCATTGTGTTGTGTCCATCTACACTAAAAAATATATATGTATAAAAGATTCCTCTGTTTTCACTTTTCCCACCTCTGTTTTCGGTTTTTTTTTTTTTTTTTTTGGTACTGAGGATTGAGCCCAGAGGCTCTTTACCACTGAGCTACATCCTTAATCCTCTTTATTTTTTATTTTGAGACAGGGTCTCACTAAGTTGCTAATGGTCTTGCTAAACTGCTGAGGCCAGCCTCGAATTTGTAATCCTCCTGCCTCAACTTCCTGAGTTGCTGGGATTGCAGGCGTGCATCATTGTGCCCAGCTTGTCTTCACTGTTCTCATAGACTGTCAGATAAACCATTCTACAAGCAGCCTGGCATTTCAGAAAGCAGAGTTTGCAGGCCACCTAGGTGGTAATAGTGGCATCGTTGCTTAGAAGTTTTATAAGCCAGAAACAGTCAAATATTGAGAATGCGTGCAGAATCAAACACCTTTCCTGCCTGTAAACCATATCTCCAAACTTTCACTACCACAAGACTAATAACCTTCACTCACTTTATTTTGTCTTATTGCAAAATCTAACAGGAACATGTACAAGATCTCATTTCTAAGATATTTGGGCCAGGCTGATAATCATGAATTCAGTTTTGGGGTATTTCTCAGATCATATTCCCTTATCAATACTTCTGGCTTAACTTAAGGAAGGTACCTTTCCCCACATCAATCTCTAGCTACTCTTGTTCTCTACCAAAGACTGTGTCATTCCAAATCTTTTTCATATAAACAGCATTATATCTATAAGGCCAATATCTGTGGAATCCAGTAATACAAAGAGGTAATAAAATTGCCATTTTATTTATTTCAGGTGTTTCTGTAATCTGAACAGACTAGGCACAATGCAGGGAAGACTTTAAAAACTACTGCCTTGAAGGACTAGCATTACACTACAAATACCAGGACACTGGTAGCCAAGACGCTCAAGGCCATACATCCCATACTTTATGTGTGGACTTCAAAGCCCTGATCAATGCTATAGAAATAGAAGAATCCTCACTTTTTCTATATAGAGAAATACAATTCTGATTACTGTTATAAACTAGAAAGTTATAAACTAGAAGTGATAAGGCTGAGCAATCTGCCTGCCTGGGAATGAGGAGCCAGGCCTGATGCAGGAGGCAACTCTCCAGGCTGAGGTCCTGGAGGAGGAGATCACAGGATGGGGAAGAGCAAAAAGACAAGCACATGTACAAACTGGTCATCCATGCGTTGAGCACTGCCCTGTTGGACCCCTGGCCCTAGCCCCCAAACTTATCCCCCACCTGACATCCCTTCCCTATGCACAAATTCAGGTATGTCAATAACTCTGGCTTTCAACAAAACTACAATGTTAGGTGGGGACCCAGCAGCATCTCCAGGTATCACCCATTTTAGTCTGTTCTGAAACATTTTTGCAGTATTGAGGATCTCACCAAGTTGCCGAGGCTGGCCTTAAACTTGGGGCCCTCCTGCCTCAGTCCCCTGAATAGCTGGGATTACAGGTGTGCCTCGTTTATCTTGGGCCTTTTTTATTTTTATTTTTATTTTTTTAAGAGAGAGAGAATTTTTTTAATATTTAATTTTTTTTAGTTATTGGCGGACACAACATCTTTATTTGTATGTGGTACTGAGGATCGAACCTGGGCCACACACATGCCAGGCAAGCACGCTACCGCTTGAGCCACATCCCCAGCCCTTGGGCCTTTTTTAAAAATAATGTTGTTGTATTTTTTAGACCTTTATTTTATTTATTTATATTTATGTGGTGCTGAGGATCAAACCCAGTGCCTCATGCATGCAAGTTAAGTGTTCTACCACTGTGCTACAGCCCCAGCCCTTATCTTGAGACTTTTTGAAAACCTATGTCTGTCTCCCAAGGAAAGTCCTAAAACCCTACTTTCTCAGAAGGGATTGGTAACTGCCATTTGGTTACACGTGGCCTGTGATGAAATGTACCCTTTAAGAAAACAGTCAGGGGCTGGGGATGTGGCTCAAGCGGTAGCATGCTCGCCTGGCATGTGTGCGGCCCGGGTTCGATCCTCAGCACCACATACAAACAAAGATGTTGTGTCTGCTGAAAACTAAAAATATAAATAAATAAATAAATAAATAAGAAAACAGCTTCAGGGATAAGAAGAGCCAGTCCTTTGCAATTTACCCTTGGTCTAAGAGCTGAGAGGCAAGACTGGAACCCTAAAACTACTCACGACCATTTTATGGAGGCTCTTTTTAATGTAACATTTAGAATATGCCCAGGGGCTGGGATCTCTGCATTATATTGCCCATTTATCCAGTGAGCCTGCCCATAGAAGATTATAATTATGAGCAGCATAGTGTGTCTTTTTTAGAAGTCATGGCTCATAAGGATATATGAGACAGATTCCCTTTTTCCTCTCTTCACACAAACACAACTAAGAAGTTTATTGATCACAAGGCATCTACCACACCATGGTAGTCAATCGTGCACCAGCTCCCAAAACTGAGTGGAAAACTTTCAAAAACTTTTTTATAAACTCAAGCCACGTGTGGTGGAAGATACCTATGATCCCAGCAATTGGATGGCTCAGAAAGGAAGATTCTTAGTTCAAGTCCAACCTGGGCAGTTTAGCAAGACTGTAAGCAACTTAGCAATATCCATCTCAAAAAAATAAAAAGGGCCGGTCTGGTGGCCCACGCCTGTAACCCCAGCAGCTCAGGAGGCTAAGGCAGCAGAATGGTGAGTTCAAAGCCAATCTCAGGAACTTAGTGAGACCCTGTCTCTAAATTAAATATTTGAACAGGGCTGGGGATGTTGCCTAGTGATTAGGCATCCTTAGATTCAATCCCCAATACCAATAAAATAAAATAAAAAGGACTGGAGATGATGTAACTAACTCAGTGATACAGTCCCCCTGGACTTAATCCCCAGTACCGTAATGGGGGGGGGATTATAAACTCGAATATCACATTATTTCCAGTCTCCTAATCCAACCCTTTCATCATAGTGGCAGGGAAGTGTTTGTTGTCCAAGGACCTGACCTTCATTGATATATGATTTCTATCTTACTAATAATTCATCGTTGTTTTTTACAGGGATAGAGGTATTCAAATTTTACAGTTACTATGGAAAGATGAGGAAATTACAAATATTCCACAACAGGTGAAAATAAGAGGAAATTTACTGCGCAAACATATGGCCTTCACTGCTATTTGGCTATGGGAAGGATTCTGAAAGGAGGATCAGATTAGAAAAGTTTCTGCCTGAGGTCATTTGCATTTTAATATCTCTGCTTATGATTAAATTTCTCCAACAATGGTACCCGAGCAGAGAGGCCCAGAAAGGGCTGGCATCACAACTAAACTCCTTTGGAAAGCTGAGTTGTGAAAGCACACATTGCTCAAATGCAAGAGAACTGTTTGCTCTGTGAATTGAAGTAGAAACCTCATACGGCAGGTTGAATACCTGTGCCCACCAAGTGGCAGCAGCCAGGTGCCCACAGGATCCAGAAGGCTACTACTGGCTGTGCTGGAGAAGGGCACATAGGAGGCCTCACCCCTGTTCTGTGAACTCAGAAGGGAAATCAAGGGAAGCCCAACTGGGGAGCTCTAGATAAGCGCCCCACAAGAGAGGATGCAAACCTGGCACCAAGTCTTCCTCAGTGTTGAAACTGGTTGTGAAAAGCCAAAATATGTTTCTCTTTGGGATTTTTTTTTCCTGCAATACTGGTACCCAGGGACGTACTACCACTGATCTACACCCCAAGCCCTTTCCATTTTGAGACAGGGTATCCCTACATTGCCCAGAGTGAGCTCAAACTTGGAATCCTGCCTCAGCCTCCGTCACCGGGATTAATTAGACATGAGCCTCCACTCCTAGGAATTTAAATTTAGTGCCTGGCATGGCAACAGACCCCTGTAGTTAGTCTCAGCAATTTGGGAGCTGAAATGAAGGGTAATTTAAACCCAAGAGTATGAAGCCTGCCTGAGCAACATAACATAGTGAGACAACCTCCCAAGAAAAGGAGAAAAAGCAAATCTTCTCCCAATTGTGATTTGTAATTAGTTGGGTTTCTTGGTTTTGTTTGTAGTTTTAGGATCAACCTGGGACTTCACACATGAAAGCGAGTAGTCTACCACT